AAACCAACTTATTGTTAAACTAAGTCATGCAGTAAGCACAATCTGGACATTCTATGTGTTATGTATCTGTGTATTGTATTCGTGTCAAACAAACTTCGGGGGTAATGTTCTGTTTTTTTCGACAAATACCGACAAATTTAACGCTAAGTCATAAAGAACTCCTATGACAAGAACCGCCATTATATTACAACGGAAAACAATGAAACAATGATCCGCGGCAGATACACCCCAATCACAACAAGAAAAATTCTTCTATACTGTCCTGCTCGGGAATCGTGCCCATAACGCATATCGCGTTCCCGCGCTGTATCTGTATAGACAAACGCTGCCGAAAAAACTCTTTGGCGCGTTTCTGGCCAGTGGCAGATATTAGGTAGCTTCCAACCTTGTCCACAAGTTTCTTAGTGCCACCGCTCCACGGTCCGTGAATCTCAAACGCAGCCGCAACGAAATCGTATCGTGGCATCAGCCAACTGTGCTTCGATAACTTTCCCCTTTCGGCTTGCTCCGCTGCGGCTCCAGCATTCACGGAGGTGCGATCAATATAGGAGGCCGCGAGTGTGTCAACGCAGGTAACATCTACAGCCAGTGGTTTACCTCGTGCCCATGGTACTAGAGTGATGGCGTCCGGCCTTCACTTTAGTACCATGGGCACGAGGTGCCCATGGTACTAGAGTGAAGGGAGAGAACAGAGAACAAACTTCTGCTAGAGAACAAACTTCTGCTTCTGCTAATTCCAAAACATGCTTCATCGTTCGGCAGATAGGCAGTTAACAACAACAAACGAGAACTATAACTCAAAAAGGTTGAAAAATTAAAAAAAAACGCAAGCAAACAAAAACAATGACAAAAAGACATACGTACGTACTCGAATACCAATCAGTTAATCCTCATTGGGCCGCTAAACAAGCTATCAAAATAACAAAAAAGTGCTGACACGTGCGTATTTATGAAATGTCCGGCAAGTAATATTGAGATAGTAGGTGGTGTATACATCCCCAGTCTCTGTGCTTCCATTATTTTTCATCTGCCGCAGCCATCGGGACTCAGAGTAGTTCCGGTGTCTTCCGACCCATTTGTGCCAGGAATATTCCATCACCTATGGCGTTTTGAAAGGCCATCGGCATCGTAGTTACGGGCTCGAAGGGCTCCTGGTTGGGTGTCTCGTAGTCACGGTCGATGAGGTCCAAGCAAAATTCTCGACGCCTCTTTTGGCTCATCGTAGGGTGGGGCTTGAAATACCATAGTGTGCCGAAGCTAAGAAATTATTACATTTAGCATGTATGATCACTGAACACTAAATGCGTTTTTAAAGTTAAAAAACAAAATCACCTTAAATACTAATAGTATTATTATCGTTAAACTGTGGACATGGGCAATATAATCGCTTATGTTATTTAAATTTGAAAGAATACTGATTTAATAACACAATGGGAACTTTATGCGCGCGAGCATATTTTGCGCGTAGTCAGTGTGCCATGCAACTTCTTGCTTAATGTAATGCAATGCAAATTGCAAAGTGAGTGCGTAACGCCTGCTTTCTTTAAGCGTTTAACAGCAATATTTTTACGGTAGACAGATATAATTGGCAGTATCTATCTCCGATAAATATCTAAATATCCAATGAGCACGACATAGCCGCATTAACACAAATAATTATAAGTATAATATTTACCGCAGAATTGTCTAATAAAAAATTAAGTAAAACTAAACTGTGTTACTAACGCCGGATGTTCGCTTTCATTGCCGCCGGCGTCATCCGTTTCGAAACCTTCCTCCATGCCAGTATTAAGATACCAGATAATGTAATAACCAGGTAATGCACTAGTCTGTTTTCGCAAAAGTCTGCAGATGCCAATTTTTTAAAACAAACCGCAGCGGCTGCCGCGCTGCGCGTGAAAGAATAATAAATTTTGTGGTGCAGCCGCTTCTGCCGCAAGAATGCGTCGATCGGCGCGGTTTCTGTGTGTCTCTGCGCGTAGAGATTCTTCGTTTGAGTTAGCTGTGCCAGTCTACATTCAGAGAAGTTGTGAGTCTTCCCAGGAAAAGCTCCAAAGTGATCAGACTAGATCACACCTCAGTGTCATCGCCACAGAGCCATTGTCAGACACCTTGTTAGTTGTTTGTCTCTTTTGCGCGGCTCAGGTATTCTCTTGAACTCATCCGCGCGTTCTAAGCAAACTGCAAACGCAACAACGCACATACAGACTGTACATACATGCGACCGGAAAAAGAGGCTTATATTGATAACGCAGCGCCCGAATCTATGTAAGATACATTTTTCTTCCAAATTGCTTTTAAATATGCACAGTAAATGAAATTAAAAAGTTACAAAAATTCCGCCGGCATTTTGACCACGAGAAATTCCGCCGTCTTTTTGACCTGACAAAATTTCCGCCGGCAGAAAATTCCGCCGTCGTTTTGACCTGAAAAATTCTTAATTTCGGCCGGCAGAAAATTCCGCCGTCGTTTTGACATTGGCCATCCATTTATAAATACATAATACGTTTATCCCTAGTTCTGAATATTACACCTTAACAAGAACACTGATATAGTGGAGCAAGGTCATGGCGGATTATGATGCTTTGAGACCGCTAACGGCTCCATTTTTTGGAGTTTTTGTCCGATATCTCGGTTTTATAAATGCGGCTAAATGATCTGTTATCAGCATGGCGCAAAGAATATTACCTGCTAAAATAACTAATATAAAAAATAACAGCATAATATAGATGTGATATGCAAATTGTAGATTGGCATTCCCTCAACAGTTATCGACCGACTGGCTAAGGCAAGGCGGATTACATTTCATCGATGATATCATCGCAAGCATATCAGTCACAATCGTGACCTTTACCACTTTGTAGGACAGGTACTACGTACAGGATATAGAGTAGAGCGCGGCTTATTAGCAAGTTAAATTAACATCCAATAATTGTTCGCATTGTTGGCACTGTAACAACCACATCGAAGTCTTGATCATCTGTCTTGCCAAATTTATAAAACCATCAAAACTCTGCAACATGTATAAGATAAGAAGAATGTGCAGCTTTCGTTCCCAAAATAAATTATTCAGCGCAAATATTTACTGGTTCAGATGGTGCTGGTCAATATATTTATGGCTCCGTGTAGATTTCCTGAAGAAAACGTGCCAAAGATTATTTGCATGCATCACAATCATTGATATTATTTCAATCTGTGGAACAATTTTCTTTCAGGAGCGCTGGCACCGGCCAACCATTTTCCGATTTTACAAATCCTAGCCTTTGTCCTCTCCATCCCAGTGTACTTGGGACAGCTGGCAGCCGGGATGTGTTTCATGGAGGCCGGTGTGCAAGTACATCGCGGCCACCGAGATCCGACATCCATCGCCGACCGTGAAATGTTCACTGCCTGCAGCCAGATCTGCGGCGTCTGCCTGGGGGCCATGATTTTTGCATGGTTCTGTGTGATAGCGTTTGATTCGGATTGGTACATCTCCAAATTGGGCGTCCGGGGCACCATCCACCATGTCGTCGATGCTGACCGGACCGGACAGTTTGTCATGCTCGGATCGCTTCTGACGCTAATCGCCAGTATGGTTGTGGTATGCCTTGCCGCTTCGCATTATGGTCCCGTCAGCAACGATCCGAAGGCTGCGTCCACCAACGAAAAACAGGGACTGCTCGACCACTCGGATGGACGAAACATGCCACCACCGTCCTATGAATCCGTCGAAATGAAGATCACGGTGTAGAAACGACATGTCCAGTGTGACCGTTGTCAGGATGCTGACATTCTACATTGAGCTTAACGGCCTCTTGCAGGAAACGCTTTGCAATTGTACGCTTTTGCTATCTTACGCTTCATGCTGCTCTGTGAACATAACGTTATACAAAGTAAAAATTGTTATTTGCGTTGAACGTGAGTATAAATACATAGCACTTAACAATATCGCGTTTATAATCAAAAGTTATCTGTCTTCACAATTTCCATGTTACTCTTCCTGCTCTAAGCTTTTGTTTTTGCTGGTTTAACCGTTTTTGATAAGGGAAATGCACCTTATTTTATTTATTGGTGACTATTGCATAATTATTCACAATTTAACAGAAATCACATGTTGGTAGAAATCATTTACTATGTAAATTAAAAGCGTTTCTTATCTTACTATCCGGTAGTATGGCAGCGTACGTCGAAACGATGTTTCGCAGCAAAATTATACCAAATACTCTTATCACTGTATTCATGGTGGAAATCATGTTGCGATACTTCCGATTCTGCCTAAATTAATTATTGCACAATCTTGCGTTCGTTCAGAATTTCGATGGATTTGGAACCGGTAATAACTACGGTATCAAGCAATGTAATTGTGATGATTGGCGTAATTTCACGGCACCGTTCGTCACATATGCAGGCATTTAAATCTGAAATTTCCAAGCGCATAAACCATGCGCACGCAGACGGCTGCATTGCGTGAACATAAATTTTACGCCGGCGGAGATATGCAGTTTTCTTAGCTTCGGGCAATACAGTGCTACAAAAATTTAAGACTGGTTTGTAATTACGGCTAAATAAATTTGCTGAAAACTTCTTGTTTTAGTTGTTACAACACTACAATGAACACCAAACCTCGTTTGTACATTTATGAACATATCAGGACAAAGTGGCATTGGTGGGTGTTGACCGTATTGTATAACTGCAAGATTTAAGATGACACTCATGGGTGAAGGATACATCAATACTGAAAACGACTTTCATTTTTTCCTCTTATCAGATTCGATGTAGTTTAGTTGATTCGGTGTATTTTAGCTAAAACCGATTCATCATAATTTTGATACGAGTATTACAACAATAAGACGAATTTGTAAAAAGTTTACGACCCGATAACGCGAATTAAATCGAAGCTATCATATCTGTATGTGTACTGTACATGCATCGTGACATTTTTCCACAGTAAAACATATCGGAATACATATTATTCGTCAAGATGCAAAACAAATAAAATTTATGTTAGTATTTTTATGGAAATAAATAATGCAAGTGCGAAGTATAAAAATGTATTTTGTTGTACTATACTATTTCCAAAGGATAACTGGACAGGGCAGCGTTATAACACACAAATAAAAGTTTTCAATAAACCTTCGGCGTAGTTGACTGCGCATTCAACGCCAATCCATGCTTTTAGGAAGCGACTGCGTTGGACAACAGACATTCCGTAGAGCAAGCATCTGGAATGGGATCGCTGTTAATTTTCTTGTATAGTGGCGGTGCTGAATTCTGGGATCCCGAGTGGTCCAAAGAATTTGTCTCGCCTTTCAGCTCCTGGTAAACATTAGCGCTACCCCAGGCAATAAGCACTGCCACGACGAAAGCGACAGCGTGTACCACAATCCACCCCAGCATGACCAACTGTCCGGGAAACTCCGCCTGGAACGTGTAGGAGGCTGCGCCCCACACGCCCAGTGACCGGACGAACGGGTCGGCATGAAACGCAAACTCCATGGGTCCAGCAAGGAGCACCAGTGCCAGGAAAACTGCACAGCATCCGCACACCCCCCTGTTCCGTTCCGCAGCGAGATAACTACCGAAGCGTGCCGGGTCTCGGTGGCCGCACAAGACACGGGTACAATACACGATGAGATAGATGCCGTTCCCCAACTGAAAACCGTACACGGGAATGGACATGATGAACCCCAGAAACTGCAAGATAGGAAACATGGCGTCCGTCCACAGCACCCCTGAAAGCGATACATTCAGCGATTACAGGATGCATGAGGGCTGCACTAATGTCACGTGGCAGCTCTCTTCGAGAAACAAAAATAAAAAATAAAAACGAAGTGCGCAGGTCATGTATAAACAAGTTTTCAAAGAATGGTGAAAGTACAGATAGAACGTTTTGCAAAATTTAAGCCTAAATTTCTAAGCTTATAAAAAAGTCCAAAGGTCAGGTATAACCAGGCTTTCAAAAAGTGGAGAAAGTAGAACGTTTTGCAAATTTAAGCAAGAATTTTTCAGCTTCTCAGTTATAAAAAATGAAAATATCTACTCCGCTTCTTACCATAAAAGAGGTTGTAGTAATTCGCGCCAAATCCTGCTACTGCTAGAATGACCTCCACGATGGAAAGAGCCAACAAAACCCGCGTATCTTTCAAAAAATTCCACAATATATTCATTGTAAAGCCAGATTCAATAGCGTAATCACCAGCTTTGTAAAAATGAGGCACCGTGTACCCTTTAAAAGCCTAAATCTTCCTTTGCTGGTGAAAATTATTATCGACTGACCCTCCAGAGAAAGGTTAAGCTGTCCAACACCCGCCGATGCGAGTTGATGATGATCGACAATTAACTGGCACTTTTGCCAAGGGCGGACTTGCTTTATAAGACGCCGGTGATGTGCTGTACATTTCGAATCTGCCAAGTGCATATCTGCATACAAACGTTTCCTGACGCGTGATCCATTGTATTCATGGCGGAGTTCGAGCAATCCGGAAATTTTTCAAGGTTATGGTCATGGGAGGATGATCATGAAAGGGAGTTTTCATACAGTCTTTATTGCACACCTCCACAATTTAAGACAAACCCGGAGTGAGTGATCTCCACTTATGCAGTGTATTGAACAACTTGTTAACGTTCAGCAGTTTAGCGGTGTACAAGACGTTGGATGTGCGCTACCTGTAGAATGTGCACATGGATGAGTCGGTGCACTTGTACGACTCGTACTAGCAAGAGCTATACGACTTTAATACCTATTCCTATGTTATTAATAATTTTGTACATCATGTTAGATCTCGCCTACCTAAGTAAATAACAACCCATGTGAACGTGAACAGGAAACTGGAGTTTATTGATGCACACATCCAGAGCGAGATTACTCGCCCAGCAGAAAACACCCACACAACGAGAAGAAAACAATTTTTGGTTGATTGCAAAACGACAGACTGATTGAACATTTTTGGCTGATTAAACAAACTAACAAAAGCAATGGAAAGTTTATAATGGGCGCAAAACGACTTATCTACTCATATATTCTCCACGTTGTAACGAACGCCATGCGGATTGCGACCATGCAAATAATTTACCTATATATTTCTCTATAATCCTACACATTTTGACCTTAATATGAAAACACGATCAGGGGCATACCGGAACTATTTGTTTGTACTCTTTGTTTGTTTTTACTTTGTTTTTACTTTTCATTCATTAATATTTCTCGTTTTCTACCGGGGCTTAGCAAAAGAGTGGCGGTTTGAACCAAAATGGTGGAAACAAAATTTTCAGAGCTGTTGAGCTTTAGTCTTTCCTGTCTTATTAATTTGTAAGTATATCCCGAACTACAATTCAGTAATTTAGTCACCAATTTAAATGCCAGTTTAGTTAGGAACCCGAACTCGATTACGAGCGTGTGTCCATCGGTAGACACGCGTTCGTTTCGAATATTCGAATTCGGAATTCTTATTCGGTTTAGGCTGACCCGCGTAAATAATCTGTAATCCGCTAAGCGTGAAGCGCTGTGACACAGACGTCACTACTCAATCTTGTTTTTTTTTATTGTTCTTGGTTTACTCAGCTATCAGATGAATTTGGGTTTGCTAAGAGATTCTTAATTCCAACATCAAAGTGACGCGGTTTTCTTGCTCTTCTAATTATAACTAAAGTTTTTTACCGGTAGGGTCCAATAATGTCGCTGCCGCTGGAAGCACATTAAGCCACGTGGTCACATTTAACCGAACTGCGATGCCTCACAAACTATGAAGTAATAAATATCATAATTCAGACTCAACACAATTGTCACATAATTTTCACACATAATTAACCAGTCTTGCTGTGACAGTGGCATTTTAACAGCAAATAAAGATCGAAGGTTAAAAAACGAAACTGCTATGGTCTCTCCGGTTAAAACATACATAATACGTAATCCTAATTAACTGGTCCAATCCTGTGTGATATTGCATGATCCCAGTATTATAAAAACTTCGAAAATTAATTAAAAGCTCGGATGGGCGCGCTACAAAGCCTTTGCAAGAGTAAATTAACAATTCATGGTAGAAAATCCAGATTTGGTACGAAATGTCTATTCACACTGTTAATAAAAATATTGCAAAACTGACAAACTCAGCAACAGCGTCCATGGTCCACTTAATCGAAAACTCTGTAGATCGCGTCCGGTTTCCGGAGTCATTGCGATGTAGAATGTTACTGCAGCATCATGTGCCGAAAACGTGAATTCCTTTACAATGCAAAACCCTGTCCAAATAACAACTACTACACCGGCCGGCAATTTGCGTACGCACTTGACGTTTCGCGGCATAATCAGCAGAAAATAAAAGTGGATTTTCGGGTAATAGACGACATTAGGTACTTGAAACCGCAAGTCCCAACACGGATACATGTGAAACTCGCACATTCCTGGTTTAGCAAAATGACCACGCATTAGTGCTGACTGCAGACCTTCCTATAAAACCGGCAACACGGAACTTGTAATTGTCAGTCAGGTATTTTAATTTGTTCCATTTGTGTCCGGATTACCGCCTCCAAGATGAAGTTTCTCATAGTCACGGCGTTCTTCGTCTACTGCGCCACGGCGCACCAACTGCCACCGGGACTGGTACTGCCCACATCATCGGATGATAGTGGCGCCCAACAGACCCGTTCGGCAGGCAAACAGCACGAGTTGTTCTCTAACGGGAACGCTCGCCCGGACCGCCCAGCCTGGCCGCGACCCCACAACCATCACAATGCCGAGAAGAACGGTACCCTGGATAACAGCACTGTGTCAGGCAACAACACCGTGACCGGCAACACCACCTTCACCGGTAACTCGACCCTCAACAACACCACCATTGTTGACTTCACTCAAACCGCCGGTAACCAATCACACGGGAACGTTGGACATCCTCACAACGGATCGCTAGCTAACCACCCCGGACACCATCAGTTCGGTGGACACCATGCTCCTCAACACCATCCAGGTCATCCGGGAGGTGCTCCCCAACACTACGGTCACCCAGGTGGTCCCTCGTCGGAATCCAGCTCCGAGTCGGACAGCCATGAGGACGGTAATCAAGATGGTGACTCGGACAGTGATTCCGAATCTAGCGAATCTGGGAGCGGTGAAGTGCAAGCGCAAGATCATCCGGGAATGTTGGAAGGCCGCCCGCACGGTCGTCCCCACGGTCGCCCCCACGGCAAACCCGGCAAATTCGGTAAGGGCAAGTTCGGTAAGGGCAAATTCGGAAAGGCCCTGAAAGCCATCCTCCTCAAGAAGCTCGCCTCTGGTGCCCCGTCAAAGTGACCGTGGAGAAGGACTTCAAAGTCAAATACGAACAGAAAGGTCATAAGGGCGGTCGCCGCGGAGCTTTTGGTTTTGGTGGAAAGAAACCGTTTGGTGGAAAGCCTTCGGGTCACGGTTTCCAGGGACATGGTGGACCCTTCCAAGGACATCAAGGAGGACCCTTCCAAGGACACCCAGGAGGACCTTTCCAGGGACATCCAGGAGGACCGTTCCAGGGACATCCTAATGGACCGTTCCATGGTTTCCCCGGCCATCCATTTGGGCCAGGATTTAACGGAAACTTCAGCAATCCGCCCTTTTCATACCCAATGAACGGATCCATCCCTGTTGCCATTAACAGCTCTATGATCCTGACGTTCAATTCTACGGGACCGAACGGAAGTTTTCCGCTACCTGATGCGGGAGTGAACGGCTTCAATCCTACGCCTGGCCAGTTCATCGGTGCCCCGGGTAGCACCAACTTCCAATCCGTGAGCGGTATGCCCTCCAGCTTCCAGCCTCAGGGTGTCAACAACTTCGGACCTACCAACGGTGTGTTCCCCAGCTTCCCTCCGCCTCAGGGTGGCGGCAACTTTGGACCGGGCTTTAACGGCATGCCACCCCCGTTCCCGCCGCCCCAGGGTGGCAGCAACTTTGGACCCAGCGTTAACGGTATGCCACCTCCTTCTCCTCCCAACGGTGGCAACATCAACGGTGCCCCTTTCCCCGGACCCTCGAATAACCAACAACCACAAAACTTCAACCAACAAGTCCCACAAAACTTTAACCAACAAGTCCCGCAAAACTTTAACCAGCAAGTACCATACAACTTTAACCAACAAGCTGGCAACGCTCAAGGAATTTCCCCGAACGGCCCTGTAACCCCCCTTTAACGCCAGCACGTTTAAATGAGCGCACTGCTTACAGAATTAATTATAATGTACCGGTATTTGTGATTTAAAGTTGTATCAATAAATTATTAATAAATGTTCTAATAAAGATTATATCGGCGGCACACGAGCAAAGCAGCCAGAAATTGTGACCTTTATTTGAAGGCCTCGAAAATCAGTTAACTATTTTGTGTTGACGTGGCGTATGTTTGAGTTGTTCCAGAAAATCCACCTCAGCGTGTTGTTTTTGTCTGACCACAGTAATTACATTTTTAGCTTTTTACTATACAGTATAACTATATAAAAAACTGTTTTCTTTCAAGTACATTTTAAGTCACCAATTCCAGACACAAAACATCGCGCCAGGCCAGCATCCTAAGAAGTCAAATACATGTACAGTAGCTAAAACGATCTGCAGTTTCATATAACAATTAAGAGGGAAATATTACAGTTAAAAACAAGAGAATCAGTTATTTATTTTCACAATTTTAGAAAATAAATGCACGGGAATTAAGCGCAAGAGATCGATAGCAGCCGAATAAAAAAACATTAATTCAGCGTCTTCGGCCAACAGATGGCTCATCCGCTGGGTGTGGCACCAACGGTCAACACGACGTTTTCCCGCTTGCCAACATCCAAACACATTAATTTTAACAGGCTTGATTCGGTACTTCTGATGCAATCTGAAGAATTCCACACATCAAACTCGCATCTGTGCAAACACTGAGCCAACAGATATCGCGATCAATTACCAATGCTAACCAGGGTAAGCCGACCAATTTCCCACCTGACTCACCCGTTTCCGCTCCACCCACTGCTGCTTGGTGTGCACGTGGCATTCGGCTTAATGAATCGCCTCAGTGTTCTCTTCGGTGGGGAGAAAATGCTGAACCGGCATTTTTCCACTGCAGCCGCCACTTCAAATCAAATATCACTGCCTAATCCTTTGGGAAAAACAAACAGACTTAATGCAATAAGCAACACTTGTTATACACCGTCTACAGGTGATTAATGCCGGCTAGCTTATATAACTGATCGGCGATGTGCAACACAATAATGCTGTAGTTATAAATATATACACTTGTCACAGCTTTAATCCCAAAAGCAAACGAAAACCCAGAATGATATCAGTTGCTATGATTAACGCGTTTTTTGAAGGCATATAATCCTTTCCGTTACAACACAAATCGTAACAGTTCAGTTTTACTCTGATTTCTGAAGCGAATGTTTTAAAATGTTGATGACCTTGAAGAAGAAAGTGAAGAGTATTACCAGCTTGATTTTAGCTGACGACGATAAGATATCGCTGTCCAGTAGTGATTCCAGTGTAGCATATCCGAATAATCGCAATTCTCCGACGGCCGGGAGCACCGGAAGTCCCGTTAAACGCCAGGCACCGCCACCACCACCGCCGCCGGCAACGGTGACACCGCGACCGTATTCCCGCAGTCCATTTCCGGGATGGCCGACTATACGGATAATCGGGCAAAATTAATGGCGGATATTCGGAAAAGTCCAAAATTGGCGCGCGTGGATCGCAGCCAGATTCGGGATCACAGCAGCCCAACATTCGGGTCGTCTTCCGCCGGAAACAGTAAGTCGATATTTTTCCCGATAAATGATTGTGATAATGCATGAATAATGGCACTGATTCATATGTTTTGTGTTTTGTGGAGTTATGAATCAATAAAGTAACCGTTGTCCGTTGGCAATTTTGCTGATGGTAGCGGAAAGTGCCGGTAACAGAATATGCCGGTAGCATTAACGGGGGATATTTTGGCTTAAGCTCGTGTTTCTGAGCGTTTCTTGTGCCGGGATTCGCTTGAATTTGTTAAAAAAAGCAATTTTCTTCTTTAAAATATAGCCTGTACTCGAATTTTGCAATAATTTACAATACTCGTATTTTTTCGATACCAGACAGGTTTTATTAGGCCTTTCCATTCCTATCTGTACATGAAAAATCCATGCCTAAAAGGCCGTTTTCAAAACAAATAGCAAATAAATATGTAATTATATTTATTTACTTTCAGATGTAACAGCAACGAGCTATTCTCGTCAATCAGCATCCTCCCAAATGTCCCAGTCCCGAACCGTCATTTCCTGGTACCCATTCCCCGGCTTCATCCCGACCAGGAAGCCGCTTCAGCCAGACGTCGAACGCCTCCTCGCGTTATGACGCCCCCAGCGCCCCCAACACCCGTCCCACTATCCCCTGGCCACCCCACCTTCATCCGGGACGGCCCCGATTCCGGTCGCTCTTCGCCGAAAACATACGTCCGTGATGATCCTGATGCAGCCCGGAAATCCCCTCCTACCTATGTTCGCGACGACCCGGAAGCGGTGCGGAAACGTTTGGGTTCGCCAACCCCGAGTCGCAGCCGGGCGTTGAGTCCCAGTCGGGCAAACTACCTCCCGGTGGTGGGGAAGGGACTCTTCCCGAAGGAGATTGAACAGGAGACCATTGTTAACTCGCATAACAAACCTATTTCCAGCGAGACACTGCGGCGGGAATATTTGGGGTTGAAGAAAAATGGGAGCGGTGCGACGGATGGTCGGAGCAGTCCGTACGGTGTGCAACTGAAATCTGTGTCAAATTCATTGGCACCGAAAGCCCCGATCCTTAAAACGGTCAACTGGGCGCCGCATATTGCGACATCTATGAATGGACGAAATTCCAGCAGCTCCGTGCATTCACAATATTCTGCCGGTAAAAAGGCGAAAGCCTAAAAAGTACTGCATAGGTTTCTTTTTAAATTCTAGACAATTTTTCGTAGCCGGCAAAACATCGGACATCAGCTCGCGTTCTCGCAGTCGATCTCGGGACGACTTCCTGCATACTGAAATAGGCTACCAGTCAAGATTGTCTTCGCGCAATTCAAATGAGGATAAGGAAAGGTTTTATCGGAGCACGTCTGTGCCGGCTCTCAATCGCGGAAAGTTCGCTGTTAAAACACATGAATGGTCAAGCGACATTGATGACAAGGTGTGTTTTGGTCAGCATTTATGCTTGGTCCTCCCCTGGTCGGCTTTATCTCACCCTTAACTGCTTCCGACTTTATAGGTGTCAGATGAAGAACTAGATCAGCTGTTCAGCGACGTCTACTCGCAGCTGGATCAGCTGAACAACGGGGATACAAAGATCGTGGCAACATCTACTAATGTTCCAGAAAGGCGTAGCGAGACACCGTTTGAGGCGGCCGTCCGCGATGCCTTCAACGATATCAAGAAGGATGGTGGGCTGGAGAATGCCAGGGAAATCGAGATTTCCACGCGAGAGATTCACCGAAAGGTCACCATTACTACCACGCCGAAGCAGGAGCGGAAATTCCCGCTGGCTGATAGTAACACAATGGGGAATCAACGAGTCCAGTTGCCTCAAAATATTACAGGAAAGGTTACGAGTTTTAGAAAAATTTGCATCTTAAGGATTAGAGAAAATGACCATTATAAAACAGCAGTAACATGTACTTAATTGCGACTATGGTTTGTAGGCGGTCGCATCATGAACCCGGCGACATCCGTGGCGCAAGCGCAAGACAACGCCAGACTCGCCATTCGCCAGACACAAATCCAGTACGAGCGTAGTGCCTAGTGTATCTGTATGGCGGAAAAATTAAAGGAGTGTTTTTATACTCGTAGTTTTTTTTTGTGCAGCATACATAACATATTGTGTCAATATGCCATGCATGCCAATGGTTACGTATCCCTATGAATCTCCCCTGTTGTTCTGTTCCGCATTGCCATTACTACCCTTGCATAATACTCTAGCTGTATGCGGCATGCCTACCGTATGTATGTGTTTCCCTAAGTGTTCACTGTAATCTGTTTTACCAGGGCAAGGTCAACGCCTTTCCCATCAGAAAAATTTCTTTTGTTGTTTGGGAATACTTAAAAAAATAGTTTCATCCGCAACGGTCCAGTGGGCGTGACCAAACACCAGTTTGTGGATACCGCTGTAATGGTGGTATCCTATGTATTGGCAATGCATTACTTACCATACTACCGTTTTGCCAGTGAAACTGCTGTACATGTTCTGACTTGCGAGCGTGTCGTTCGTTACAGTTATCACTGCAAGTTTCTTCGAGTTTGTTTTTAAATAACTGCCTTCATTATAAACACTAATGTAGCAATCTTGTGACTTACTGAGCTATATATGGAATACGTACCTGGGGCAGGAGTTCAGCGCACAAAATAGCATTATAAAGCAGCAACAGCACAAATGCTGAATAGTGAATATCAGCCGATAAATATTAACATGACATAAACATTTTAAACTGCTATTAAAGCCAGGTATACAAAACGAAAAAAAGTGAGGAGGCAAATGGGTAACGTCATGCTGGGAAAAATGCCAGTGCAAAGGATACCGGTATCGTCAATTGTAGACAGTTAATTATCGTCAACATTGTTGACGATAATTAACTGTGGTTATTAACGATATGTTATGTTTCAGCTACTTGCGAAGGACAAAATTATAACAACACTAATAAAATCTACAAACCGTAACAAACGTCAAAACATGAACAACCGAAACTGTAGCCACTGAAAAAACCTGTAACAGCTTCATTATTCAAATTTTTTACTGTTTTTAATGATTCATTTTTTAAGAGTGCTGGAGCTTATTCGGTGCATTTTAGTTTTAACGTAGGTAAGCATTGTGAAAAGTTCAGCAGTTTAGGAGACCACTGCCTTTGAGAAACTCACTTAACTATGAACACATTTTAGAATTGAATCAATTGATATATCATAAATTTCCCCAAAAGCGCTTCAGCTTTTCGGTCATGAACTTGCTTTAGACAACCTCTTGGGCCATTTTGCATCAGACAGCCTACGTCGGTTCTTCACATTTAAGATTCACGAAATATTCCAATATTATATATCCATCAGGGTTAACATTGTTTGAATACGTAGTATCTCGAAATAAAATTCGGAAAATGCGAGGTGGAGTGTTTTCCAAATCTTCAAGAGGGCCCAATCGTCGCACAGATCTGGTAACATTGTCATAGATCCAGGCGGACGTTTCGTCTTCTTCCGTTTCACCCTTAACAACCTCAATCATTTCAGATTCGGTATTTCCGAATCCATCCGGATCGAATACCTGTACAGAATTTTCTCGTTTAAAACAATCATATGTATTTTTAATAGGAAGGAAATGTATCGAACAACGAAGGCACTGTTGACAAACAGTTTTCGTTTTGCTGACGAGGGGATGCGGCAAAAACTGCATGCAATAAATTTCTTTTGCTTTTAAATTCCAAATGTTTGTCACCTGTCATTTGTCACATGTTGCTGCAAGTATGCACACTTACAGCCACTCGGAAAGCTTCCGTATTGGACAAAAAAATCAATTCACTTGAGCAAGGTACCGACAATGTGGGATCGTCTTCCATGCTAACGCAACGTGGTGCGTCTCTTAATCCAAGAGAAGGTCCAAGATCATCCGCTTCGTCGTTTCGACAATCTATAAGTCGATTTCGGATGCTAAATTGCGGCCAGCAATTTATCCATGCTTCGATGCTTCCGGTAGCGACAACTTTACTTCCAACACGAGCATCCACAGTGAAGGTGGTTTCGAAGCCCGTGGAAATTGTTTGCGACAATCCAACTGCAGCGGACGTCGCTGAAGGGTCATTTCTTACCTTTAACCGGAAATTGGATGACCCAAATGTATAGCGAACATCTGAAGCCGGCGCCTATATAATTTCCATCAAATTGAGTACAGTTTCGCGCAAGTGCTGTCACTGGTGGCAGCGTTTGCGTGACCGTAACTACTGTGGGTATAATTTATAAACGATTGGCTTGCATTTACGCTCATATTGCATAGTTTGGAAGACGGCAGATACCCAGTGCAAACATCTTCCGGCATTAAGTAATAATATACATTCGAAAATACGATTTTAATTGTTCACAGATATATTAAAAAATCGGTTGTTTTGTACATGCAGATGAAACTGAGAAGCAGAAATCTACGGGTTACTTGTGTCTTGTACTAACTGGATATGCTATTCTTCCGATTTCGCCTATTTGCTTCGCTTCGTCCGCAGCAGAAATTGGTTGACCTGCTTGCTGTGCAGTCCAACAGTGCATATTAACGACTCGCGTGGCTGGTACCATGGTAATTTCAGGCATTGTTGAACCTGTAAGGTCGTAAATTGTGTACAATGTAAGTACTCTTGAAAATACTGTAAGCAATAATACGAAGCGTACACACATACACACCACAACGAATTCCACATTGATACATGTAATTCAACGCTTCACAATCCGCAAGACTCAATTTCCCTGAGATAGACCGCATCAGTGACATTCCATTGGCGAACGTAAACACTGGGTCACTCTCCGAAGCCGCAAACTGTTCTGGTGTGATCATGGTGACGGATTCCAGATCGACCATATCGAGAAGTTTGTGAGTGTGAGCAGTTTGTTCAGGAAAGAACAGGAATTCATTCCGCAGGTATGTCTTGGTTTTATTATTGTACCCCGGTTCCAAAGTTCAGTCCGACTGCGCTACGATCCGGACGCTGAAATTCACTGACCACTCCAAGCATTTTCATCAGAAAACGGGTGGTCTCGCGTTCATCATCGAGGCAACCATGCTCCGCTGCGCTGGTGCCTTTACTTCTGGATCCGAAGAACAGCGCTTGCTGACCGGCGCCGCTGCTGTTCCGGACATATCCTGGATGCGTTCGACACGCGTTAATTGAACTGTGTGAAATCAGCCCAAAATTAGTATAAGATAAGATGCTGTTATTCGTTCAACAGGAACATGTGATTACCCGGATATTGGCTGATTGCGGAAATGTAATCGTGATAAAGGTAAGGTGCCTGCTATCAAATCATATGGTAGGAACTCTATGCAGCCTTTTGTAGCGGTTTTGATATGGTTCATTGCGCTAACCAGCGTCGTGTACTCCGTTAAAGCTGCAAACAGATAACCTTGACCGGAAACGGTAATAAGGTATTATCGCGTTTCGAGGATGTGGTAATATACTTACGGTACATGCTGTCCAAATCATAACCGATCCTTACACGACCTCTTTGGTACATTATCTCGCCTGCATCTGGCACTAGTGTGGCATTGGGATTAACGGGCCAGAAATCGTATTCATCATTCGGCTTGCGCATATGACTGGCAGCGTCAGAAAAAGCAAAAACAGCGAATAAAATGAGAAAATATGCTGCCGTCCACATCCTTTGCCGCGAAATAAAAAAATAAATTTCTGTTTCCGGAAACGGGAAATTTATATCATTAAATTCAATCAATAGCCATTGCAACGTAGGAAGCAAAGCATAATTATTATTATAGTAGATTATGCTCGCACATTTAAATTGCAGAACGCACGCCTATTCTAGTGACGAAAGAAAATGCAGAATAATAAATTAAAAGAGAAGTTCGATAGTAATGGACTTAACTTGAAACTTGTGCAGCCACGCGTCACAGGTATTGAAAGGAAATGAATCAACGTATGTCTTATCACACTGGCTTCTAAACAAAGAACGATAACGCTTCTTGTTGAGAAAGCTGCGAATTTGCATTGCGCCGTAGCGCTCGTAGCCGGCATGCAGTAAGTGGCACTTCATTACACAACGAAGAAAAGGTAGTACAAGTACTCTTGCATAACATTATTACTCTGTGAAAGATTAAGATGACGGAAGCGAAAAAAAGTAAACGTTGGGCAGTGATAAGAGTACGCAGATATAGTATTCAGTAAGAATGTCACATTTATACTGCATTCTGTACCATAACGCAGCACAAAAAGACGGTACTTACTACTTACTGTGCTAATGCAGTTACTTACATTTGAGGTGAAATACAGCTGCTGTGTTCTGCCGGTGGGGACTTTTGTTAATTCTACGCTACTGACACGCTACTGATTTCCATAAAATGATTCCATTCCATGATTTCCATTCTATGCCGACACGCTACTGATTTCCATAAAATTTAAAATGTATGGTAAACGGCACGCGATTTTTACATTCTACAAAAAACCTTAAATGAACGGGCCTTGTACAAGTGACAATTTGAAACAAAGATCTATCGACGTGCCGTCAGTCGTTTCACTTTTTGCCTTCTGTTTCATCTGTGCACCATCAAGAAACTTCAAATGTTAGCAACGAAACACTACAAGAACCTATTAATTTTCTGGACACTTCAGATTAACAGTTAACTCTAACAGAACAGAACCCTCTGGATTGACTATGCTGGAATATGTTGTATCATGAAATAGTACACGGAAGGCCATTAGAGGTGCCTCGTTAATGTTTGATATGCGTGCCAGCGTTATCATAGCCCCGGTTTCGGTGCTGTATATCCAGTTCGAGGTTTCATCCTCTTCCACAGGCACGCCCGAATCTGGATCAGGTTTCTTCGTAGTCACCGCAATTAGTTCCGACTGCGTGGCACTACCGTCTGGATCCGTTGCCTACAACCGCGAAAATGTTCCCTGGCGATGATCGACAAAGAAACGACACTGTATTTTACCCGAATGCTGAAGACCACTTGTCCAGGTCGCAGTGACCCATCTTCTTCACATGCGGATGTGGTAGTAAGTGGTGGTCCATGCTCATAGGAGCAAAAGGGAACATCACGTAGTCCCAATACCGGGTTTTCCTCCGGATTATCTCCAAAGCCGCAGGGTACCATGATGCCGTTATTCACGCGAAAGTGTGGCCAGCAGTTAACCCATACTTCGATGTCGCCTCGGGCCACCACTCTGCCTCCCGCCCGGGCACCCACCGTGGCACTAGTGCGGAAACCGCGGGAAATCTTCTCCGGCAGTCCAATCGCTACTGACTTGTCAGCGTTGTTAAACGTTTGAGTTCGTATTTTCAGTTTAGGATCGGATGAACCAAAGGAGTACTGCAGTACATCTGTACTTGTCGATGGTGCCTGCGCAAGAACAGGAGGCGTAATGTACTTAATCGCTTAATACATATTATAAGTAAAAAATAATCTGTGAGTTTTCCCACGGGAAGATTTAATTCTAGTGATCCAATTCTTCCTGTTTCACCCCGCTCTTCTAAGGCGGAAAACGGTTGACCAGCTTCATTAGGATTCCAACAATGGAAGTTAGCGACGCGGGTTGGTGGATTCAGAACGATTTCCGGTAAAGCGGAGCCTATTCACAAGCTGCGGATTAGCACAAAATCCACGCATTAATACTTCGTGGCAATCTATTGCATGCGAAATACGCTTCCCCCAAAAATAACAAGACTCGGCCATCACATCGATGCGGCCTTTGAACTCTTGAACCAAATTAACCTAAATGTAGCTGCAACATTAAAAATGTCACATAAACGATACTTCCAGTAACCAAAATCTTGCTTAATGCGGCTAAATGCTATTAGACGGCAAAATATGATTTCAGAGGTCAGCCGGCCATGCTCGTTTACTGCTAATCTGACTACACTCATACCGCACGTAATTCCACAGTCATATATTAGATTCAGCAGCTCGCAGTCTTTTTGGCTTAAACGACCCGAGATGGACGGGGATACCGACACTCCTGTGCCTAGCACGAACAACGGTTCATCCGGCGAAGCGGCATATTGTTCCGGTGTTATCATGGTCACTGAGTCAACATCCAGATCACGTTCAACGCCCACGGCATCTTGTTTGGGGAAAAAGAGGTATTCATTGCGTAGGTACGACTTGGTGCGGTTGTTATACCCTCTAGGAAACGAGACGCCAACGGATGCCCGGTCAGGACGCTGGAATTCATTGACGATGCCAAGGAGATTCAGCAGATAGCGTGTGGTTTCCCGTTCGTCGTCAAGGCATCCATGTTCCGCAGTACTATTGCCTTTACTCAGCGATCCGAAAAGAAATATAACTTGTCCGGCTCCTTGGCTGTCGATAACGTATCCCGGGTGGGTGCGACAAGCATTAATCGTACTAAAAAAGCCGTGCCTTTATAATTACAATCAAATGGCACACTATTTTTATACTGTCAGTGGAATGAAAATCGCCTGTACCCGGTTTCAGGTTGGTTTCGAATGTGGAGCTTCGACTGCGGTACACTACTCAGCAACTGATCATACGGCGCGAATTCTATGCAGCCTTTTGTGGCCGTCTTGATTCGGTCCATAGCGTTGGTCAGCGTGCTATATTCCGCCAGTGCTAAACACATACAGATACTTCACTGTGATACAATGTTGCCCACAGAAAACTAATTATTGTCCGAGTTTTCTATTATTTTTACATACGGTAAATGGAATCGCGAACATAACCAATACGAACACGGCTGATTCGGTATGCAGTGTCGCCGTTGTTTGTCGTTGTTGTTGCGCTGGGGTTGATAGGCCAGAAATTGTACATTCCATTGGGCAGCTGCAGATGACTGGCGGAATATGAAAACTCAACTATTATGGAAAGCAGAATAATGCAACCCTGCATGGCCCACATTTGACTGAGAGCAATTGTATACTATACTACAAATTCGCTTAACATAAAGCAAACAGAATCTCAATAATTTCTTGCGAATAATATTATGGTGCTCGTTTTCTGATGATTACGGAAGGCAATTCTGATGATTACGGAAATTGTTATTAAAAAATAAGAAAACACAAATAAGCGCGGAAATTTTATTGTCAGTCACCTTCGTACCAAAACTTGCTTTGGTCAAAACGCTTGGTGTACTTGTACTTTTCCTATCAAACGACTACATAGTTGCATAATTACCGGCGTATTAGCGAGATAATCGTTAAATCAACAACGTTGCTGTAATAGGGTGACTGTTACGAGGTAACGAGGATAAAGTATGCAGATGATAGTTATGTGTAGAAGTAAGTATAAGCAGTATTGCGGGTTACAGATCTTTATTAACCGGCTACCCTTGTGTAACAAATATGATCTTCTTGTGGACCAACGCTCAGACGACTGCTTTTAGAACACTGATTTGCGATCCATTGGTGTTCTCAAGATTCTCGGCCGCGGCAGCTCGGTAGCTAGCGGGTGTTGATCCCAACAAGCTGGGTATCAGTACCTGATGTATATTGATATTTGCGTCACTACGTACTGTTTCTACATATGTCCACGTGACGGAGTACTATTGCCGTACATTTGTAACCCAAAAAAAAATTGCATGATACTCTGCAACCGCACACCGGAAACGAATGACCACTGAAAGTTAACAACTGTTGTACACCATAATTTTCTTCGTTCAGCAAATATCTCTCCAGTAAAGACTGTATATGATTCAATTATTGTGTGTTTTGCGTAACTCATTGTGGAAAGGCTTATTGTCCAGCGTGCCCCTATGCCAAAGCCAATACTCTGCTTTGGTTTTTTTAGGGTAACAATTATTTTCATAACTTGCCGGGGCTCCGATGATCCCCTAATTCTGGTATTGCTAGTTCATTCTAGCTTTTATCTACGGTATATCATTTGTCAGATACCTGCTTTTTACACCACCCAATGTTTTAATATGTATGAAAACTGCGAGGACAAGAAAGATGGAAAGATAAATGTCAAAATACAAACCAGTGACTCCGTCATATTCACAGTACCATTTTTTTATCAAGTTGGATACCTTTTCTACGCACGAACAGCAGACAGTTTAACTATAACACGCCATAAGCACCTAAATTATTTTCAAAAGAATCATGTTTGCATTGGGGAAACTCAAAAGGAATTCATGCTCAGACTAACATTCACCCATTGGGATACAACCGAGCACGCACGACTACAGGAAAATTACAGGAAAGTTGAGGGTGGTTTACACTTTACACTTAAGTGTGGCAGCGAAGGTGAATGCAATGGGAAGACCAGCAGCGTCCGGGTCAACGAATAATAATTGAAAGGCATAATTTCCCGGTTCAAAATTACTCGCAGTGACCATTAATGATTTGGAGGTTTCAACGTATTTCCAGCTGCTACTAAAGTCGTTACCAGGATTACCGTCACGATGCACTCGTAAACCAAGAAATTCTGGTGTCGTTCCATCGGGATCGTTAATCTGTAATGCAATACAGTTTACTTGTAAAGCTAGCCAGAGACTGTACAAGCTTGTCCGGCAATTTCTGTCGTAAAGGTACAGCTAGCGCGAAATTTGCGCTTAAAATGATGGCCACGTCACTACGCCTATCGGATTGTCTAAATGCGCTCCGCAGATAGATTGCCCATTAACTACACCGACCGTTTTCTATTCTAACCACCTTCAGCCAGGCAGTTTCTGTTATTCTCATTGAATTATCTGGCGTGCACCAAGCCACCTGCCAGCCAGATGCATGTTACGTACAGTATTTAAGCAGTGTGGCGTGGCGCGCCGTAGCACAGAGTTTGGCGTAACACGCAAATTTGTATACTTCGCTGTATTGAACCGGCAGAAATTACCGGACAAGCTTGTACAATGTCACATATGCGTAGCGGTTAGGAATGTGCTGTACCGAAATAGTAATGATGTTCCGGAATTCGGCAATAAAATTATCTCCACCAGACGGGTTACAGTGCAACCCTGACCGTGTGTATGTTGTTGCGCCGCTACGAGCGCATTCTCTTTCAACGATGAAGTCCGCAGCAGCCTTGCCCCGTTTACCAGGCGTACCACAAGGCAGCTCCCCCGCCCCCGCCAGTTGGAATCGGGGCCAGCAGTTAACACTGACCTCGATGTCATCCGCCGCAACAGGAGTGCTGCCGGTTTTGGCGGTGAGACGCACCGATGACTTGAAGCCCTTAATAATTGAATTTTTTAACTTCAGCTGGGCGGTCTTTGGGGTGGCGGAATTAGGTGATGTTGCTGTGACGCCAATCGCTGGAGTGAACTCGTATGATATACTGGTAGCCGATATCGGATTGGAATCCTATGGGAAATTGAAAGAACTAAGCTGGTTTGTATCCTGCGACAGGCCATAAATCGGCGACTGCAATAGAAATACTTACCAGTTTTTACTGCCCTCACTTGTCAGAAAAAGGCAGGCCCGACGACCGGTACTGTGGGTTTTACTTACAACCAAAATCTCAATATTTTGTTATAAAAACAAAATTAATCGTGGCGTGATCTTGAAACGCAGAAATACTTCAAGTTCATCATTAATATCGCATTATTATGCAAGCAAAAGCATGCCGCTGACCTTGAATTAGCCAATAAGTTCGCGGATAGTGTCAGCAAACATCTGTATGTCAGCCATGCGATAGGTTACTGTCATGAGTAACTGCCGCTCGCTGTAGCTCGCGTAGAATGGACACTTTTGCTTGGTACGAAGTACTTATTTAAAGCGTGTAAGTAAGTATAGACTGTACCCAAATGAGCAATATAATTGTACCTCAAATTAGCAATTTAAAGAAACTTCGAAGTGCAGTACAGACATTATTCTCGTACATATACAGATATGCAGTTAATACACTAACAAAAAATCAAAATAGAATTTATATTTGGTTCACCTTCTATTCGTTCAGTTAGTTAATAAAATTGGCTAGTTTTATTTTTATTATTGCGCCAATTTTCACAATATGTGCATCAGCGAGCACCACTCACCATCAGTAGCACAGTCAAATATAAAGATATCTTGACTGAATATGCTGATTGAGTTTTTTCAGCTATAGTACGCGTACGAATTCTGGACAATAGTGTTATGGTGTTACCTCTACGATAGATATGGTGTCCTCAAAAACGTCGGCATCGTTAACGGAAGCTGTTGTGGTTTCCCAGCAGAAGTAGCTCTCTGATATCTCGTCCTTATTGAATTTCGGCAGGCCTAAATCTCCTGTAGATGGAAAAAGTGGCACTTGCTGCAACGGTTTTTTTTTGGAAATATTGATTTCGGTTATGAAAATTGAAATCAGAATTCAACAAAATTCATTTTAAAATTAATATCAACGAAACAATATTCAGGCTTTAAAAATACAAATTTCAAGGAAACCGACTGAAGATGACGTTTGAGGAAATCTGTAGTTATAGCACGGCACTAATCGTATTCACGTTAAAACAACGGTAAACATTACCCGAAGTGGAGGCGCAGACTATATTGCACTGATACATGTAATTGAGCGCCTCGCAATCTTTTTGACTGAGCGTTGCGCTTGTGGGTGCGTCTTTGCCGTCTGTCCGTGTAAATACCGGAATACTAGGATCTTTCGCATACCGCGCCGTTCGCACCATCGTGACGGAATCCATATCAAACTCATCAGGATACAGCGGAATTGTGTCAGTTTTTATATTGAAAATCCCATCGGCTTGCAGAACATCCAGCACCTTGTCGTTATAACCTGACAGGAACTGCATGGGACTTTTAGCCACATCATCGCGATCCGGGCGCTGGTATTCACTGACTACACCCAACACGTTTAACAGCATACGGGTGACGTCACGCTCACCGTCCACAGGGTCCAGACAACCGGTGCGGCCGTTAGACACCATCAACAAAGTTTGACTGCCCGCCGTGTAGCCAAGAGGACCTCGGCATACAGGCGAGACAGATCTGAAAGTTGTGACATAACCAGTACATTATTTCCATTGTTTGTAAACCATTAAATTTTGATTATTACAGTATTACTATTAAATTTTATTGTCGGCAGTGGTATGGGTTCAGCAGTGTTAAGCACAATTAAGTAAGACAGCATCCAAGTAAGACATTTTTAAGTAAGACACATCCAAGTTCACAAACGTACTGAGTGGTGGAATTGATATAATAGGTCACGTGAAGTACGTCAGTATAAAGTGCACTCCACGGGACGAATCTGATGCATTTATTGGTGGCTTCATAGATCTTCGTGATGGCATTTTGGAAAATAGTGTACTGTGGAATAGCTGCAGAAAGGTATATATAAAAAAAAACAGCACCGTGACGTCATTTGTACGACAGTTCATTACCGTAGTCCTTGCGCTTTTTTTAAAATTGATACTTACTGTAATCGTCTGGAACATCGTAGGGTATCTTCACTAAAGGATCAGTGTACCCGTTGTTGTCCATTGCAGCGTTCGGGTTGCGGGGCCATCTCCGTGCTCGTGGTACGCCATAACCCGCTCCGTGGACAACACTGAGCAGAGCTCCAAAGGTTAACAGCCGCGAAACCGAGTACAACATGGTAGAAACTGTTATTTTACTTGTCAACAAAAACTTGCGAACGTTCTAATGGGCCATGAATTGCTCCTTTCGTCTCTTTGCATCGACTGAAAAGGAACGATACCACAAGGAAAGTTGTTATAGATAACGACATAATCTATCGGTGTGCGTGTGTTTTGTAAGTAAGTGTAGAAAATTTATTATCAGTCAGTTTTATGAAGTAGTATCCAGAATTTGCTTGATAAAGGGAGTCTTTACAGTTTTTAACAAGGGCGGCTGAATCAACGGAATATGGAGACTGTCAAAATTATCTTATCTGTACCGGCACAAAAGCAGGATATTACGTAAGCAAGTAATTTGCTCAAAGGTGAAGACTTTCTGGAGACCTTGAGATGCGTGACTGGTGCGTAACATATTTTGGTGCACACATACTGAATTGTAGCAGTATTGATTGTGTGCAGTAAAATTACAACAAACTTTCGGGCACCCAGGAAATTATTGTATGGCTTCTTCGGTTAGGTAATACAGTAGACTGTCAAACTTGAAACTAATTCTGAACACATTTATAGCAGTGATTTTCCGGGGTTTTTATACAAACGGCACAATTATTGTTTTGTCATGCCTTTAATAAAGGGATGCAGGGTCCCGTACAGAAAAAATATCCCTTAGTTTTGCGGTCGTTGAAATAAAACAACCATGGTCAGAAGACTTACAGCTTGAGCTGGTGGAGCCATACACGTACCGCCTCACCTTACCGCCGCCGGAAGGTCGCTGCGTTAAAATTGCTGTTGGGGGCTCAAATGCTGTTGTTTCGGGAATTAAGCGGCGGCTTGTTATGCTTAATCCAGAGCATGATTATCTGCATTGTTTGGTGTTGTATTCTCCGTGATAAGTTAGTGCTTACTGCTTAGGTTACCTAAGAAGCTGCTCGAGAAATTTTAGATCACGTAATTATACATAGCTGTGGGAGAGCGCGTATCGTAAAAATGTTATCCTTCGTGATAAACATGTGAGCAAGGTACCGAACGACGGCTTATCGGACTGTTCGCTTGTTGCATAATTATCTCATTGTCAGATGAATTTTATGAACCAGCTAAAACTGTGCTAGCGTCAGGGTTTTCTTCAAATCTATATAAACTAAATTAAATCAAGCTCACTATATATAATGGCAAAATAATACAATGGTTTGAAATTATTCTATCAATCTTCAGGAGATACTCTTGTTTTTTAAAGGCTTGCCTTTTAAATCTGTTAAAAAATCTGTTAAAAAAATGTGTTATCTGTTAAAAAATGTAGTGCCAGTAAGTTTTACTATATTCACAATCAGACAACAAATTATTTCAAACGATTCTTACGTGCATTACCGGTGCATGACTGAACTACTATATTTGTTTCTGAGGCGAGCAGCAATAACCATAAGGAGAATAGTGTGATAAATATTTGATCACCGTTAACAGGCTGCTTAAATATGGATACAATATATATATGTAAAACCAAAACCGATGTTACTGACCCTACACTTTAGTGACCTTACACTTTACCTTACACTTTCCTGAGTACCTTACACTTTACTGAGGAGCTCAGTGAGCTGAAATAACAAAAGTTTACTTCAAAAATATGTCGTGTGGTTTTTTAAAACGAAATGGCTGTGCGCCCCGACAAACCGGGCGCATAGATCTTAGCTGTGCGCCCCGAGTGCTCGGGCGCACAGAATTTTGCTTTGCGCCTCGAATGTCCGGGCGCAGAAATATCGAAGTTTTTAAGTTTTTCCGGCAATTGATTGTTTTTATTTTATTTTTTTGTATTCGATTAACCCTTAAGGTTGCAGGAGAGCAGAAGTTTACAGAGAACTGCAGAATTCAAGTACCCTTAATAGTATTGGTTTTATTTATCCCCATTTTATTGCATGGTTTATTGAAAAGCTTACTCAAAACATCACGGAATCAGTCTGAGAGATCCTAATTTTTTGCAACTTTACAGCAAGCTTATAACACTGGTTTAATTACGTTCTGTGGGTAACAATTGTTATAGGTCTTCTAGGACGGCACAGAAGTCCACTCCATGCACCAAACTGTGGCAAAATAGAATTAGCAAAGCTAATTCCGGTTAACGCAGCGTAGATAGTTGCAAGGCTGGACGACTTGATGACCAGTGTCCAGCCGAGAAAAGCCATTAGGTAGGAGTCGTTGGGATTGGGATGTACATCCCGATACTATTGTATCGTTGGGATGTACATACATTGTGTCGTCCCGATACTCGAGAAGAAATGCAACTCTGATTGACGATGTCGCTGATAGCGATTGCACATTTGTATTTAGTTCGTTTTGGTTGCTGCTGTGTCCACTGCAGTAAATCAACTTTAGTATCAGTAAAGTTTATTTACATCATTACATGTACCAGTATCAGGTAGCTTTTCTCTCCCCCCCCCTAAAATTTTTTTGCGAAGAGACTGGGGGTTTGTTTTAGCAAGAACGACGGGGTCGACTGCACCGGTGACCCGTGTTCCGGTGCTAATGTCCTCATCCAGTGCTCAAGTAAATCTTAATAATTACGCATCGTCGCTGTTGCTGCCGTAGTCTGCGTTAAAGCAAATAAATTTACGGGTTGAGTCTCATAAGCTGTCATGTTTATAACAATACAACAGGAAAACTGAGTTGTTGAATAAATGCAGTAAAACAAGCCAAATAAGACATAAAAAACCTTCAGGAAAACAGCAAATCGCCGATATTTCTGCGCCCGGAAATTCGGGGCGCAAAGCCAAATTCTGTGCGCCCGAACATCGGGGCGCATAGCAAAATTCTATGCGCCCGGTTTGTCGGGGCGCATAGCAGTCACCTTTTTAAAATTACTTTACAGTATAAAGCGGAAAGTAAAATCTGCTGCTAATGTAAAGTTATACATTTTAAAAACAATAAACTTCCCAAACAGTTATGGCTCTTTCCCATATCGCTGGAACATCCACACAAGCCGGCGCAGCAGCGGCTCAGGCCGAACGAAAAAAAAACCGAGAAGTACCAGGACATCACCCATGATTACCTGTTCCGAGCGGTCGGCGTGGAGACAGTGGGGCCACTCGGACCGGAAGCCTACCCGGCTGATTAGCGAAGTGGGCAAGATGATTTGGCAGGAAACAGGCGAGAAACGTGCAACGGAGTTTTTGCGCCAGAGGTTCAGCATCGAAATTCAACGTGGAAACGCGGCATCCATCCTGGGAACGGCACCGGCCTCGGCTAATTTAGATCAAATGTTCTCTGTAATCCGGCCGCATGTTTTGCTGTTTGTTAATATTACGATGTAATGTTTCTTTTGTGAATTGTAATCTTGTCTTTGTATTCGATTAAATAGTTTAGTACTTGTAAAAAAACAGTTAAGTACTTGGTTAAACTGCTCAAACTTGCAGTCATTACTACTATCGTTTATACGAGTGCTAAAATGTTTTTGTTCCAGTTTATTCGATACGAATACAAATTCTTCGACCTTCGAGAGTAATGAATCAGCATAATTTAATCATTTAATTGTGCTTAGCACACTTACGAGTTCATTCGTCAAAACCCATACTTTGACGTATCAAAACAGATATAATTTCATCATTAATTTTAATTGCGAACGTAAATACTTTCTTGTGTCATGCAGTGAGTTACATATGATTTGTTTAAAAAAATATCCAGTTTAACAAGGGAATAGCAGATTAATGATGCTATCTGTCTTTTGTACCTGAGAAACGAAACGGCAAGCAAATGAAACGTTACATGCCGTAATCGACCGGCATTTTCCTCTAGTAGCTAATGAAATATTCCGTGTGGCAGTTTTACCGTTTTGAATATGAATAATCCCTTAATTATGTTTAGCGTATTCATGAGCTCATGGGTCAGGAGTAACAGATTTAATGTATCAAAACACAATACATAATTTTAACATTAATCATAATAATACGAGCACTACAAATGCGAATACGACCGTCATTTACGAGCACAGTGACTCATCACACTATATATTTTGCTTTTTTTACGTGGTTTCTTAGCGTACGTTTGGCATATTAAGATTCCAAGCGGATTAAGCATTTACTTTTTTCAAATAGAGGTTAACTAAATTGCAATGACTAACAAAAATGTTTTTGTTGATGTTTTATGCAGCTTGGTAGAATATCGCATCTACAACAGTATTTGCATGGGATTATTTTTATTCCGTATTTTTGCAGTTGATGGCTTTCAGCCAGGTCATTAAGCTAAGCATCAATTGCGAATATCTATATTAAGCATATAACATAATATTAACATTTGGGTTGATTTTTTTTATTTCCGTGTGCAGATGCATCGGTAGCCAAGAGCGCATCCCTCAGTCCCTGTACTCCGAAGTCACTTCCGGCCGCAGGAAAGATAGGGAAATGTGTCAATGTGGAGAGTATGGATGAACAGTGTTCTAGAGGGGAGCTAAGTGAATCTGCGGACTGCTTCGGTGACGCTTGGTGTTGCTACGGTAAAAAACAGATTTAAAAAATTTCTTAGAATTTCGGAAGATGTATGGGCTGATAATAATTTAATTTGACCGTGACCATCCAATGAACTTCATTGAATGAAGTATTTTAAAGTTCGTCTTACAGTAATCAATTTTCAGTCGATAAATTTTTAAAAGAAACGCATGAGCCACTGCTGCTTGCACCACTGCTTCGAAATGCACCCAGAGTTGACCTTCGTTAGATTCCCATACCGGAAGCAGCATCATGAATAAGTTAATCCCATCACATGGCTGTACTATTTGATCCATTTTAAGATAGGAGCCGACAATATACATTCCAGGATTTATCGCGCGGGAACAACACATGCAACCCTTTTCGCTATTAATTGTTGTTTCCAGCAAGAGCTAGCAGATGCAGTTATTCCAGTTGAGCTACAGTACAACAGCTTAAATACGAGTAAATAAACGCATAGTGCGCTAATGTTCTATCTGTAATGATAATGCCATTAATATCTTACACAAGTAAACAATACTTAACGTACTGGCCCTCTTTAGAAGTTTACCCAAAAAGAATTATCATAATTTTTTATTATTAATAAAATAATATCTGTAAAATCTGTATGGGTTGTTGACGAAAGATCCCAAGACATTGATGAAATCCACCACCGAAGAAAAACAGTTGCCCTTCCAAGTTCCAACCGAGCATGTCCTGTGTGCCGACCGCCGCCGACGGTCTTGGTCCGTATTACGTCAACGGTGCGCCGGTATACACACCAACTGGGCATCAGACGGTGATGGTGCATGTGCCTCAATGGCTTCCGCGACGATCGCGTCATTCTGAGCGGCTATATCCGCTTCCGGTCCGATAATGTATCGTGTGGTGTCGGGAAAGGAGCGCTGGTGGATATGTGGATGGCCAATCAGACCGGATTCTACAGTATCGTGCCATCTGCCCTCCAAAATCCAACTCCCCGTACGACTACTTGATTATTCTCCAAGGTTTAGTTAATTCCACGCAACGTACTGAGATCCTAGAGTATGAAAAACATATGCACCTGGGACTGCGATTATTATTTTATTACACAGCAGTTAGCGTAACAATGGGTCCATACGTATCAGATGTATGATTGATTAATTTTGCACTTTGAAAATTGTAGTGCTGTGGGTATATAGTTGCTTCCACTAAGAATAACATAGTTTTAATATATTTTTATTGTATAGTCATAAAAATTAAAAATGAAACTCGACAGTCGATGAATAATACGTTTGTAATACAGCAGCCGGAAATCGCATATGTGCGTTTTCTGTACATATAGTATTTGTAAATGTACCCGTATGTGTGTCCGTATTTGTAAATGTACCCGTCTGGATTTTAGCAAATGCTTGCAATGTTGCGTGAAAAATTAAATAATTATTTTATAAGCAGCAAATTCTGATAAACCAGAGGCACCAGCGAAGTGGTTTTTCAGCAACCTTCCAGGATGCCGGTCCGTTTACAACGGCTACCAATGCAACATCGGTCAACGATCCAGACTGGGTAAGATACACCGTTATTATTCCATATTTATTATCGGTACACGTAGTACCATACTATGGTAAAGCCTGAATGATAAATGTCATTTATGTTTTTTGTAGTTTTGCCGTCTTAAAATCATAACCGGTGACGATGGCTATTACTCCATGTCCACGGTTATTCCCGGGCGCTTCCAACTTCTAGATGGCTGGCGACCGGCCCATATGCATTTCCGGATCTTCCAACTGGATTTGTATAATAAACCAATTGGAGAAGATTTTATTACGCAAGTGTATTTTAATTACGGTAAGTAGCTGCTTAACATAATAAATAATCTATGTTAGCGATCGGCTTGACATACTAAAGGATTAGGTTGTTAAATTAAATATACAGCTTCGTCGGTGCCGCTTCCTTTTACGCTCATAATATACGTAGTGTTATGTGCAGCTTATTTACATATCCGAGCGTCCTTTTATTTACGGCCGGTACGGAAATAGCAGTTGTTTGTAACCATATATAATGCGATGGCGATTATCTTTCTCTGGTGGAGTATACAGGTTTGCACAGACATCCATTAAACCGTAGTGGAAGTGTCACAATGTGTATAATGAAACTACATACTTCTCACCAAAAAAAAGAAACATTTGAGCCATTTGTCCTTCTGCCAGTTTCAGTGTGCATCTGACACAATTCTACCGGAAGTCAGGTACAGTTCGAGACCGTTCCGTTCTCGAACGCAGAATATGTCACTGGACTTTACACGAGAAAATAGAATTTAGTCCTAAATCCTACTGGCCTGCCAAAGAGTAAATTCGTATTAGATCCAGCTGTACTGCAGAAAATTTTCAGAACATCCAGGTAAAAGCAATATACGAGTAATAATCGTTCTGAGCGATTTCTGCATGCTGAAAACAGAATGGGCAGCTCTGTGGGGTGGCGTTGGCATGAAGGGAAAAGACAGAGTTTGATACAAGTATACAGAGTACGTGGTGCGGTAAGAATTAGTCACTACTTTGAAATTTTACTAAAATATCCTCCGAAATGGCAAATGTTTTTGGTAGCCTACCCGTAGTAAGCCTACTCGCCACAACTTAATTATCACAAAACGTAGTCACATTTTTTCCGAATGGCCACTTTCCATTCCATTTTGCTCTGCATGCGGTTGTATAATTAAGTATATTGAAAACCGATGATTGTCGTGCGGATGGTCATCCTATCCGTTCGAAATGCGTAGCTTTAATCTAACTCCGGACATACAGCGTCAGTGACGAGTTTGCCCGAGGACTTCATTTCGAATAACCCACAAAGAAACCAAATTTATCTACACCGCGAATTTTTACCGCGGTAATAGTCAGCGGAAGTAGTCCACCACACGTGCGCGTCAACGCTTATTGTTGAATGTGTATCATGTACGTATAGAGGTAAACTTAAGTGTTGCGGTGACTGTTGTCACTTGTCACTATCGTGGTCGGATCAGCACAGTTAATTAGAAAAATCAAACAGGTTATGCGTGGCGCGTAACCTTTTTTTGCTTAAATGATCGGGTTTTAACGAGCTCGGAATCGGACAGTCATAGTAGTGCGTATTGTGTGGACAAAGTCAAGGGCAACTAATCCGTAACCCACAATTACCGGTATTTCTAATTCTAACAGTTGTTACACAAATTACCTGCGCATGATTTCATTATTTAGCGCTGACGATACCAGCGCTAATCACATATTCACATTCATAAGTGTGTTAGGCTATGAGTAATAAATATTTATTGAAATTGTTACATCAGTAAGTAAAGTAATGAATCAACAAAATTAAATCATATAAATATTGTGATTAGCATATTCACAAACTGATTTGCTAAAAGATATGCTTTCAATGTACCCAAAAACTAGACCAAATTTTGACATTAATTATAAATTTTAATACAGAACATAATTTTACTCATGTCAGTAATTTACATAAGACTGGTTTCTACGAAAATATCAATCCACAGTAATAAGGAAATTGGAGATTAATGAGTGCCGTCTGTCTTTTGCACCTGAGAAACTGAAAACCAGGCAAATGAAAACGTTTCGTGCCGTAATCGTGTCTGCAAGTTTTCCTCTGTTCGTCCGCTAAAAATCAGTGGGGCGGTTTTACTGTTTTAAATAATGGTGACGGTTATTTAAAGAACGCAGTGTATACTTCGCGTTTTAATGGGATTTCTCAGGCATATTAGGTTTCTTAACATACGTTCAACATATTGAGGATTTTCATCGGATTAAATATTTCTTGTCAACTACGGATTAACTACATTGCAATGACAAACAAAAATATTTTGGTCGATGCTTTACACAGCTTGGCACATTATCGCATTTGCAACAGCATTTGCATTGGATTATTTTTACATTTTATTGCGGCAGTCGCCGGATTGCAGCCAGGTAATTATATAATAAAATGAGCATCAGCTCGACTCCCATATGACTTATTAAATAAATCTGGATATTTCTGTCGAACAGTGTATGGAGTACTTTCGTTTACACACTATTAGGTTTTGATGTTCTGATGAATGGATAACGAATGAACCCGGAAGATGTTTTTAATATTCGTCTTTTCTTTTTTATTTTCGTGCCCAGATACGGCCGCCTCGCTCAGTCCGTGTACTCCAAAATCACTTCCGGCCGCCGGAAAGATAGGGAAATGTGTCAGTGTGGAGAGCATGGATGAGCATTGCTCTAAAGGAGAGCTCAGTGCGTCTCTGGACTGCTCTAACGACGCTTGGTGTTGTTTCGGTAAGAAGTGTTAAAACATCTTCTTGAAATTTTGTTATGGGCAGCTTATTAATTATAGACCGCCTATTATAGACTGCGTATGATACTTTCGAAGTAATAAATTTGGAAAAGAAGCATCTTAGACCATAGTTATATAGTATTGCTTCTGTCTGTATATAAGGCTCGAAGAAGTAAGTGACCTTCGCTATGTCTGACATTCTGACATCTTCCTATACCGGAAGTAGAATCATAAATAAAGTAATCCAGATACTGCGATTTGATTCGACCTTTTTTGCAAAGCACGAGCAGGTGACGTATATAAGCATTAACGAGTGCGTAGTAAAGGAGGTGAAATGCGTTTCGCGGAACTCTGATAGGTGTACATTTTGTGCTTTGCGCGTTTATCCATTATATATAGTTCGCTGAATAAAGTATAAATTATAAAGTATAAGATGTAAAGTACAAAGTCCAAAGTATCGTCTCGTTTAATAGAATCTAAGCAGTATCGGAATGTTGTTTTATCGTTCAAGACACCGCTTCAATTAAAAACCAAACCACTGTTAATTGATGTTTACAGTTTATAACTGAAAGAATTTACGGTAACTGATTACTTTTGCTTAACATTCGGCCAGCCGTACAAAACAGGGTTTCTAGTAACTACGCCAGATTAGCAGAGATAATTATGTGTTACAGTTAAGCAACAATATCGTAATAAAATAGACATGTACAATGACAAAATTTCAATAATAATGCCACTTGCACCTGATGAGCACATTGCAGACCGCACAGCATACAATTATATGCCATTACAAAAGCGTATTCCCTGGCGCAATTTACCCAAAGAAATTATCATAAATGATTGTTATTAGTAAATCTCTGTATTGGATTTTGAGGAAAGATCCTAAGACTGTGATGAAATCCCTCACCAAACCAAAGCAGTCGACCGTCCATTCGAACACGTCCTGTGTGCCGACCGCTGGCGACACTCTTGGTCCTTACTACGTCAACGGCGCGCCGGTGTACACGCCAACCGGACACCAGACGGTCATGCTGTGTCCCAATGGATTTCGCGATGACCGCGTGCTGCTCAGCGGCTATGTTCGCTTCCGGTCCGATAATGTATCGTGTGGCGTCGGGAAACGAGCGCTGGTAGATTTGTGGATGTCCAATCAGACTGGATGGTACAGCATCGTACCGCCTTCCCTCCAAATCCCAACTCCAAGTACGACAATGTTACCACTCCCTAATATTAGGAAACGTAATAAGATTAACAGTAGAAACACATGCACAAGGGACATTTATTATTAACTTTTTTGCACATCAAAGTAGTGATCAAACATAATATGCACGTACGCATGTTAATCGTTTATGATATTTTGTTTTCGCAAATTATCGCAAATTATTCGTTACGTTTTCCGCTTATGCTAGTACAATAAAAATATATGAAGAAATACATATGTTTATCATTGAAAGTAACGCATGACCTCCATCATCCCAATCTGCATTAAATGCGCGCAAAACTAAATAAATAACATGTTTACAAATCAACATCGTCGCGCATTAGTAGTTTTACGTATATTGCATAGTGTTTTTCAGTCACTTTTTCTGTATTATGGCCAATGCATGCAGTGTTGTCTGAAACATTAAATAGAATATAAATAAAAAATGCTAGTAAAACTGAGTCAGATGAATTTGAATTTTATAACATTGAGCGAAGTGGTTTTACAGCTGCCTTCCAGAGTGCCGGTCCGTTTACGATGGCTACCAATGCGACATCCGCCAACGATCCAGACTGGGTAATCAATGAATGACAGCGCTAAGCCTTAATTCACTGTAACTACTTGTAGTCCGTACATACACAGCACAGATTTATTGCTACCTGAACGATAAAAATTATAATATCACTGGGTTGGTTTTGTAGTTTTGCCGTCTTAAAATCATCACCGGCGATGATGGCTATTATTCCATATCCACGGTTATTCCCGGGCGCTACAAGCTTTTTGCAGGCTGGCGACCGGCCCACGTCCATTTCCGTATTTTCCAGCTGGATCAGTACAACAAACCTGTTGGAAAGGACTTGATTACACAAGTGTATTTCAATTACGGTAAATAGCTGCTATAGAATAATACATATATACGACAGCGGTTAGCCTGACGTATCAAAGACTTAGCTTATACAATATTTCCGATCCATGCTATAATTTTAGCTTCGCCGTTGCTACTTTTTTTTAATACTCTGTACTCTTAGCATATGTGCGTGCAGTTAATTATCCGGGTGACCTTTGATTTAAGGCCGGTACGGATTTGCAGCGGTTTATCAGTACCTTATAGGTGTAATGCGATTAACATTGTAAGTATGAATTTACATGTGCTGCGAAAGCTCACTGTTTTACATCAGACAACAGATGGATGTTCGTTGACGGACTCCACCGTAAACAGTTGTCTTAAATTAAACCGATTTTTGTACAGATATATTCCGGCCAACGGATGCATGCTCAAGGTGTAACGCCATGGATCCAACGATAACCGTGACATATGCAAACACCAACGATTTCAAAACATTCGAAGGAAAAATGGACTTTTTGATAAATGTTTAAAATGCTGCCTATTTACAGTATAATAAGCAGCTTCTTTCTTGCGCGTACAATCGTACTTGTCATGTTTTATTACTTTTTATTTTTCGTCGACTACGAAGTACCGTTACTCAATTACATAAACAGATGTACATAGGTGCATTTTAAAGTTTGGAACAATACGGCTGCGGTAGCTTAATTTTTAAGGGAAGTGACCCGGTATATGTATCACTGTATCAGTGCCCGATAGCCAAAGTGCCTGTGCATATACCCGAATATTGCACCTTATATCGGGAAGGGGAAAGTCCGGAAGGGGGAGTTCAAGTTTTACTTGACGAATTAAATCTAGTCGGCTAGCACGAAGGTAGAACGAAGCCAAAAGGTTTGTCGTGAAAGATCCTAACAGAGCGTATTATGTCATCACAATCTTTCCGTGGGCGCGAGTAAGGTAAACCCGGACGTTACCGTCGTCGCCGCACTGGCGGCCTCGTATGTTTGTCGTCCTTTCGTGAGCGCCGGAGCCACCGCGGAGCAAGCCGAAAGGATAGAGCTAACGAAGCTCTGCTGGTTGAAAAAACGGTGCCATTTCGGTCCGACGGCGTTCAAAATTTACAGACCTTACTTTAGGGAGAATTGTACTAAGAGCCTGTGGTCAAGGTGGGAAGTTTTGTAAACAGGCTCTGTAGTCGCTCATTCCCTGCTTCTGCAGCCAGAAACGCGCTGAAGAGTTCTTTTCGGTATCGATTGTACGATAACATTATTCAGATCCAACGTGGGATCACATACGACACGTGTATTATTGGAATGGTTGTTGCAATTTAGCTGTACGAATTGCAAACAAATTATTTCTTTGTTTTCTGCTCTCAATACCAACAGTGATACTTCGCAGTATACGATTTTCCCATGATTTGGTGTCTATAATAAAAATTAAAATCTATACTTTTGTGTTACAACATATTGTAGACGCAGTATGCGGTTAAATTTCTATGAAACTGCCTGTATGAATTCGTACATCGTACGTTAAAGTTATTTTTGTTTTCGGTCATTACGTAATAGTCATTTATTTGCTACAAAAATGAAAATTCGCTCTATGCTATCAATACATTATGCGGTTGGATCTCTATAATGCTGGTTATTTTTCTCAGTATTGGGACACCAATTCTAGTTGTCTTTAGATTGCTGCTATTTAAGGTTTTAATTTACAGAATTTTTTACACTATTACAGAGTTTTTTACACTATTACGAAGTGAATCAAATAATTCGGAAGGGGATGACGGGAATGGTTACTGTTTGGTGGTATATATATATGCAACTGATGCAGTTCGCTTCTTCTGTCGGCATTTCGGTTATCTTATTAGTCTAAAATATGTATATTTTTAAAAAATAATCTTGTCTATCCAAAGCTTGCGTTTCTTAGCATTTGAGCAAACTTTGCTGAATTTTGCAGTAAAAAATATTTACAACTCTTAATTTTGATTGGCTAAATGAATGAAATGTTGCGAGTACGAGAAACGTGTACTGTACACGAACTTACGATTAATTTACCACTGTGGTCGAACAACACAATTTAGATGCGGTGGCAATATGCAATGAGATGCTCTGATTATGCATTTGATTAAGCTTGCGGTCGCTCCGATCCGAGGACTTCAAAATGCAAATGGACTGTGTAGACACCATACACTAAAGCCAGTTTTATCTGCCTTGCTTTTATTAAACGCGGCAAACGTCAGCGGCAGTAGTACAATACACGTGCAGCGCGCCGCACTTATTGTTGCATACATGTGTATGATTGTTGTGGTGAGTGTTGACGCTATCATAGTCGGATCAGCACAGTTCATGAGCAAAATTAAAGAGCGCTGTCACGGATAATCTGATTTCCGCTAATTATGCACTTTTTACGCGCGCGGGAATGAACAGACATAGATCTGTACAGCGTATTGTTCGCACAAAGTCAAGATCAACAAATCCGTAAGAATTATTTCAAACAATTCGTATAGTACCGGCGCATGACCAATAATTATTTTGAGCCGACACGACTAGTGCCAAGTTTAACAGACTACCAGCAACGGTTATTTGTTTACGGTTAATTACCCTGCCGCAACCATGTGGATAGTATGTGCATACAAGAAGCCGCAAAAATATTTCTTCGTATATCATTACGTTAACAAATGATTATGCTTTTCAAAAATGAAAATTTTGCCATAAAATGTAACTGTTTTGATTGTAACCAAGTTTTTAAAAAAAATAATGGTGGAATATAATGAGTGCGTTATAACGCACTCATTATATTCCACCATTATATGTAATTACGTAATTACGTAAATGAAAAGCAGAATGTTTTGCCAACTACGAGTATTTAGTTAGTTGAGCTGTCCAAATTCACCCGCGATGTTACTATTTTTTTATATAAGAAAAGTCTTTAACTTGTTTTTATTCTCTTCGGTAAACGCTCGTTCGACCTTCGACAGTAATAAATCAGCGAGATTGTAGCAAAATCAAAAATCCTTTGATGAAATAATTGGACATAGCATATTATAATTCACGAGTGCATTCGTCAAAAGTATCAAGAATGTATACATTTTCTGACATTAATAATGAACATGAACATATAAATTCTCTTGTGTCAGCGATTTACATAAGTTTTGTTTTAACAAAAACAGTCATTCTAATAAGGAAACGGCAGATTTACGAGTGCCGTTTGTCTTTTGCACCTGAAAAACAGAAAATCAAACAAATACAACGTATCGTGCCGTACTCGTGCCGGTAAGTGTTCTTCTGTTCGTCCGCTAAAATTGCATATTCCGCGCGGCTATTTTCTTATTGTGAAAACTGCTGACTGGCATTTATAGAGCTGACTATATCTTTTGCGTTTTTATGGGTTTTTTCACACGTTTACGGTTTCTTAACATACTTCCCGCATATCGCAAATTTTTGTCAAATTAAAATTGCCATTTAAATTGAAGCACGGGATAAACACGATGAGGAAAAGAATATTTTCATTACTGATGTTTTATGTAGACTGGTGATTGATCGCATCGCTAGCAACATCTGCATTGGATTACTTTTGTACTGCATCGTCGCAGTCAATGGATTTCAGTCAGGTCATTAATTATTATCCTTGTCAACTCTGTCATCTGTGTATCCATTGCAACCTTTTTACGAGTCTGATTATCTCTGACAAATAACGTAGAATGTGGCCATTTACTCTCATTTATTACACTTATCATCTGGTCTTGAATTCTCAAGCACGAATTATGGACAAACACGGAAAATTTTTTGAAATTTATATTTATAAGTTTTGCTTTTGTGCGCAGATTTTCCGGAAGTCAGGGGTGCGTCGCTCATTCCGTGTGCACCTAAATCTCTTCCGGCCGCCGGGAAGATAGGCAAATGTGTCGATCTAGAGAATATGGATGAGCAGTGCTCTAAAGGGGAGCTCAGCGCATCAATGGACTGCTCGAACGACGCGTGGTGTTGTTACGGTAAGGAACAAGCGTTACAAGATATTCCAATAATTTCGACATACGCACGGATTTATTACAATTTAATATATGGACAGATACCCAGATTCTTCTTTGAATGTGTTTCTGTCAGCGCTGCTCGTCCCTATATATATAAAATATCATTTAAAAAAAAATCTCAGATACACATCCATTAACGAAGATAACAGATACTACTGTACAAATCCACTTCGAATTGTAAGAATCGCAGCGGGGGCAGAATTAAGTGCGTTGGTTGCATGAAATTTGATGAAAGTACTTTTAACAGTGACCTTTGCTATAACTGTACTAGTAAAATGTATCTACACTGATCAGAGTTGATTTATAAATGTAGCCGTTTAAATGTTTTTTATTTGACCTTTTTCTCAAAACATCAGCAGGCTATAGAGCTAATCTGTAGGTACGACTGCATGAGTTAAAATACTTTGCAGAAATATAGATACGAAGTTTCTTTATAAGAGCACCAAATATATCTGTAGACGCATGTGATTTTGATATATAAGCACGTTATTAAAAACAGAGAATGCTGAGTTAAAAATTTGAGAGCGGGCAGTTTATAGAAGATGAAAAATCATCCGTAATATTCTTATTGCACATTTATAACTGTCTTGTGTGTCCGCAGACGAAATGTAAAGTACAGTAATAAAAGCTCCAAATCCAACAAGTTAATTTACGACTCCCACTCCCTCCCATAAGTTGAACGAGTAGATGCATTGGTTTAGCTTTTTTACTCTGGTGATTTCTTACTAGATTTCAAAAATCTAATCTCACTCTTGCTAAATATTTATTAACATGCTGCAAATACATGGCCACTGCAAACTAGAGCAGTAAGCAGCAGCAACGGCTAGTGCAATAATTACAAAATCTCTGTATTATTTGGGGAAAGATCCCAAGACAGTGTTGAAATCCCTCACCAAACCGAAGCAGTCGATCGTCCAGTCAAACACGTCCTGTGTGCCGACCGCCGCCGACGATATCGGACCGTATTACGTCAACGGTGCGCCGGTGTATACGCCAACCGCGAATCAGACGGTCTGGCTGTGTCCTAATGGCTTCCGCGATGACCGCGTGCTGCTTAGCGGCTATATTCGCTTCCGGTCCGACAATGTATCGTGTGGTGTCGGCAAACGAGCGCTGGTCGATATGTGGATGGCCAATCAGACCGGATGGTACAGTATCGTGCCCCCTGCCCTCCAGAACCCAACTCCATGTACGCAAATTGTTATACAATGCATTTTGTGCAACGCAATGTACTGAGATTTTTATGTACAAGTATAGATAGTGAAGCACGTATAGTGAAGTACGATACAGATAGTTTTAACATGCAGCAAGCCAGCATAACAGTAATATTGCTAATAGCATACAAATTTATTATATTTTGTAAACCTTTTTATCAGCTGTACGTATTTATTCTTAGCAGCATGCGTAAAAGACGTTAATTAGCACATTAAATATCGTTTTACAGCATTCTTTCAAAATGCCGACCCATTTACACTGGCTACCAATGCGACATCCGTCAGTGATCCAGACTGGGTAAGATATACCGCTGAATTTGATGATGGCAACGTTTAGCGTAAAGCCGCAAACAGCAGCAGATTGCTTATGAAATCTGTGAACTACCGTAGGTTGTACTTCAGTTATATATGGAGCATAAAACTGCCTGCAAGATAAATATCACTGATCCTTTATTTAATTGTAGTTTTGCCGACTTAAAATCATCACCGGTGATGATGGCTATTATTCCATATCCACGGTCATTCCGGGGCGTTACGAGATTCTAGCTGGCTGGCGACCGGCACACATGCACTTCCGTATCTTCCAACTGGATCAGTATAATAAGCCCATTGGAAAGGATTTCATTACACAGTTGTATTTCAACTACGGTAAACACTGCTTGTACATATTTAGATTAATATGGTAAATATTAAATTATTTACTCAAATATTTAGTCTAGAGACATATATGTAGAGGTTCTAGAGATATTTAGTCTGTCAGCCCTATTATGTTTTACAGTCTTACCGTAGTGTTCTACATATATGGCTAAATTATCCGAGTGACCTTTATGGGGTTTCACGAATTGCAAGTCCTGCAATAATTATTGATTTCCCACTTTCTCAATTACAATTAGCTGATAGAGTTTTTTCTGCAGATATGTTTCGCCCGACGGATACATGCCCAGTGTGTAAAGCTATGGATCCTACCATAACCATCACATACAGCAACACCAACGATTTCAAAACTTTCGAAGGAAAAATGGATTTCTTGATTAATGTATAAATTGTAAATCATATGAATTTTCTGTATAGCAGCTTCTTGTGGGACGTTCTTGTTCCGAACGATTTAATATCTCCCAAAGGACCATGGTTCATATAAATTTTATATATAATAGTGTATAATAAATAATAGATATGTGGTTAAAAAACGCATTTACCGGTCCGCGTATGTGTGTATTTATAAATTGTGCACTTATCTTTCGAACCTCTGTGGCACTATTGGAAGTTTCTGACACAGTAGGCGTAAAACAAAAAAAAAGGAGCAGCTGGGCCGAATGTTCCTTTAATAAAAATAATGAAGTTCCCTCGTTCAGCTTGCGTCGGGCAGACCGGAAGTCGAGGACAGTTGGAGAAACCAATTGATTCTCGCAGTTCGTAATAACAGATTTGGTCTGAATGGCTTGCCAAAGCGTGTTATACAGCATATGATGATCATATCCAGCTGACTGCAAAATTTTCAATCATAAAAATTAAAATCCAAGTAAAATTTTCGTTTTACGAAGTTACGAACACCGCGATTTTATCTTTCCATACACAATTTTACACCCTATAGTTATTTCTGAAATGTCAAAGAAGCCAGTGATTTTGGGTTGCACAATAAAAATTTGGGGACTTGTGACAAAGAGATCGAGCAGCCGAGTTGAAGTTCACTGGAGTTTGTTATCATTCGAATTTTGGAGATTTTTTCGTCAGGCTTCCGTGTCTTGTGGTGATGGTCTTGCACTCTTGATAATCTTTGTGCAGATGCCTGAGGGTGTATTATCGCATGAAGACTTGCAGATATGAGGAACCATGCGATAACTGATAGTTGATGACCTGTTGTGAGCCTGTGGAGGCGTGAAGCGCACCATCGCAGCTGTTCTAGCTGCGCTGGATGCAGTAGAGTCGCTGCAGTGAAGTATACAGTATTGCGCTATCCTCGTGCGACATGGCGTCCAGTCCGGAGATCCTCCTGACCAAGCCCCTGACCAAATGGCTGGAGCTGGAGTTCTGCGAGTCGGCCACGGTCTATCCCAATGCCATGACGTTCGCCGATGCGGATAACGACGGCGTAAGTTACAATGTTAGTGAATTTTGCAAACTTACCTTACCTTACTGCTTAATTACCGTAAGCGGTAAGTTTGCAAAACGAACAAATTCGTGACTTCTGAGTGAATTGTGACGTATAAGTAATATCGTGTTGCAGAAATTTAATCCAATTCATTTTTAATTGTGTACCGTATTGATTTATACAGTACTAGTACTGGCCTTTAAATATGTTTAATCCGTGATAGTATTGAATTAAAATACTGGACCGATTTTTTATGCTGATTTAGACTCATTTACATATTTTGATTTTTCTTAAAATTGTACGTTATTTTTGATTTTATTGTTTCGCTGAACTAATTTGTTGTACTTCTGCTGATGTGTAACAATTATTTTAGCAGCAATCGTTGAAAAAGAATTTTTTTAAAAAATTATTCTAAGAATTTTTAATTTTAAGTGCAGATGTTTTGCGCCGAAAATTATTTTGCTGGCGTTTTGACTTTCTTAAGGAGTACTTGAATTTATTTCTGGGTATTTTTCTTGCTTGTAGATGTCCGAGTTCTTGGCTGGATCCATCCAGGGCGATCTGTTTATTTTTAAGGGATTAACACCGAAATACTGGAAGCGCTCTTCCGGACTGGGAATGGTAGGTCTTATTCGCGCATAACAAACATGCAGACAACCGAGACAATAGTATTTCCCAATTCAGAAGAATTTATCTGTAAATTATTCTTTATTGGTAATGAACAGAATTACTAATCAGTTTGGGTTTTTACGAAAACCCCGTTTTTATAGAGCAGTAAAAACGAAATCTAAAGTATGTCTTCTCCAGAGTTTGAAGCTAGAATTCTTATAATTGTCCCTGCGTTTGCGCCTTTGCGGCATACTGCGGTACAAGTTCAGACTGTTGTTGTGCGAGATGCTGAATTTGCGATCAGTGTACACGCGGAAATTTTTTTTTGCTGCAAAAATTTTTAGTAATTGTGTACTTATTTGTAGATTAGCGTCGTGGGAGCCGGTGATATTATGCAGAAAAAGAAGAACGTGATTTACGTCGTTACGGGTGAAGGGACCTCTACACCTTCTTCATCACTCCCACCAACGTCACGCATGCTAATGTCGCGCAAGAGGTCCGTTGATTTTTTTGTTGATTAAATTTCCAAATATATGATATATCTGTAAATCGTGCACTTCATCGAAACGTCTTTTCCAAGCTGATGGTATTCGTCGGCGGTTAATTTGCTGTAGTTGTGGTTTTGTACATTAAGAACTCAAACGGTATACCGTAATATTTTATAATAATTCTTTTCAGCTGTTTTCTTATGCAAACAGTTTTAATTATAAGTTTATGTTTGCAGTCGTCCGTGCAGTCGTTTGCGCTGCTCATTATTTGCCCATTTTTTATATTTTTTACCATGTTTCGTTTATTTTGTTGTGGTCTTCATTGTATTGTGACCGTTTTTTTCCGGCCTCCTGAATATAAATTGGAACTTTGAATATGTTGCTTTGCAGGACAGCGGTAAACCTCGCGACGTCATGATGCGTTCCCGCAGCAGTATTGAGCCGTCTTTCATGCAGAAGATTCCTCCGAACATCGTCATGTCGGTGTTGTCCGATATCGGTATGATTTAAATTTTTTAGCATACTGCTGTCAGCAGTATGCTGACTTTTGTAGAATTCTTTGTACTTCCTAAATACCATGGTTCAATAACTTCAGTTATTCCCAGCAACTTCAAACTTTCATTTATGTACAGTATTAGTGATGTGGTGTACCTTCGATTCATCATTATTTTTTCGAAGTTGTTTGTGAAGTTTTACAAATTTCTGTCTTTTGTTAGATGGCGATGGCTATCCCGAGATTTTATTCGGGATGACTGACCGTGTGGTGCGCTCGTTCAAATGGGTGGAATCGCCGGTATGCTGAGCAAATACTTTTATGACCAGAAATCAGAATGTGGTGTATAGGTAGCAGTCTGTGTATTCACCCTTGAATATTCGGCTGTTAGGTACTTACTGTATTTACTGCTATCCTGTCAAATTAGAATTTGTTATTTTTTGTGAACCACTATCGCCTCATCGTATTCTTTGTCGCGGATTGGGTTCAAGTTTGGATATACTGTATCAGAATACGGTATCACTAGCGAATTTTTACTATGTACTCGTAGTTTTTCTTGCAGGCCGGTGTTGAATAAGTTGCACCGTAGTGTAATGGCAGGCGAATGCAAGACAGAGACCTGTTTGAAATTATGAAGACGTATACTTAAAAGTTAGCAGTGACAAGCGCTTTCATTTAAAATCCTGTGATACGGAGGAATATTTTTTTATTATTGCATCGTGATCACATTTTATTTATATATCGTCTTAGAAAATCGTCTTTTCGGATCACGTTCAGCCCCTTTAAAAAATTTGGTGAAGCTTTGTGGTGGCTATTGCGTACGGGAAATTAATTGGGTGTGTTTTGACAGGCTGGTCCCGGTCAGACGACACCCACCGGCGCCTTCATCACCCTCAACAAATGGGAATTCGCCGGCCAGATCGGCAACCTCTCAGCCACCTTGAGCGAGGGTATCGCGCAGATCCTGGTCAGTCAGCCCGGCGGGAGTTGCTGCCGGTTGAAGGCCTGCCCCCTTCGCCAGGAGGAGCAGCAACCGGTGCTGGAGATTAACTTCGAACCGCCGGTTTACCACAGTCCGGCGGCGTCCCGTCTGCGCAACCCGCTGATGATCGCGCACGTGCTGGGCGGGGTGTCGTTCAAGGGTCCGGAGAACCGCGGGAAAACCGGGCAGAGTATGGTGGAGTGCGGGAGGAATATCTACGCGCTGTGTGCTTTCGATGGTCAGTAGTCAGTACTAATAGAATTCAGTTAACACTATAATATGTCAGAAGAATATATAATTTTTTTTTAATTTTGACATGAGAACTCTGATTTCGCAGCCAGTATGATTCTATCTTTTCGAAAACTGACAGTACTCGTACTTCATTGTACTCGTACGAAAGGAGTGTGTGTAATCGTTGATCGTAGTGCGATGGTTAACTGAATATAGATCGTAATCTTTAGACTTGCCATATGTACACAAAGCATCACGAATACGTAGTTAAAAATTTTTGCAGATCTGCGTAATCTTATCATTTATACGCTTTAGATTTTTGCAAATAAAATCTGCCGAGCCAGTTCCATTTGCATAAGTTTTGTACACTAAGTACAGAATTTATAAATTATTTTCACTTGTTGACAGGAATGGTCGTTCGTACTGTTAGTACATTTCGCTTTGTGTGTTTGGACACTGCGTGTTTTTTTTGCGTATTAGATAACTTTTGTGGCTGTAGGCACGGTGATGGTGTGCAACGAAGATACAGTATTATGGGAGCATCAGGCCCAGGAGCATCCGATCGCCATCCAGTCCCTGCCGCTACGTGTACGTTACCCTGGCACATCGATGATCGATCATCCCTGCGATCCGGATTCTTTAATAATTAAACCGTGTAAATGGTTGCAGGATGAGTTTGTGATAGCCACGAGTTCCGGTGCCGTATACGTGTTTAACGATAGGAAGAAGATGATTAAACTGCTGACGTCGGAACCCATGAACGGATTCGCCTGCGGTGCGTTGCTTTATGGGAATAATTTAACGCCTTACGGCGAATCGTTTAGAACACGGTGTGCTTTCTATTGGAAATCGCCACCCAATTGGGGTTCGTTTTTTAATTGGTATTTTAGCGTGGTTTTTAAAGGGAAAATTTATCGATTTTTATTCCGTGGTTGTTAAAGGGGGAATTTTAGGAAATTTTTAATTTATTCTTTTTATTGTGAAAATTTTTTAATTTATTTTATTGAAGCAGACACGAATGTGGAATTTCGTGTGAAACGTTGCGGCGTTTTATACAGTGTGTTGTATTAATTTATTGTTATATTTACTGTGGATTTTTATACCCATTTGCATTTTTGCATAGGTTCGTATGGTGTAATTTCCCGCAATGGCGAGCACGTCAACACATGCGCCTTCGCCACCATCTGCAGTGGTGGCCGGGTGATTATCTACTACGCTCTGGAGATTCCCTGTTTGTCCACGATTCCGTCCTTCTGGAGACGCCCGAAACAGAGAGCATGACCGGCCAAAGTCGGCGCTTATATGTGATTTCATCGTTTTACCTTTGTACAGCTTTTACCCGTTCTGCTTTTTGATTTGATTTTGATAGAGTTCTAATGGATTTTATTACGTTTTTTAGTTTTCGAGTTCGTGGTTTCTCGGCGTTGATTAATACTACTGCAATCAAAACACACTATCGGTATTATCTAATTTTGATATGAGTTTTCGTTGGGGCATGTTCTGTTTATCTGGAGACTGGAGTGAGAAAAGATTTTAACTATCACGGAATTGTAAACACATGATTACTCTAATAAAATTCGTTGATTTGCAGCTACTGTATATGGGCAACAGCCAGCCAAGGCTCCGGTACAGCCGCAACATCAAATAAATTTTAATTTTTATTGACATTTTGTTTTAAATTATTTATTACATATTTATTTTACATTATTTATTTAACATTTTTATTTTACACATTTGTTTTACATTATTTATTTAACATTTTTATTTTACACATTTGATTTGCATCATTTATTACATTTTGATTTTACATTTTACGCACAGAAGTTTATAGGATTCTTTGCGAGTCTCCGTTTTAAAACGTAAAAACTGGGTTTACCTTTAACCGAGAATTTTTGAAAGTTGTTTTTAAAAAAAAATCAGTGTTTTTAAATGTTACCTTTTCGTGAACACTACGTATACTTTAACTGATTGTTCTAACTGTAAAGTCTAATTATGCCGCATTTACGAGATTATTCCAGATAAAATACAGCTACTGGATTCGTGTTAAATTGTGATTTGTGGTGTACTAAATTCTTACCGTTTCAAGAATTTCACTTTCAAACTGAGCTTGCAAATTTCTCATGCTATTTTTGTCAACGGTCTGCTTACAATGTCCGCATACTGGTGCCGGGATTTTTGAAATTATGCAAGATATTATTCGGTAATTTGGATACGTGGTACTGCACAGTTAAACATTCAGTCAATTTCAGTGTCAGCAAAAGTTGGTCCAGCCAGCTCACCATAGATTACGCAGAACGCGAGGAGGAGCCGTGCGTACCCCGTATAACAGCTGACAAGTGTGTGCATCTCATCTGTCTTTGTTGTGTTTCGTATCTGCACACTGTGGTGAGTCTCCAGTGTCAGTCAACCCTGGCAATTCCCTCTTTTAAATTACCCAGCCTATTTCTTCTGGATCGAAACTCCAAGGCCAGTTAATCGTTGGTGTCATTGTACAAGGGAATAAGTTGATCCCTTTCCGCTAATCGTTTCATGTTTTTGTCGTTCAGTTTTTTCTCCTAGATTCGCACACGTTTATGTAACTGACACGTGATGAATGTGATTAACATTTGAATTACGAAGAAACCTACTTTTTTATTGGGCCATTCTCCGTGTGACGTGGACGATTAATAGTCCATCGATCACTGTGGGAAACGTTTTCTTTTTTGATTTGGAGGGTTGTCTGGAACTTATGTTTCTTTGTTTTCTGTGAACATTTCTGGGTTGTTGATTCGATTTTAAGCGACGACACAGTTCTGCGTGGTTCTGCCTGAATCAGTCTGGTGTGGAGTTGGATTTTGGCAGGGGTTTCTGGGGTGGTGTGGCCATGTCGGGAGATGTTGCTGCGGGAAATGGCCGAGCCATGGTTGTTGTTCGACCACAGAAAGTCTCGTAAGTGCCATTTTCACGCTAAGATAAAAAAAACTTATTTGAATTTCCTTGGAAGAAATCTGGTTTTCGTCTTTTCGAAATTATTCAGTTTTTAAATGTGGTGTTGTTATACGGTTTCGCGCTATGCTAGTATGGTTGAAAGTAGCGTTGGTACAGGGATGTGCGTAGTGTGCGTGCCATTCCAAAGTGCAGTCGTAATTCTTCCGTTCGTTCACTTTGGTCTTTCTTATCGTCTCCTGTTGCATGGCTTACTGAAATTACGCTTATTAATGTCCCTAGGTTATTCGGATAGTGGCACAGCAAAAAAACGGGGTTTTTGAAAGGAGCCATTTATAATTTTGCAATAATGGCATTATAATGGTTTGCGAAACTGCAGCATAATGACAACCACTTTATGGCACTGCTCTACGTTTTTCTGCAAAGCTTGAAATCTGACGTTAAGCAGCGACAGGCTGTATTGCAACGAGTGTAATTGCAACGACTGCAATTGTTTTTGTTTTGTTTTGCAACGAGTGTAATTGTTGTGTGTAATTGTTTTTTTTAATATTAAACGATTTAAAGTTTGCTATCAGAATTTTATACTGTAATGCATAAATAAAAATGCAATTTTTTTAAACATACGTTCGGAACTTCGGCGAATAGAAGTACAAAGAATGTATTTAGTGCCAGTCAGTGGTATCAATTTTTTTTTATTTTTTCGTTTCAGGGCCGACAAAACCGTGGTGCAGAGTGTGGTGGACTTCATCAACGACGTGCTTCCTCAGGTAAAAAACTAAAAAATCACCCGCTTTACCCTTGCATTTTTTATCGTTATTGGAATTTTTGTGGGATTTTTCGCTCATACTGAAACTCCGTAGGGAAATGTGCCTCATAAAGCCAACGACAAAGAGAGCATCATCTGGATCAAGATTGAACAGCCCGAGCGTTTAGGTAACGCACAGGGTTGTGCATTTTGTATGCACATGATACCGTCTGCATTTTGGGAATGTTTAAACGGGGACAGTTGCGGTTTAGGCGATATTGCGGACACGCATCTGCCGTTCTATCTGATCTTCGGCTACACCAACGGCGTCCAGATCTGGGCCATCGAGGCGCACGGCGAGGCTTGGGAAGTCTATTCCTCCCGGCATGGTCCCGTGAGGACGCTGCGGTTGCTGCCGCTGCCGGAAGAAGGTACACTGGATGTTTAATGCCTGTGCTTATATGCTTGCCAACTAGATTTGTTAAAACGTTTAAATATTTCCGGGGAAGCAGCGCAATAATATTGGCTGTCGGACCTGGTGTGGTTTTCATAGATCCTGTAAATATCAAATTAGTAAATATTTAACGTGGTAATTTATTTACTTAACGGCGCAGCGTGGCATTGGGCGTACATGATTGTATGGTTTTCGTAGTACAGTGACTAGTAGCGCCATTGCCTGCGTTTCGGTGTCTAATGTCTATAACCGGTCCGGGAACAGTTGCTATAGCCAAAGTATCACTTAGGGTTGAATATTTTAATTTTTTAAGAGATATAATATGATTTAAGAATGTTGTTATTTTGGGTAATGTTTGAATGCCTTGTTTGCGCATGCCTCATTTTGTGAGCAATCAGGACAGCGTGGGAAATTATTTTGCGTTTTTGACTGATACTTACGGTATATTTTTTTATCGGAATATTCACGTGCGTTTATTCTTGAAATCCGGTTTGGAAAATTTTTTGGAAGTCCCGCTGCGAACGTTTAATAAGGGATCATGCAGCGTTTCGTCATTTTTATGCGATTTGCACTAACCTTTCTTTTGGTTTTGCTCAGTTTTAGGCTCGGCGGATAACTTTGCGGAGAAACGGCCTCTGATGGCCATCTGCGACAGTGCTCAATCCAATAGTCAGCCCTTTACATCCGTCAGTATTATTTCCCTGCAGAGCGGTAAACCTGTACATAATCTAAAGTATCGGACGGCCGTCGAAGAAATTTATTGCAACCAAAGGTGAGATAATCGCGTTGATGGGCGTGTTGATGCGGTTTTCTTGGGAGTAACTTTTCCGTTTTGCAGAGTTCTTATCGTTACGTTTCCCGATCGGTTTGTTGTTATTGATGCCTGCACATTTAAGGATCGTCTTATTGTTCCTGGTACGAAACACTTATGATTTAAATTCTCGATCGATTTTCTGACATTATAAAAATTTACACGCTATCTTCCGCTTTGGCAAAGCTAATACCTGTAATTGTTGTGTATATCGGAGTAGTGATAATATTTTGTGTATTTTTGGGCAATTTGTCGTGCGTGATAATCGTACAGTGATATAAAATAGTGTATTCTTGAGACTGTAAATAAAATAATAAAAATAAAATTTAAATAAAAATAAAATAAGATGCAAAGTAATTATATAATTATTGCGTTGAATTTTTTGTAGCTTCGTTTCCTGTCCATTTAGTGTCGCCGAACCCGGTGGCCCTTGGCAAACGCTGGGTTGCCTACTCGGAAAGCAAAGTATGGCTGTTTTATTGGAAATTAAATTTTGTGATCGCCGCTTCATCATTTGCTTCCCGTGGCTTTAATTCTGCTTTACAGTGTGTGAATGAGTGATACATAATAACATAATTTTTTTTACAGCTGCATGATATGTACCATTCCCTGGGCGGACGGATGATCGACGGTGTACCGTCTTACACAGCCTCGGTTATCAGCGCTGCTAAGGTATTCCCGTCCTAAATAAAACTTTCCATCAGCTGTTTTAAATTGAATGTAATAAATCGTGTTAGACATTCGCGCTGATCAGGGATGTAAAACTTTTATCTGTCGATTTAATAATTATTATCGTGAGTTTTATTTCTATTGTATGTTGTCATAACGAAAGGCACCAAAACTTTGGATTACTAGGGACGAATAAGAAAAATTACTTACAGAAATACTGCTTTCTTTATGAACACAGCGCATGGAATAACGAACAGTATTGTCGATTATAGTAGAACGATGTCAGGAAAAGTTTCTGCAAAACAGCAACGGAATTACGAAAAAGTTTTAAAGGAAATCGAAATTTATATTAATTCGCGCACTATTGTTGCTTTGCGGCAGCAGCGGCACCCTAAGTTGGGGAAAAGAGGGGTTGGGGTTTGTTACTTCCTTACCACTGCACTACGCCGAGTCGCCGACAATGGTATAACTGCTGCGCGTGATGTACGGTATATTGCATTCCTACTTACGCTTGTTATTCTGTTTACCGCAGTTGCGACAAAAATTTTTTTGTTTGATTTGTCCACTACGGTATGTCTTATGTTTTGTAAGGCGCTGTCTGCTGTACCATAACGAAAAAATTTGGATACGCAAGTAGTAACTTAGCGTTAGTGGATACGATACGATAGCATAGTCGCTCGATGCAAGTTTCTTGATAAGCAGGCGATTGTTGTGTTGATAGACCATCCAGCAGGGCATCACCAACATCAGCGAAGTGGTGGCCAACAGTATCTCCGGGACGAAGAAGTTCACCACCACGTCCTCCTTCGCCAACACCGCACCGGAAGGCAAACAGGAGGGTGTGGTCACCGTGCTGGACATTGAGGCCGCCGGTGACGGGGAGGTAAGCGAAGTGATACTCCTGGTTGCGTTTTCCATAGAATCAATAAAACACGTGATTTACAAGATACTATTCATATTTACAGTCTATATTGACGCAGGTCATTGTATCAGTACAGTGTACGGAAATTTAATTTGTTATTTTTTCTTATGAAAATATATGGAAAATAATAGCACTTGTCTTGGCTGCTTTTCTGTCTTAATTAGTGAACAGTACCATGTGCCGGTCAGTGGTGGTTTATGACGTGTTCGTTGTAGGTGTCGTTGGAGAAGGGCGGCGTGAATCGGACGGGCGTGGTGGCGCACTTCCTGGCCCATTCCTCGTCCAACGTGGCGGCGCTGGCGTTCAGTGTGGACGGGAGTCTGCTGCTGACCGCCTCGCAGACCGGCCAGCACTTCCATCTCTTCCGCATCCAGCCGCACCCGGCCGGCTCCTCCATGACGCTGGTGCAGCATCTGTACACGCTGCACCGCGGCGACACCAACGCCACGGTGCAGGACATGGCCTTCTCCCTGGACAGCCGCTGGGTGGCCGTCACCAGTCTGCGCGCCACCACCCATGTCTTTCCCATTACGCCCTACGGTGGTAAGTGCCAGCGCGACGATGCTCACTCCGCTCGTTTTTCTCCCAGAATATTTCCTATTTTTGGGGATTATCATTGTGATGATTATTGAGTGACCACAATTTTGCGTTAATTTTCGCTGCTGTTTTTGCGAAAATTAAGCTGTTTGTTTTGCGATGAACATTTTTGGTTTTTCTCGATTCTGGTTGGTATGTTGTGGTTGTAACCGTTTTCGGGGGTTTCACCATTATGCCTTTTTATTATCAGTGGAATTTGTACTTTATTTGTTTCACCGTCTGAATCTTGAGAATATCATGGATATTATGATGAGAGTTTTCTACAAGTTTCTGTGATTTGCTGGATTTTGTACAATCTTTGATAATTCATGGTGGTGATGGTATGCATTGGTTGCATGTAGAAGTAGTTACTGTCGTGTTTACGTAGTGTAATGGCGTGGGGTCTCGGAAATCCGGGGTTGTCCTGTATCATCAGCAAACATTGCAGCTTTGCTTAAAAGAAATGGTTTTACTTTTGGTTTTTTGGTTTGATGTTACTCCTTAAGCGTTTGTTTGGAATTTTTCTGTAATATTAGTTCGCAGTGTTAAAGTTGTTTTTTTCTCCAAAGGACCAATTACCTGCCGCACGCATTCATCCGCCCGTGTGGTCAACAAGAGCTCTCGTTTCATGAAGAGCGCCGGCCTGGACGAACTGGAACCAGCAGTGGCCAGTGTCAACGGCAGCCCGGCCACCGCCACAGCCTCGGCCACCGCGGTGGTGGGCAGCACATCGCCGCGTTTCGCCGATACCACGCGCGTGCAGGTGCAGGCGCCGCCCACCGTGGCCGCCTACACCACCCCGTCGTCGTCGTCCGCCCAGCGGGTGCCGCACTTCCGCTCCCCGGTCATCGTCCAGCCGCTCATCCAGATTAAGCACATGGGCCCCTCCAAGGCGCCGGGCAATCTGACCAGTGGCCGGCAGCCGGCCGTCGTCAACGAGACGGTCAAGGTGGCCGCGTGCTTTGCGGCCCGCCGTTCTCGGGTGAGTTGTACGGTAATGTTCTCTGACATGTCCGTGATACACTGTATTAATTTTGTGGAAAAGCTCTCTTAAAGTTAAGAGCAAAATCCTTGTTTTCGCTGTTCTGTAACGGCGTAGCGTGGTATTCGGTTTTGGTATTTTGATTGGTTTTCGTAGTGTAACGGCTAGTACATGCCTGCCTCTACTTGCAAGTGTGTGAGTCGATATTGTTGGAGGAAGATAATAAGATACAATTACCTCGTATTTTGAGGATAATGTGGTGCTTGATGTTTTTGCATTGTTATCGCAGCGTTAAGTTACTTTTATTATCCAGTGTTTAGAAGGATTTAACAGAACAGTTTTAAATTTTTGTGCAGAGTACCAACGAGCCGCAGGCAGTGTGTGATGCACTGCTGATTGCCACTTCGCATGGCGCCTTGGTGGAATACTCCCTGCAGCCGGTGGTGCCGAACGGTCCCGGTGAGAGAATCTCCAGTGAGACGCCGGTGGGATTAAGTATCCATGCACAGTCGCAGTGGGTTCTCAACAGGTAGAGTTTATCATATGCTTGGGAAAAAAGCTTTTTTGGCCAAAGCGTGTGAACACGCACTTTAGCTTCGTAAAGTTGTATAATTGTATAACCTGTTTTTTCATCGGAATGTGTCAAATGATTTCGTGAACTTATTAGTTACATCATAATCTGTCTGTAACAGCTTCATTTTGTCATGTTTAATAAATTTGTAAATAGTAAATTCGAAAATACTCAGATTAACTATGTTATGGTTGTTTTGGGAAAAGGACGTGTACGAGTATCGAATACTGTAATATTTTCGTTGCACTGTATCATTCAATAATATGGTTGTACTGTAGAACTCCTGATTTATGGTTGGAAAATTTTATTAGCTGCATTTAACGAACAATGATTGAACGTTTGTCACGTAATAACCATGGCGTTATGTAAGACAAAACAGTCAAGTTTCGCATTCTTTTGCAACGTAATGTCCGTATCTGCAGGCATCTAGGCCACCCGGAATTCCTCCCGGCCAACTTCACGGCCAGTCATCCGCTGCTGAACAGCCCGGCGCTGTCGGCCGACCAGGCCAGCCACAAGCCGGACCCGGAACCCAGCCGCTTCCTGGAGATGCAGCTGACGGAGAAGATCGTCAATCTGGCCGCGGCCAGCGACAACGAAATGTGGCTGTCGCAGGTGGAGATCGTCACCAATGCCGGTCCGGCGCGCCGGCTGTGGATGGGACCGCAGTTCCACTTCACGCCGTCCACCTCGCCCGGCTGCTCCACCAGTATCCCGCTGAGTAGTCTGGCGCAGGCCGAGATCATGCGCACCGGCTCCGACTGGGATCTCAGCGATCTAAAGTGCGCTACGGAAGTTTTGGAAATTTCCTTTTGAATTTTATTCATTTTAATCTGAATAAGCGAATATTTACCGTAATAAAACGTTCCCACGCATATGAAAATTTTGAAACTCATCTTCATAGTTGTAATTTATTGAGCTGCTTCGTTTTAATGGAATTTGAACTATCAGGTGAATATTTATTGTAATAAAACTGTTCCACGCATACAAAAATCTCGAAAATCATTTTCACAATTGAATTTTAATGTTTTTTATTGAGTTTGGCATTTCTTTTAATTTGTATAAACTTGTAATCATTTTCCTAATTTTTCATGATTTTCATAATCTTTATTTATCGAATCGTTTTCACAAGTTATTGCAATCTGTTGAGGTGCTTCGTTTTGGCAAGATTTTAAAATTTTGAAGTGAATATTTATATAATAAAACTGTTCTACGCATGAAATTTGGAAAATCATTTTCGTAATTGTGATTTATTAAGCTTCGTTTTTTGCAAGTATTTCTAACCGGTTTTCAGTGTAAAGTGTAATCTATTATGAGTTGTATTAGGAATGCTTGTGATATCTCATTGTTTTTCTTCTTTTGCCAGTTTACAAGGGTCTTTTCCTTGTTCTTGATGGTGTATTATCGATTGTCGTAGAGTTATAATTTATCGTAATGGCATGCTTTTTGGACAACACTTCCTTGGCAGAGAAATTGTTCCGCATTTTAAGTTTTGTTTGTTGTAGATTGGCCAACATGCGGATACGTTCGGCGCCGATGAATCTTCCGAGTGCCTCCGGCAGCAATTACTCGCTGACCATCGAAGCCGGCTCAGGTTAGTTGCGTAATTGACTTCCCCATGTTCCGCATGCGATGTGGGTTGATGTGTACCGTGGAAACGTCTTTTCTAGGCGCTTTCGATAAAGCTGTGTTTCCAGAGTACCTGACCAGGGATTCCAGCAGTGCCGACGATCTGCACCGTGTGTCGGAGATCGCCGATGCCATGCTGGATGTGACTGGACGCGACGCCATCGACGGGATCCACACGCGCTTCCGCGGTGCGTCTTCTGCAACAGTCAATTTAAAATCAGCTACGGCGTCTGATAGACGGTTTTATTTACCCATATTTTATCTAATTTTATATTTTTTCATTGTGTTGAATTATTGCATAGCGGCTTCTAAAGTTTTCTTGGTGTAAGTATTTAACTTTTTTCAGTAAGTCAACTGCTTCGTGTTGTTTGGTAGTATTTTCATAGTCGCAGCATGGTGTACGTATTTTCTTGTGGTTTTTCTGATTTTTCGTGGTTGTAGGTGGCGGGGATGTGGATGAGAGTCCGGAGGACTTGAGTGTGAGCTCAGCGGAGTCCACACACAGCGGGGGACACGGCAGCGGTCTCCCGCACCCGGCGGCCGTCCTCCTGGGCCCCAACGGGTCCCTGCTGCCCCTGGCCAATGATTTCGACAATGTCTTCCCCTTGGCCAACGATGCGTAGCCGGATCTTGCTTTGTAGCTGTTGAATTAGAGCGCATTCGGTGTTGTTCAGTGCGTTCGTACTGCGTGTCGAAAGTTTTGTCCAAGGATTTCTAATCTGTTAACATGGCGAACACGAAGAGGATGCTTGATACTGATGTTTGACAAAAAAGACTGGGTGTTTTTGGCGTTCGCGACTGTTTTCTTGCGGCTGTGCAACGATCAGAGGTCGCTGAAGTCGCTGTCGTTCCGCGATTTCGAGATTCAAAGGTCACTGGAGAAAACCAGACATTTCCGATTGTATAACGTGCTCCCCCTGGTGGACGTGGTGCCAGTGCAAAATACATAGTCCATATTGTACGTTTTTCTGACCATACTGTTTATGGAATTCTGTTTAATATTGTGCAGAACTAATTACTTGTATGAATACGAATCATCCATGCCAGGGTTTGCGTTCTCCGCGTCTGACTTCCGTTCCATCCATCCAACTTTCACAGAATAAAGAGCATTAGAATCTCTCTCAATACAACGGTCTGCTGGAAAAATTGCTCGGATTACGAAGGAGTTTACGGCAACTACTTAGTTCTTCCTTTGCAGAGGCAGCACGATGCTGCATTAAGCGTGATGTCGATGGACAAATTTTGTCGGTGGTCACAAAACGTGTAGTAACACTTTTTCAGTTCGACTACCAATTTCCATTGACATGAACGCGAGCTAAATGGCAGTTTATTCGGGAACATACCTACATAAAAGGAGCTATGAGAAAAGTATGTTTTTGTACTGCATTGTTCTTTGACAAGCACACACTGTTACCATCAGGCTACAGAACTTTTACGGTTGTAGCTGCATACGTACTTTATGCACAATAGTATGGCAAACTCAGCATATTTTTATTTAACGAGCGCTATGGTCATCATAGTTATGGAAAAAAGTTTTACATTCAATCCCGCCCTTTTTGTCGACCTCTCGACTTGCAACCGTATTCGGTCGGTTTGGTAAAACTAGCTTTCGCTGCAAAATCCAAATAAAATACGAGAAAATGCAGAGCCCTTTATAATCAGCCTGTCGGCATCAGCATTAATATTTTACCATTTGTAAATGACTATCATCGGTCGTACCGGTTTTAACTGGTAAAACCGTTGTACCATACATCCATAATACCAAATTGTGTGTCAAGTACTAACAACAGTTCAACATCCTTTATGCTTTAGAAATTGTTCAAGCACAGGACGGTGCTAGTGGACTTATTCGCGTTTCCCGTAAATTCACAAATGGCATAGGTATTTTACATTAGCCAAGGAAAACAGCAATACAAAAGAATCTGCATTGCTATGTAACCGCCATTGTATGCAATTCTAAAGTATTTAATATGTCAAGAGGCCAAGATTCTACTTTGTCGACAAACTTGAAGTACTTCTACAGAGAAGTGTCGCAGATGTACGTGCATATCTATTTTATCGTTTTAAGTTTTACTGAAAAGAGCTTGCGAAACCTTTGTACAGAGTATCTTGTATAGATAGTACAAGCTACAGTAACTACAGATCTGTAGTACAATCAGTGTGGTACCTCTATGTACGTACTCGTATAGTCTGCGTCACTGCGTGTATCTCGTACTTATATCGTGTACTGTGCGTGTATCTCGTAAAATATATTATCCGATCGAGGTGTACGAAACCGATGTGGGCAATATTATCATATAAATAAGCACAATAAAAATGTACAGATGATGTCTATTTGGCAAAAGTGCTTTTACGCGTACGCTAATTCAGGTCAGTTTGTAATAATACATAGTTTTTACTTACAGATACAGTCGTCAAAAGCTGCCAGCGATTGCTCTGGTCATCTTGACGTGACACTGCTACAGATATACAGAATGTTAAAACGGTTAATTTTCGCGATGCTGTTTGGCTTGCTGTTGATGTCGATGGTGAGAACAACAAAGCCAGTATCAGGTCCTAACATTACTGCTGCGAATAGAAACTCAACTGGTGTCGGCAATTCCCGTAATGGTACCAGCATTCCAGTGCCACCTATAATGATGGCCCCGCCAGCTCCACAAGTGATCAAGGAAAAGACCGACCAGCACATATACAAAGGATAATAATGTGATTTTGGTTTACATGCGTTTTCATGGAATATAGTGTGTAGTGGGTGTTTGGCGTTTGGCACTACTTGCATGAGTACAGGTACCATTAATTGATGCCTTCCTTTTCTTAGTACTTCTCTTGTTTAGTGGCTTTTGCTCTGATTTCATTATGATTCCTGTTATTTAGCCAGGTTTAAATACTAGTACCCAGGCTAGATCTCGATCCTAGCCTTCTAATGGATTAGCTGCCTGCCGTACAATAATAATAGTAAATATCTGAATCTGAGCCTTATTTACGGGCGCCAGTCTTCATCCATCGCTTTCCATATTACGTATATTCGGCAAAAGCAATGCAGCAGCTCTGCTAACTTCTGGTAAATTGCTATGAGAACGTTCGGATTCAGCTGGTTTGATGCTAAAGGTGGTTTCGTTTTTTTCAGTCAGTTTTAAAATCTCATACTAGATTGCCACTGCAATGGGAAGTGGGCTAACTGCTCTGAAGCCATTAAATTAAAATTAAATTAAACGTTTAAACAAACTTGTCACTTGGTTGATTAACAAATCTTACAGCTGCAACCAGGCGCTACTGGTCTAAAATCAGATTGGGAGGTAAACCAACACAACTTACTGTAATACCGGCAAACCGCTAATACTGTAGGTAATAGCAATGCTGACTGCTGAAACGCTGCAAATCCGAGACTCAACGCACTTCCCCCAACTGCTCAACAATTAATTTTAGAAATTTAGAAGTTTCTTTGCCGACTGCTCAGAACCCCGCTTCCATACAAAAATTTAATATGTTTTGCAATTCGACAAAAGACGAATTTTTGAAAATTTAAAGTTTGGCAGCGATGCAGGCACTGCCATCGCAAGCTTGCATCAGTGACGCCAGTTTGTAACGTACGGCAGGAAAGTGGAAACTAGCTGCAAAGGTCGATGGCAGTGCCACTGGCACAATGCCCGCAAAATCAAAACAAAATTTGCAACCAAACAGCCTATATATACTGCACGCAGTGCACTGTAACAGTAGAGACTAGAGAGTACTGGGCACTCGTGTAATTTTTGTTTGGTCACGCCTTGTTGACGATAGCACATGAAATTATTTTCTGTTTCTGCTCTAGAGTAGTGTTACTCTTTCAATCTTTTTAATTTAATTAAACGAATTTAAAGATGAAATTTTTCTGAATTTATAACCGGTGGTTAGTCACCTTTGTGTTCCCTCCGCAATAACATGCAGTTTTTGTAGTCGTCAATAGTTTCCATAGAACATAATCACACGTACATACTTCGATCGAGTCTGTTTGCTTTCTTATTCTTCTAAACTTGTTGGTTTCTTACTTTCTTGTATCTAAGATCTACGATTTCTTAGGATTTTTGCAGCATCAACATGCGACACAAACTTCGTTTGACATCCGTTAAGTTTTTTCAAGTAAAAACGGGAAACATCAATATGACAATACCGTAATGCATGCCCGGACAATTTTTTTAAGGAAAATGCAATAATATTCGTATAAGTATGACCATGGCGATGCTATACTGTTAATGCGGCTAAGCGCTGTTGACCACGCCAGTGTCCAACAAGGAACCGCTTAACATAACAAAAGCATACGTTTAACATAGCAATCTATGCAGCTTTTCAGAGATGGGCTGCCAAACATGTACAGATAAGTATTGTACTAGGTACTGAAGTTCCATTCGTCGGGTTTGCACCGCACACGCACACCAAATTCAAAATTGGTTGAAGATGGAAGTACGTAGGCCGTGGATAGCTGCAAAAGCAGACAATTCTGGGTTTCAAACTTAATTACGTTTGGTACAGTAAACGCACAACATCAATAACTATTGAAAGTAAGTAACGTACTCTGCATATCTGAAAACAGCCGTTTCCGCCTTGTAGATCACCGGTCATTTATCAGTGATCAAAATAAGGGCGCCCATGGCGCCGGCCACCTGCACAAGAATTAAGAATTTTTACATTAAGCATAATGTACCGGCCTGCTTTTCACCCTGTTGAAACATTTCCCTTTTTGACAATCTTTCGGTATTGATTACAATTGACAAACTGCATCAAAATTTGATAGTGCAATAGTTTGTTTATACGGTTGTGATATCTTACGCCATCAGCAAAATTTCCTTCTACAATTCGGCCGGCCATCTGTAGTCCGATTTCATTTCTCAAATAAAACGTGCAAGCACGTGATAGGTCGGCTTTTTGTGTCTCCGACATCCGCTCCGCTTGAGACACTGTCAGTTCCTCCATTGTGGATACGAAATTTTTTGCCTGTGAACAAAATACAAATTACATTAATTTTATTATAACGGACAAAGTTCTGGAAAAATATTACGCGCACTTACAGATAATCAAGCGAAACACTGCACCTCGACACAAATAAACAACCCATGCAAACTATTTAAGCAAAATTACTTATAAAACAGTATTTGTACCATTTCGTATAAACGGGAACTTGAGGAGGCCAATAACACCACAAATCCGAGTTGCGGTATAAGTTGGGCAACGGAAATTAATGCAAATTTTCCATTGGTCTCCTTGAGCAAACTGTTTACTATGTAAACTATTGTAAAGAAATCGTAAATATATAAAGCTTTGACATAGTATCGCATTTGTCGCGATGTTACAATAATGTGCGACCGAAGTGTGAGATATCGATCCCGAAAATCCATCCAGGCGGAGTAAGGATTAGTCTGGTCGCTTCTTTTCGCAAAGTCAACCGTCAACCTCTCAAATATCCTTGCTAATTGATAACACCAATATATGAGTAATCCGCGGATGAGATACATGTTCAAATCCGTTAATGCCTGAGCCACAGACGCGGCATCATGGACGTAGCGCAGTGCATGCATTGTCATGCTTCCGGTACTTGAAGCGGTGTTGGATTTGTTATAGTACTGTTCAATGATATCCACAGCCGTGTCATCGGCATTCCACAAGATAATCGACCTTGACGCGAAAAAGGCTGTGAATCCCAGTGTAATAACTGAGAGCGTCAGATGTGTCGCGTCCATAGAATAATGCCTAGCGAGACGAATGCTATCAATTTACTGATGTATCTCAAATATACAGATACCGTTACAGACATTTTATAAGAAACCGCTGAAGCAAACTCAGCATAACCTTGAGCCACTTGACGCTGACGCAACCTTTAACGTGGTGACCTTTAGTCACTTGACAGGTTAAAATTAGGCTACGGCATAAGACGGAAGCCCACTTTCTTAACAAAACGACGTGTATAAAACCGCCTTCAATTGAAAACGAAAAACGAATAACTTGATTTTTCTCGAATGAACAGCAAACGGATTTCGAATACATTTCGAGCGAATTTCGAATTTTCGCAAATGAATTTCGAATTTTTCTCGAATAAATAGCAAATAGATAATGGCCTTGATTTGTTAATTACTCACGTTTTTTCTCCGACAAATTTTCCATAAATGTTGACTGCTTGCTCTGGGAAACCGCGAAGACCGAACGATGGTAGCACAAACATGGCTACCGCGCATACCGCGTTAGAAATAATCTCCATCATTTCCAGCCGCTGATGATCTTTGTCAAGAGGCCACCAGTACGTGGCGAAATCAAAATATGTCAGATAAAATATAGAAAGCAGCAATAATAAACTCCACGTGTAATTAAGCATATGGAATAGTTTCAATCGACTGGACATGGTTCCATAATGCGTCCATATTCCTAGGTCCACCAGACCCAGAACGTGTAGGCAATTAAATACATGTTCTAGTGACTTCTCAAACTTTACGGTCTCCATGTTTCTGGAAGGAGTGACGCCGGTCGACGGGATTTCGCTAGCTTCCATTGCAAAATAATAGTACTCAAATTGTGTGGCAAAAATTCTACCAGAAGACGTAATACCTCTGCGCTGCAAGAGTATGAACTTCTTATATACGTATACGCTATCTGCGTTGCATGCAGGATTACCATTCTTGCCCCCACCGGGGTCCATTATTTACACCGAACTTTGTCTTAAAACAAATTCCCAGTTGCAGAAGCACTGTTAATTCCTTTGCGCGTATTCGAGCGCTCGCGGTAAGATTACAGCAGAACGCGAGGTTTACCTTTCACCTTTGTTGAAAGTACTTGATATTATTAAAGAAAGGCTTTGCTGAAAGTGCTTTTACATGGAAGAAAGTAAACGCTCTCTCGAAATACAGTAGGCGATGGCTACTCCCTTAGAGACTAGGACTGTCAGTGCGAAAGAGTATTTACTACAGGTCACCGTTTATAAACCCCACACCAAATTTTTTCGGCTTTTCATTATAAAATATTCTCAGCATCGGCGAACGGCTGACATATTTCACAGTGCTTTGGGGAATACTGGGAGCCGCTGTTTGTGTCGATTGTTGGTTCGTCTCGGCGCAAGATGCCGGTGAGACTTCTCGTGACAATTCATCAAGATTATTACGTCGCAAAGGGCATGTATGCTGGGTCGCGACAGTGCATTTTGGCGGAATTGTGTGCTTGACAAAGTTATTTATACTTGCACATTTTTAAATATCTGCGATACAAGACAGCGCACCTGATCGGAACAGACGCTACTGGGACTGAGCGAATCGGATGATATCATTTCCAATAAGACCCTGTAAAAATGAGTACGATCCCCACCTTCTACTGTTCTGAAGGGTGAATTTTTTTTAGTTTGCGAAAATGTTATCCAGATTATCATTATCTTGTAATTATCTCATAAAATCAAACTGAAAAAGTACAAAATATTTCTAAACTAACCAAACAGGTTTCCAATAGCTTCATGGCATGTCTCCCCATTAAAGAAAACTGGCTACTGTAATCTGATAAAATGTTTTTCGTACTTTCTTTTAATGGTGATCAACACGTATTGAACTAAGTAATGCATGAGTATCAGTTAACAAAAATTAACGTTTCCGTTCAGCTAACTAAAAGGCAAAGTAAACGTCTTCCTTCTCTACCATATCGCAAGATGTACAGCACAGAAACAGAACAGAAATAGTTGAATAATAATATTGTAATAAAAAAGCACCCCCCAAATTACGGTCATCCCTTTTTGCACCTTGTTTATTTTAGGTGAAATTAGTAAATTAAAAATAGTGCAGCTACAGCTACGGAGATATTGGAATTCTTTCTCTGAGAAAACATAAGCGTATCAGCTTTCCAGCTGATTCTGAGCGCCATGGCACGTCAAATAATTGAAAGCGAATTTAATGCCGGTTTTCAACTGCGGCCAGAAGTTCATCTCGTCCGTTTCACAGCCAAATCGCTGTCGTACAGGCCCATGCATGCAGCGGCACTCTTGTATCGTTTTCACAATGGCTAACGGTCTAGAGTTTTGCTAACTCTTTTACGAACTGTTGCTGTCGCCACCGGTTTTGATGCGAAACACCGGTGATTTCAACTGCCTTGGAGCGTAGGTGTCTGTCGGCATCAAACTTATGTCTTTGAATATTTTTATTGTCTGGAAGATAGAAAATTTAAAAGCTATTTCATCGTTTAGTACAGCCGGTAGACCATGCTTCTGTGAGCGGCGATAAGCTAACAATTAAAACGAAAGGAAAGCAACTGGGACGCTCTGGTCCGAACTTGGATCTACGAAAATAAATTACGATCAATTAGCAACTGTCAAATGTAAGAATATTAGTATTATTATTTATTTAAATGTGTGCGTAAATACGAGTACTACTTAGGAAGTTAAATACAATATGGATGCTGGTGCATGAAAAACTTTTTTTATTCCGTTTCCTCCTGGTTAGGTTTAGGACTTTAGGTGCATAAGCAGCTTTGCTGGTGGAAAATTTAATTCTTCCAAAGCATGATAACTGGCTCCGGTTAAGCAAAACAACATTCTGGATGGCAAATATAGCTGCTAATTCACTCGAGACCGGACAGTTACCTCCTGATCAGAAATTTCCTGATCAGAAATTTCTAGGGATAAGCATCTGACCAGGAATTCAACAGTGGGGACCATTACCACCGAATATTTCAGTATTTCACTGGATAATATAGGCATTTCGATGGACCATCTGACCAGGAATTGACAGTGGGGAACCAGATATTTCCACATATAACGATGACCTTCAGTGCGTTGAAGGTGGAACAGACGTTACACAAACGCTGCCTGTGGTAGGCGCGTAATAAACATAATTATACTTACATCAAGTTAATGGCATATTTACCCATGCTCGATCTGCTATACTGCTCGTACAGTCGGTACAGATACAAACATTTCCTTGCACTTTAATTTTTGAGATTTCCAAAGAAGTTCCTCGTACATTAAGCACTTTATTTATTTTGATAAAATTATTCGGTCTCACAATCGGAATTTTTAACGGAACTTAAAACTGACCGAAACGTACGACATTACAATATTATTAACAACAGACTTTGTGTTTTGAAACCAATAAGTACTACTCTAGCCATCTTACTAAACATAAGCTAACTACAGAACGAGTACTGTGTTGTTATTGAAGTTTTCTTTGTCAAATACAGTTGCCGACTCATACGTGAAATAAATTTAGTTCTTTCATAATAAGCAAACCAAAGCCACAATTCCACCGCATCTTCGACTGTTTACTAAATGCTAACCCAAAGACCAAGGCTGTAAAGAGCGCAGCACATTGCACAGCTGTCCCAAAACGATTACAGCCACACAATATACCCATACGTACAAACGCAAATTGATTGTTCTTAATTTCCTATACAGTCTCAAGAGATCTATTAATTGTATTTCGACGCGAAATACGTAGGTGTAATACATAGGTGTAAAGAGCACTGTCATTCTGCGATGCCGGTAAGGAGCGCCATGGCACTGAAGGGAGCGTTGGGCTTGGGTGTTGACCGGAAATAGCGTGAACGGAACCGGTCGGTGGGTGAGGCAATGGAGAAGAAACGCTGTAAACGCACAAGAATAATCATGATTTGGGATGAAATGAACGCGCCCAGCCGGTGCGTCATTATAATTAGTTGTGATTGGTTGCTAAGCTGATTGGAAGAGCTAATTGTATCACACCAATGCGCACGTCCAGGTGAAAGTATAACCTGATTGACCTCGTTTTCAGAGTAGAAGGCAAATTTTGATTAAAATGCAGACACGCAAATGTGGATTAACCACGTGCAACAGAACTAATATTGGGTGACACTCTAAAATGTCGAAATTGTGGACACTTCACTCTAGTTTCGTATAAGTTTGAAGCATTAAAAATCAACCTGTGGTAGACTGCTTACGAAAGCCGTTTGCGAAAAATGTTGAAGAAACATCAAGTCTGGCGATAGTAACATTCAAGAACGTATTTCACAGCTGTACATATTCAAGTTTTCAACCAACGTTGTAATATTCTGTGCATACAGTTTACTATTCGCGTGTAACGACTATCATCTTATTATATTGCTCCTTGTACTTGACCCTTCTGTAACCGGATTTTGTGGAGACTATCAATAATACAAACAACAAAAGTCACCTTTGATCGGCTGGCCTGTCGGGCAAAAAGATGGCGCGGTCGCACAGCGTACACCTCCACCCCATCGTCATTAGACCATCCGTCATCCTCTGTTCTCGGCGCTGCATAACTGACCAACGCACCCCCGCGCGATCCCGTCAACGCCGTCAAATCCTCACCATTTCTCCATACTTCGCGCGCGGTATCCGGATAGTCCACATCCTGAGCGCACAACGCGACAAACACGCACACAAAGGTCACGGCGAACAGTGCGCTTGTAGACATGTTAATTATTGGTAGGTATGTGTAAATGGAAAGCGAACAAAAGCAACTGCGAGGCCGCATGCTAGAACGATGCTATTTTATAGTCTATAAGTTAGCCATAAGCGCATGCCGGGATTGATGCATCCAGGCGGATTAATTACGATTGTGGTTAAGTGCGGAATTAAGTCATAAGGTGTTCCCGGTACTAATTTTACGCTTCGACGCCCTCGCGTAAAGCTGTTAGCCTGTGGAGCGCATTAAGCAGCCAGCGCGGTCTGGGTAGTGTGTTAATCGTAGCAGGAAATTTATGGGCGAACATTGTTGTCCCGCGAGTAATGACTGCTGGTGTAATTCGGCACGCTATGCGACAATATCGTCATAACATTCGCACAGACGTTTACATTAATGTGCTGCTTTGAAAGGTTGAGTCGCAGTAAATCCTTTGCTTATCGGTCCCTTGACACTAAAGGTCAAAATGTTTAATACTTGTAACGTCGTGAAAGCGTTTACCACCTACGAGTTGTTTACACTAAATGCATCATTTGAACAAATTTCTTTATCGAATCATCACGTTATTGTACAGATCAGTCTACGGCTGTGCACAAAGTTGAAACTGTTTGTAATTAAGTAACTTACTTAAGTTCGCGATCGAAAAGACATAATACATTACTTCTTTTCGATCGCGAACTAGCGTAATTAGTATGTATCTAACTTGTATTAGTCGTATGATTAATACGAGTGAGGTGCATGACGTACATTTATCCTATTTATTTAGGTTATACTAAGAAACAACCGGCTAATCTTTTATAATACTGATTAAAAATAAAATTAATATATTTAAAGAATTGCATTAGTACCCTGAGCTGATTAATTTCCGACCCTGTGAATAGTTCGTTCAATATCCTTAATGCCGATTTGTTGTACTCGTAGACTCGTAGTTGTAAATCGTATTATAATTATTTACGCTTTAAAATTTGAATTCGCTCTAAAATTTAATTTACAGTGACGAAGTTCTGACAACTTTTTGGTTCGTCTGTTAAAATGAATTTCAACAATTTTAAAATCATTTTAAAATTATGGGAAAGTGCTATGAAGCTGAAATTGGTTCACTTTCGACCTTATGGTCATGTGCCTTTTACAGCAAAGTTTCAAGAAGATCGGGTAATAACCAGACTTTTGGTGCACGACAATGCATATAAACTTTTTGGCCATTTTGTTTCACCATATCTCGGCAACCGGATGTTGCGCGCGCAAACAGTTTTCAGAACAATGTAATCAAATCATTTAGCTTTAGAATGTCATAAAGTATTACAAAAAAGTGATTCGGAGTGCGCGAAAGCGAAAGTTTTAGCGTATGTATCCCATTTCTGACACCATGTACCGGGCCATTTCCCTTAATCTAACAAAACAGTAGTTTCTAATGTACCGTAACCCAACACTGATTAGCTTATACTTCTATTTTTGTTTAGCTGCACTCTGTATCTACCTTTGTTTCACGTGCAAACGCTTTCGGTGACTCAGTTCGCTGTTTTTACGGAGACGATAAGGCGGGAAGCACAATAACTGAGTCAGCAAACACTGGTACCATTCTGCATGATATCATAATTTTCAACCTTGGGCGAGCTAAGCGCCTAAAATCCTGATGATTTCATTTGGCTTTAAACGACCACGGTTTCACTGCGTGCTGTATCCGGTATGTAATCGGCAAGCATGTCGCGCGTCGTATTTAACAGCTCAGCAGCTGCCGAAAACATCGTGTTGTGTCGATCTATCGATCACACCGTGCAGTATTTACCTAGTAGTACCCACTATTTGTATCCGCGCTGTTTGGCAGCACAACAGTACTTATTATACTGCACATTTCTACTTATTACTTAGGACTGTTATGATAGCTCTGATCTCTCTAAAATTATTATGGTAGAAATATATATAAGTAAATTTAGTAAACGTGAATTTCGAGAAGTGTTATTTGTACCTGTCGTTACTTCCTTGACTTTTGTGTGGTACTCCCAATAATTTTGCGAAGCTCGTAAGTATAATAATCGCGGGAATCAACAAAGTAATATAATTATGGTATTGAAAACCCGTCCGAAGTACAAGCGCTATCCCTGCTGCCAGTCTTTGCCCCATAAAGCCGGGTTTATTCGCAAGGGTTCGGTCCACCCAGCGATCTGTACAGTCCCTTACCGAAGTGGACGCTGTGGTACCAGGATGCGGAACGCAGTGCTAAAGACGCTGAGGCTTTCCACCACAGCGATGCTATTCTGCAACGCCACCTCCTGGATGATGGCATGGATTGTGTGCCCGGCAGCGACCGGTACATTCTTCTATACAGTCTGAATAAGCGCCAGCGCTGGACATTGTTGGAACGCCTGCGACATCTCGCGGAGGAATCGGCTCACGACATCCGCGCGCATAATCTGCATCTTTCCGTGTACTGTCACCAGATGTATCCCTCGTTCTATCGCTCATCTTACGATCCGACCCGTGCACTGAGCTTAACCTCGACGAAATTTGCGGCTAATGCGGATCTTGATGATGGCGATGAGCAGGCATCTTTGTGCACGGTGTATACTTCACGGCCGTCGGGCGCTGCAGTTTTCAGGAATCTTTGGGAGAACGGGAAACGTTTGCGCGGACGATCAGGTATGTGTGAACGAAAGTTGTTTATACAGTTATACTGTACGTACTTGACGAACAGTTCCAGAACCGCTGAAGGTATCACATTTAATTTAGAAGATAAAGTGTAATGCAGCCACATTTATCGCACTCATACGTGCTACGGATAGGCCCTCGAATTGAGAATTTGCGTTTAATACGGTGGCGCCCAAAAATATTCGTATTGTAGGATACGAGTACGAGAACAAGTATTGTACGTTTCCAGTGTTAATGTTCATCAGCATGGCATTATTTCAAAATACTCGTTAGTTACTACTTAATCATTTCAAAAACAGTAGTAATTATTGGTTAGCGTACAACTGAATTATCGTACTGTACTGAACCAATCGCTTGTGGTACTAATTTCGTGATGATGTATGTAGATGTTACCCAAGTCGAGGATGTAAAAGACATCGGTTACGAGATCGGTTTACCGTGGAAGTACGACGCATTCTACTTCCACAAGCAGTTTCACTCCCAACAACCGGCCTACCGGGGACGGAAATCTTCGATCAAAACCAAAGCATGCCGCAACAAAGTCGGTTCGCAGTCATCCAGTTACCGGTTCCTGCCGCCGGAAAGGCGCACTGATTATGCGGATGTGGATTGTACATGCTGCTGGCGCATGCATAACTGGGTTGATGAAAACAGTGACGAAGATGAATACGACAACTCCGACACTGTTCCGGCATCTCGAGCTTACCATAATCAGTTTCATTTCGACCGGCTGGAAGATTACATTTCCCAGTCCGGTACGCGTAAGGCTGCACAAAAAAGAGGAAAGCCAAAACGGCGCGTTTCAACGGTTCTGGAAGGGGAGTATGATTTTTGTGATGATGAATTAGACGAATACGATTTGTGTGATACTTCCGGTTAATGCTGTTCTGCCTCCGCTTACTTGTATGCTCCTGATTACGGATACAATACATGTTGATCTTCCGGGCGTGAATTAACACTGCTTTGTAATCTCTTTATTTTTGTTATAATTGGGTATCTACAGTCCATGCCGAACCTGGAAGCGGTTCCATTATGCTACATAAGCTTTGTGATATTATGTGTGGCCTAGCAGGCCTATACCATTGTGATAAAAATGATAGTAGTACAGTACTGTAATAAAACCATTTTAATGAATTTTAACTGAACCTTAGAAAAGAATTATTACTTACAGCTAGGTAGCGAAGTGCGAATACCACGTACGCAGTAGTAGTCGCTTGCTGTAAGTACTTAGAGACTCTGTACATGACATTGTTTAACTGTACTCGTATTAACATTAATGTAATATCGTTTATTTTTTTATCACATTTCGTGCAAGAAAGTTCTGTAGAAGTATGAATCGGAATGCTCTTTAAGAGTGCATCGCGTTATTTAAAAGTTTAATGCGGTAAAGTAATACGGTAATGCAGTACAAGTGCTTACATTAATCAGTTAATCCCTGCATGGTTATGTACTGAATACGTAATACAGATATTATATAGATAGATATAAGATATATACATATAAATATTATACATCATAATTACAAGTGAGTACTTGTAATTATTTTGCAATCTCTATTATTATGTAACCCAAAATCGATGTTTCGAATTGATTTTGACCAAGAAAGTTCATTACAGTAGTAGATAACACTCAAAAAAGTAACAACAAAATTAACGATAACAGAGAGGATGTAATGTAAACTGTCTAGTCACCGACTCTAGTGTCTACTGAAACATGTTTATTCATGAAGTGCGCTTCACCATTGCTCGTTGGCTCAATGGAATACAGATGCGTGAAGTTTCACCGGATGTCAAACGGCGGTAGAAACAAAGGCTCACGCCGCACAATTTCATGGCGCATTTCCTCAGGTCTAATTACTTTAACATAATGCAAGAAAGTGCAAAACTCAGTGCCATTATTTTTTTAACAATCTAGCATTCTGTAATAGCAAACTGGTAAGTAAACAAATTATAGGAGCTAAGGAGGTTACTGTGCAAACGTTAGCACTTAAAAGCAACTGGAATTCCGGTGGCGGCTGTTCCAGTCAGCTCTTCCACCGCATTCCATTTCCAATTCCAACCAGCTGGCCCAGATGAGTCATGAAACATAAGCGATAAAATTCATGTCAATAAGCGCAGTTATTTTAATTTATCCGAGCAAAATCTATAAGTCGTTTTTTAATCTTTTTCGCATTTGGTATCAACGTATACTTTACAAGTTTTAATAAACACGGTCCATGCCCAACAATTATCGCTGCTGATCGCGCTCATCATGTCTGGCTGGCAGCCCGTCAAACGCTCCCAGTCCAACACCAACTCCTCACCCTTCAACGGCCAGCTCTTCAACGCGCGCCACCCCGTTCCCCCAACATCCGCCGATCCATCCGCATCCCCCAGCCACGCCCCTCTTCCGCGGCGTGTGAGGGTGTGGGGCGACCGAGCACCATCGCCCCTCGTGCCCCCATACACCCCAAAACCCCGTCCAGTTCCTCCTTGGTCAACGGCCAGATCTTCAATCCGCATCCCCACCTTCCCCCAGCGTCCGACGGATCCTCCGCATCATCCGACGATGGCCCGGTTCCGCGGCGGGTGCGGGTGTGGGGCGCCCGGCCCCCGTCGCCCCCCGGGGACCCCGACGTTGTGCACATTGCGGACCACTACATCCTGCCCATGATGGAGGACCTGGAGGATGATCTGTCGGCGCGAAAGGTGTTGCCGCGGGTGGGTAACGTGCTTCGCGGGGGACGGGGGAAAGCACCGAAATCCGTGGTGGAGCCGGAGGTGGTGGTGGCGCCCAAGTGGAGCCAGATGATGCAGGGGGTGCAGGTGCAGTTCCCCCATAAACCCTATGGATCGCAGATTGGCCTGATGGACAAGGTGGGTTGGCGCCAATAAACATGTGCAGCATGTTGGAGTACTGGTCGGATAAATTAGAGTACTTATTTGGTCAAAAAGAAATGAATTGAAACCTTGCCTTTCTGGGTGATTTCTGTAGTATTTTAGTGCGTACAGTTTATGCATCAGATATTTTTTTGGGAATTTTAGGGTACTGATTTTCTTCTGATTATGCTTTTTTGTAATGTTTAGTATTTTTAAATTTTCAAATTTTTGTTTGTCTGTTTCCACTGTAATATTTTTCTTATATTGGGATCGTTTCCGTTGTTGTTCTGCTGGGGCAGTTCTTATAATTTTTTTTTATTTTCTTAGGTTTTTGTGGTTTTTTAAAATGTTTTGCATCTTCGATCAGTTTTAGGGTGTTTTTCACAGCTGTTTTAAGGAAAGTTGTTTTTCGCCTGCCGTTTGCGATTTACTGACCGTGAATTTAATGTGGTTTTTTGTGCCGTTGTGCCATTTATATCACTGAATGAATTGGAATTTAGGTACTTCGATGCTTGAAAAACAAGGAGAATGGACTTCTGGAGAGCCCCACGGGAAGTGGAAAGAGTTTAGCGCTTCTGTGTTCCAGTCAAGCGTATCAGATGCACTTAATTGCTAAAGGTAAATACAATTATACAGCTGCACGTATTAATTCCAAAAATATAGTTAAATAATAAATTAAAATTTGTATGCTTATTTTATATATCAGTTTATGTTGACGAATTTTTAGTAGATACTAAATTTATTTTTGAGGCCGTGTTACTGATATTTTTCGTGACTTTTGGGTGCCGGAAAAACTAACGATTGTGTACAGAATAACAGTACATAGCTAGACCGTATCTTTTTCAACATACACTGAAATTCTGCAGCAGCGGAAGCGCGACAGAAACAGAACGCAATGATAGCCGAGCAGTTGGCCCAACTGGAAGCCGGGGTGTCTACTACCAAACCGGGAGGAAATCAAGAAAATCAGTCGACATCTTTCAACGCAGGTAAGTTCGAACGAGCTGGAATGGTGGACTTTTGGTGCACATGACTACGAGTACGATTATAGGAGTTTTTATATGAAATTGCGAACAAAAGCTTTAATTTTAGTCTTGTAATTTTTAATGTATTTTCAAAGGAGATAATTTCCTCTAATGTTTGGCAACTTTTCTTGACTAACAAATGCATTCCAGATTTTTCGCTGCTTGCTGCTTCGGATTTTTTTTATTACGAGATCCTGTATGGCAGTAAAAATGCTGTAGAAGTATTGATAATAATAAAAAATGGGACAGACGCTGATAGTTGACCATTTTTTATACTTTTAAGTATTTTATTGTTTTTTTATAACTTTTTAATGTCTCTGTAATATAAACATTATAGCGTGCCTCTGCGGTAGTGTACATTTCGGATTATCTTCCCTTCAGCGTTTTTTTCTGGATCGGGATGTTCGGCAAACTCCCGTTGGGGTGCTTCTCCCATGAAAACTCAGGTACCGTGGCTGCGAGCCTGCGATTTCCGTTTTTTGATTTTTTTTTTCGTTTGGATTGTTTTTTTGATTTTATCCCCGTTTTTAAAGGCTCTGTGTTGATCGTTTTTCCTTTACTGACGAATTATATCGGCATCTCACTGCTTTAACCGACAGTGGTCTGCAGTTTTCCCTCGTGCAGCGTGTTAAATGTAACTTGATTGTATCGGGATTTCATTTCCTGGGTGGCAAGCGTCAGGAAATCGTATCCTAAAGCAGTACTTGCATCCTAAAATAAATTTACCATTTAAAGTTTGGAAATAAAGATTGCACAGGGAAGACTGGAGGATAAAAAGAGTTTAATAAGTGAAATGCTCAGTGAAATATTAATGTAGACATCGGTCAACGGAAACGGAGCTGGTTGCAGCGGCAACCAGCCGTGTTGCGCCGGCGATGGAAGCCTGGCCGATGCTGGTTGGGCCGCGATGGATGTGGATATGGACACTAAACTGCAAATGCTGGAAGGCATGAGCGCCGCTGCTGCTTCCACTGCTACACCGGAAGTCAGGTAAAATATGGCCCGTGCAGTACTTACTAGTCAGTAATTTTAAACGGTTTACTTATTTTTTATCTAATTTTTATTTTCTTTTCTAATTTTTTATTCCTTTTTTTGTATGCGGTGTTTAACTTTTAAAAAAATGAATATTTCAGTACATAATATATTGTGTTAAAAGCAAACTGGGTAAGTGCTCGTTAAGGATACATAAATGGAGTCCGATAAATGCGAGTAAAAGTTGTGTGATGAATCATGAAACTGTATGCTTTTCATAGTATTCCGAAGATTTACTTTTGCACGCGGACGCACAAGCAGATCGCGCAGCTAATACGGGAACTGCGTAAGACGACTTACAAAAACTGCCGGTGAGTTCTGATTCGAAACAGTATTTTTCGATTTTAAGAAAATTGAGTTTATTTATTTCGGACGAGTAAATAATCAATGAGTAGCGCTTAATAATTTTGGCTTTTTCGTTGGAAAAGTAGCGAACAAAGGAGCGTTAAACACATTTGATTTTTCAAACACAATTTGATTATTCCTGATTTTATTTGCGATTTCTCATGGTGCGGTTTAATGCAGGATGACGATTCTGGGAAGTCGCGAGCAGGTATGTGAATGTTTCATTACGTTTAGCCATACTGCCTCGTGTTATTATTGTAAAACAAATAATGAATTCTGTCATTTTCACAGTACTGCATCCACGAGTATGTCTCGAAACATGGGAATAAAAATGAGAACTGTTCGCGACTGCTGGAGAACGCCCAGAAGCATCCCTTTCAGGAAGCCATGGATATGTCGACGGATGCGGACGATCCGTTGGATGGCCAGGTACACAGCATTTTTTTTAAAGAAATTCTCATTTAAAAAAAATGCGGGTTTTTTTTGTATTGCAGACTTGTGATTATTTCGGAAAGGGCCGAGCGGTGTCGCATGGTCAGTTGCAGAATTACGATTTGAAAACGGCCTTCGATATTGAAGATCTGGTCAAATCTGGAAAGAAACACCGTGTAAGAGGAGGTCTTTGCATTTTTGGAATTGTCAGCGGATAACTGAAAACACAAATAATTTTACAAATTGAAAACTTCTTTACCAATTAAAGACGTACTGAAGTACTGTATAGATAGTTTTACTATACAAAATTATTAAAATGTATATGAGAAGTTGAAATGTTTTTGATTGCAGGTTTTAGAATCAAATTTCCTTATTTGGAAATTGAAAATACAAATAATCTGAAAATTAACGCTTTGTCAGATTAAATATAGCTTGTATAGGTGTTTTTAATATGTATTGTAAATACAAAAATGTCGATAATTTATCTAAGAAGCTTAGCTGTTTTTGTCTGCTGTTGAGTGATCTTATTTGAGCTTGAATAATCGAATCATCTTTGTCTTTTTCCACACGAATCTGAGTGTGTTTATTCCAAGTGTTTGTACTGCTCGAGCTTTTGTAAGATAATTCAGCTTTTCAGTTAAGAATTTTTGTTCGCTGTGATATTTGTCAAATTTTCGTCAGTATACCTATAGATCAAAATTTCAGAAATTTTTATAAATTAATTAAATATTATTATTAGAAATTATTCAGAAATGATTAGAACTTATTGATTCTGTAGATTAGAATTTTTGAACGGAATTTTTTAAGGTTTATTTGAGATGAGGTCTCAGAATTTTTTTTACTGGAATTCGCACTGTTGACAGTTTTGCCCGTATTTCGCCTCGCGTGAGCTGCGCGACGGCGCCCAGCTGATCTTTACCCCGTACAACTACCTCGTGGACGCCAAGATCCGGGCCACCATGCAGATCAGCCTGGACAACGCCATCGTCATCTTCGACGAGGGCCACAACATGGAGGATGCCGCTCGCGAAGCGGCCTCCTACATTCTGCAACTGGACAACCTGAAGATGGCCATCCAGGACCTGCAGTTCACGGCGCGCGAGTTGAGCGACCAGGCGGCCAAGTACTCCATGGACAGCGGGGAGCATATCAGTCCGGCGGCGTTATACGAGATTGTCATGGATCTGCTGCGGGTGCTGCAGCCGTTGGAGGGGTGGGTGGAGGAAGCCGCGGACAATCTGGAGGTGGGCATTAACAGCGCGGCCAATCGGGTCATCACGGGACGGGATATGATCGCCATCGCCACCCGACTGCACCTCGGGCCGAAAGAATTCCCCGCCTTCAAGGTACCGTGTTGCTGTGTTGCAGACTTATTGGAAAATCGTTAATTCCTCGCATTGTGTTATTTTTAACATAATTATATGCCTTATACAGTATAGGTAAATGAACAGCGTTGTAGTGGAGTGGCTCTCAGCTTCCATAATAGTAATACGTTTGAGTGTTTAGCGTACACTACCAATAATTATGCTGTTTGAAGATTAACGTTGTTTTTCTTGAGGTTTTCGACAGAAATCTATTTTTGGTTCTGGAAAAGTTGTATAAAATTTTCTGTTAATTATTTGATATTTTGTATAGTAGTATCGATAATTTATGACATTTTCTTCCTAACGTTCAACACAGGAAAAACTACCGTATTTTCTTATCATGCATTCTAATGATGCATGCACTACATTAAAATTCATGCACTACATTAAAATGCAGTTGCATTTTAATGTAGTGCTCGTAGTCGAGTGGCTAAAATTGAATGGCAAAATTTTGCGAGGTAGCTGTGAGCGAAATCGTCGTTGTACTTTGTAGTATCGATAGTATTTGTGCCAGAAGTAGAATTAATTTTTCGGTTTTCTGATTGAATTTTTCTTTTGACGCGGAAAAAGTTGTCCAGTTTTACAGTGAATTATTCATTACGTGTTTTAAGTATCGTAAATTAAGGAATTTCATACGCACCGTTCATCACAGTAAGGCTTGGTGAATGTGTCTTGCAATACTCAGTTGCTGTAGTTTAGTGGTCGTCAAGACTAAACTCTCATTGTTGAATGCAACACACTACATCGGAAACATAAATCACACCGTAGTTTAGTGATGTTTTAGTTGAACTTTTTATAAAGTTTTTGTGAAACGGATGATTTAAAATATTCAGTTACAATTTTTCACTTTTTCAGTTTGTATCGAATATAAGTAACTTCTAGAAAATGCTGATTATTTACCACAATCGGACAGTGTGCGGGACGAAGCCAATGATTTTGCAGAAAAACGTGGAGGCGTTGTACAACGACAAAAACGCCACGGAAGAAGAACAATCCGAGTACGGGCGCATCTACGCCGGTGATGCCGGCGATGGTCCGAGCGCCAAGAAGAAAGTCTCCTCCGCCGCGCTGCTCCTCGTCGGCAGCCTCTCCGTCGTCCTGGACTACCTGTACCGCAACGACTGCCAGCACGCCGCCGACTACAACATCGTCGTCGTCAAGGAGCCCATCTCCTTCCGCAGCGATATGGAATACTTCCGTCAGCGCAAACACCGCCGCGGCACTGCCATACCGCAGTGGAATATTACCTTAAATTTCTGGTGTCTCAATCCGGCGGTGGCCTTCGGGGACTTCAAGGTGTGCCACGCGGTGGTGTTGACATCGGGGACGCTGTCGCCTATGGCGTCGTTCCAGTCGGAGTTGGGGCTCGAGTTTCAGGTGAAGTTCGAGGCGCCGCACGTTATTGAGGATGGACAGGTGTGGGCGGGGGTCATTGGACAGGGGCCGGCGCGGACGACGTTGTGCGGGACGTATAAGAACGTGCAGACGCTGGCGTATCAGGATGATCTGGGCAATGCCGTGCTGCAGGTGTGCCAGGCGGTCCCTAAGGGGGTGCTGTGCTTTTTCACGTCGTATAAGGCCATGGACACGATGATCACTCGATGGAAGGTGAATGGATCAATAAAACTCTAATAATATAAATCTACGCAATTGGTTGATCATAGAACAATTTTATAATTAAGTAATTTTCAGTGAGTTTTATACATTTTTTAAATTTGGTTTTACTTTTATGATTTTTTGAATTTATAAACTGAGTTTTATTTGTACGTATGATCTCAGCTTTCTTTTCCACAACTTCCTAAAGCTGTAGAAAAGATTGTAGAATAACGGCTACGATAAAAACACTTCGATCATTTATTGGAATCTGTTAGCGTAAACATATAAAACATTATGATGGCTTAATTAGTCCTTGACTCCTTGTATTTCATTAATTAATTTTTTAGGTTCTTTTTCGGTAGATTCAGTAAGTATGAACAAGAAAGAATAAAAATATAGGTTTACCGGGTTTTCGAATCTGTCGTTTTTCGTTGTTTCTGTTAATTCTTCCAATCTGTTTAGAATGTTTCTGTTTTAATATGCAGTTAAATGGAATCTACGAGGCACTGGAGGAGAAGAAAGTCGTGCTGCAAGAACCGCAGCGCGCGGATAAGAACGTCTTCGCCGCCATCCTGGAGACATTTTATCAAGCGATCCGCGGCACCGGCTTGCATGAGGGTCAGGATGGGGCGCTAATGTTCGGCGTTTACCGCGGGAAGATCAGTGAGGGATTGGATTTTGCCGATGATAATGCCCGCGCCGTGATTGCCGTGGGCATACCCTATCCGTATTTTCAGGACACACAGGTGGGCACGTGATTTTCCGTAGTGAGCAGATCAATAAAAAAATAATTTTTTTTTCAAAGAAAAGTTTTTGGATAATAACGCAAAATGTCACTGGCGTATTATTTTCAGCATATAATCACTGATTATTAATCAGTACCCTATTCTTGAAAAAAATTGGGTGCATAATAAAATTTTTTTTTTCTTGAGATATTATGGAGTGTGTTAGATTGTGCGCTAAACGTTTGCTCAATTTAATTTAACTTAATTAAAATAATTTGTTTAATTTAACTCAATTTAATTTAAAAGACCTTCCGTTGTGGTGGTTAGAAGTCCGTGATGACTTCGTTTTCTTAAAGTGAGAAATTTTCGAAGGATTGTGAATGATTGTCATGACTCAAGAGCAACAGCACACTTTTTAATGAAGAGTTGTAGTGCAGTGGCTGATAACAACGCAAACATTACGCATGTAGTAATGTCGGCAACCGTTACCATTGCTCGCGTATCTGAATAGTGATTTTCCTTTTCTAAGTATTTTTTCGCCTTTCCTGAATAATTTGTCTAGGTAGAATTATTTTTAGTTAGCCGTGTTTGGATGGCGGGCTTTTAAAACCGGCTAGGAGTTTATATGAGTCAAGCGATGGCTTAAAAGAAAGGCACGAAATCGAGATTCAGTGATTCGTGTCTTCGGGGATACTGAAAATTTAAGAGAAAAAAACTTGTGATAATGTCAGCTGTTGTGTATTGCGAAATGGAACAAAATCGTGGTTTTAAACTTTCCCAATATGGCTGTGGCGGCTTCCTACGCATCGAGTGGAGCCGGGTGCCACAGTACTTTCTTGTTTTTTTTTATTAGTAAATCGAATTTCTGGAAGCTATTAGGAAAGGGTATGCTGCTTCGATCAGTACACCGCTGATCGATTTCATTGCAGGTGAAAATGAAACGCCAGTATAATGATGCGCGGAGAAATTTGGGATTGTTATCCGGTGATGAATGGTACGATATTCAAGCCTTCCGAGCCATTAACCAAGGTTTGCTGCTTTACACGATTTGTTCATTTTTATTGATTAGTCTTATTATTTACTGATTAGTCGTATTTATGCCGTTCTGCCGGTTAACAACGGTAACAGATACACTGTTCTTAATTTGTTTTAGCCTTGGGACGATGTCTTCGTCATAAACATGACTGGGGCGCATTAATCCTGTTGGAGCAGCGCTTCATGAACCCAAAATTCGTCGATGGTGGGCAAAAAATCTTTACCAACTTTCTCGAATATCTTTTCTGTTTTTTTAATCATTTTTATTTAATTTGAATAATTTTTAGGTTTATTTTTTGTATTTATATTTTTTTCAAAAACATATGTAAGATTAAGTCATGTATTATATAAATATTTGGATATTACATTTATTTTTGTTGGATATTAAATTTGAATAATAACCCCGCGTTTGCTGGTGCAGGTTTGTCCAAATGGGTGCGACAGCGGATTAAAAGAAACTTCCGCGATTTCGCCGATCCCATGAACAGTCTGCGGGCGTTTGTGGCGCACCGCCTGGCCATGCAGCCCGTCGCGCCACCACTGGAAGAGCGCCCGTTGCAGGAGATGTTGGATGAGCAGATTCTGACGGATGACGAAGATTCACCATTAAAACTTAAGCCGGGACCCTCCACCATCTCCCGACAATTGTCCGCGCCGCCGTTTGTCACGAAATCGTCAGCGCCGTCCCCGCCGACGGGGGAGCGGCAGTTTAATGTGCGGAAAAAGAAGCGCGGGATCTATTAACGGGAATTGTTGGGATTGTTACTTGTTGTATCTCAAGTGGCCGCCGCCCGATGGAGTATTGCGTTGCTCATTTTTCTAATCTCTGTTTTTCTTCCGAATTTTTGTGATTAAGCTCTTTGAATTTGTTTTTTCTTTCTTTGATAATAACTTTTTTAGAAATATATGCCTTACTAATATTCTGTGCATGAAGATGGAAAGAATTATGCAAACATTATGAAAATATTTGTAATAAACACTAACACACTAACGGTATTTTCGCCGATATTCGTTAATCACGCTTGTCGACATGCGGCATGATATCAGTGCGGTGAAATTATGGTTTCCGGTCGATACATGCGCTGCGTGGTACTGTATCTTATCGCGTTATGATTTACAATGAAAATATTTTGAATCGCCATTGTTCCTGTTCCATTAAAGAACAAAACGTTGCTAATGAGATTATCGACGTTTCTCTGTGTGGATTACTGGTTACCCGGTACAACAGTACTCTATTGGGAACAATCGTAGCGTAAGGTGTTTTGGTTGAGCCGCAGCCAGCTGCATTGAGATAGATCGCATGATCAGCTGAACGATTAACGTTGGTTTCAGACTTCAGTCTAGCTTTGTTTTTTAAAACCCGGTGATCCACGGAATATGGATAGAAGGATCGCTAGCTTCGTAGTGCTTATTGCACTGATCAGCGCCGCTTCCGGTACGCGTGTTTTTTGTCTTTTAAGTGATAACTCTTAGTACCTATAACTGTTTTATACAGAGTACATACATGCATACTGTGTATGTATTTGTAAGTAACAAGTATTTAATTTTTATTGTTTTTTAAAGAAAGAGTTTGTTGAAGTACAATAGTTGTTACTAGGGAAGTGCACCGCTATTGGCCAGCACTAGAAGACCGAAGCGAAGCCAAAAACAGAATTACATATACGCATAGACGCAGCAGACTGTTGTTTTTACTGACTGTGATGTCCGTGAAGAGGTTGAACACCACATTTCGGACATTAATTACCTAGATAAATTATTTTCGATATATTTAATGGAAATAGAGCGCCTGCCCACAGCTTTTTAATTAAAGCCTTCTTTTGAGGGGTAGTTTTCTAATTCTTTGCTTAATGGACTGCATAATGCTAAACGGGAAGACTAACTCTATACCGCCAAATCGCTTCGTATTTTCACGCGTAAGAAGCCTTCGCAAATAAGACCGGATGCGAGTTTTCGTTTTTCAATAATTATGGAAGACTGCTCTCTCGCAAGCAATTCTTTATCCGTTATGTATTGTAATGGCCGAAGCTAACGTTAAAGAAGACAGAGCTTAACGCAATTTTCCGACTGTTCCGTCCGTTTCATGGTGATGGGTTGTTGTGGCCATACAGTTGTAAATAAACTTAAAGTCCAGAGTACTTGTGAAATTTTACCGATATTTACAGACAGTGTGGCAGTGAGTCTGGCGACGAACTCCTCGGCTTGTTAACTATATATGTCCCACACCAAGAACTCTAGATGGGCATCTAGTGGTCTTGCCCGCACACATCATAGTGCCCCGCTTAAGCCCATTAGCTGTGCACATGTTTCGACTATGCCTGACCCTGCAGCTTTTTTATTGGTTTTAATGCGGGCTAAGGTTTGGTGCGTTCCGTGCAGGTTAACCATTTCGGAGCTGTTGCTAGAATATGTGGCATTAATTGTTGCCGTTGCTGTATGACGCACAGCGGTGCGTTCTATTTCGCCGGTTAGCGCTCTATTCTTGTCCAGATTGTGCGATGGCGCATCGTCTACGGGCAGCTGCTTCCCGGTCCCTGACTGGATCGCCGTCGTTCGGGCTGCATATTCGCACTCTTTGCTTGGCGGGTATTTTGATGTTTTTCATCCAGCGCATTGTTTTTTCGTTTAGTTGTGATGTTGAGCTACTCCGGCCTATACTTGATTAATTGCCCAAAAGCTTATTAAAGGATACTCGCAACTGTTTGCGTTGGTACACGGCGAACGGATGACCTCTGCGACGGTACTGGTTTTGCTGCGCGGCACAGAACTGATCCCTTTCGATTCTGGTCTGTTGCTGCACAAATCGGGATTTACTGCTTTCAAACTTTTCAAAAACGACACTTTATGAAGTCATGCCGGTTCAACTTGACCTTTAATCCAAACACACAACAATCGATAAATATCTGGGCTTTAATATTTTAATATATACAAGTATATAGGTACTTGACTTTTAACTTCTTAAAAGTATTTTGCTTAAAAGTTAAAACTAAGTGACCGACAGGGCAGTACTTCGAGTGATAGCTATAGTCGCACTATGCATATGTCGGTGTGACCGACAGGATTTTAGGAACGTGACCGACGGACAGAAATACCTGTTTTCTTGAGCATAGAGGACCTTCGCTTCGCTTCAGTCGATCATATTATCACTCTTAATTATTGCTTAATCAATTATTGTAGAATTACTTGTACAGTGGTGCCGAATAGTAACCGATATACCGTAGGTGTTACTATTAAGTTCTGTAGCAATTATTATGATTTAATTTTTTAATTTAAGATTTTTTAATATTTTAGGATTTATTATCTTGTTTTTTACAAATTTTAATAATGTAATTTCGTATCTCCTTAATTGCTTAATTGATGATAGTACTCGTAAGTCGTACAGTCTTGCATAGCTGATTGCATAATTGTGGTGCTCGTTTGCTTATATTGCGCATAGTGCACGGACAGCATGGATGTCAGGAGGTCCGCGACTTGACCTTCACCGCCGCCACCGACACTGCGTCCATATCCAGCGATAATTTTGACGAAGCCGGAAATTATTTACCTTACACTGTAAGGAGCTTGTTCATTAATACGTCAAACCGTATCGCTTGATCAAAATTTAATTCATTCATGTTTGGCTGAAGTGGTGCCGATGGGTTGTTACTGTGCCGTCCAACCGGCGAATTCGTATCAATGTCAACGGAATTTTTGACGTAGAAGAAGGAGAACATGGACAGTGGTAAAGCAGTATATCCTGTGTTTTATAAACCGGCCTAGATTCATACTCTGAAATTCTAATTGTTTCTAACAGTAATATGGATTTCGTCAATGTCTACGAATTTCCGCCGTGTGAGTGAAGATAGGAAAGTGACACTTTTTAAAATTGACATCAAATTAAGATTTCGCTGTTTTCACAGTTTCTCCGGCAGTCAATGCGACAACCCTCCTGAGCAGTCATAACGTGGCTAAAGTTTGCCGGGACATCGAAACCCTTACCCATCCCGTTATCGGTCGGTAACAATTTTTCCGATTTCCGAAAAAATTTTTCCCATTGACATCACAGCCTTTTTTGTTTATTTATATTGATAATCTTTATTTTAAATTTTTATGATTTAACTGCTTACTAGAATTTAATTATTTCTTACCTACTTATTACAATATTATTTATGTATTTATTTATAATTAAATTATTGTTATTTATTTATTTATAATTCTTTTGTTTCAGGCCCGGTTTGTGGAACTTACAGCAACTTCTCATTTTCGTACACATCCCGCACCAATCGAATTATCGTGGATTTTTGTACCGATTACGGCACACAGGGACGCGGTTGGAAAGCCGGTAAGAAAATTTGTCAAGTCTTACTGCAAACCGTCCGTCATACTAAATCCAAGGTTTCTTTGGTAGAACTGGAGTTTTTCGATTGGGCGCCTCCCAGCCCGTCGACCCAGTGCAATCACACCGTCGATTTGACGCAGTTGACGGATACTTTCGAAATCCGTTCACCGTCGTTTCCCGCCAATTATCCGCCCAATCAGCACTGCACGTGGACTGTCCGAACCAATCCGTATGCAACTTTACACCCATTGGCAGAAATTGAATAAAGGATTTGACCAATGTTTGTAGGAATTACCCGGTGCTGGTGGACGCTCGGTTATTCGATTTGGATCGATGGTGTTATGATTCGCTGACCATCACCGATATCAGCAATAATGTCGTTCAGCGCTTCTGCAGCGACAACGAGCTGATGAAGCTGCGATTCGAGTAAGCATAAAGGCAGACCGGTGACCTTTCGAAAAGCGTTAGTTTGTCGTTCACAAACGTTTCATGTAACCATTTTCCATTTTATCAAAGTACCTATATAAATTTTTCAGTTTAAAACTGCATGTACAATATGTACAACATAAAGTTTACTAACCTCGAAATGCCTTTCCGTGCTTTTCTGCAGAAACACGTCGCAGCTGGTCTTTACGTTCGTCGCTGATGACGTACAGGAAGGCGCCGGTTTCGATATCGCCTTATCGTTGGTGGCGTGTCGAGCCGGATACCAGGCCTGTGATAATCCGGCGTTGGGCTGTGTATCGGTGGAGCAGCAGTGTGACGGCATCGTGCACTGTGCCGATGGATCCGATGAGAAACACGAATACTGCTATCCCGACTGCGGGGTCGCGCATTTCCCGATGCACAGTGAAAGCGCCCGAATTATTGGAGGTACAGCGGCAATCTTGACCTTTCATTTTTGGAATGTACGGTCATTTCTACATCGTTTAAAGGAGGTCTACGCATATTGCAGGCATCGAAGCGAATCCGTATTCCGTACCGGTAAACGATGACAGACTTCCCTTACTTTACTATTATAGCGTGAAGCTCCTGATGGCCTACTGAGTCCTTAACATTTTGTAATTTCTTCATTTTTATTGACATAACGAAAGGGAATGGTTGTGTTTGTAGTGGCAAGTGGCGATGCTGCGCGCGGCAGGCAACAGTCAGTTTTGTGGTGGAACTATCATTTCTAACAGGTTAAGAGAAAGTAGAGGCTGGTGTTCCGCAAACCTTAAAGTATCATTTTTAGGTGGATCTTAACCGCAGGGCACTGTTTTACTGGGTAATTCTTCCAGAATTAATTATTTGTTAGAAGCATGTAGAGGTTAACGGATGTTAATAGGGGACCCAGTTCGGCGCCGCAGTTCAGAGGCCGCGTCGGTGGGCATGACGTGCTCTTGAGCGCAAACGACGATCTCGGTACTGATATGGAATTCGAGACGGTGCTATGGTAAACCGCATTTTAAAAGTTTGGTAAATTAAAATAATGTGTCAAAAGTTGAGTTAATGTACAGCCATCCGTATTACGGCACCAATCCACGCACCACGGATTTCGATTACTGCATGATTAAAACCAAGCAACCAATCAAATTCCGCAAGAACGTCGTACCGGCATGTTTACCCCGGCAAGGACAAGAGGTCGCGCCCGATACCATGTGCATAGCATCCGGTACGAATCTTTTACCTTTTCATTCGTTTAATTTTCGATTTTGTGCGTTTATGTCTTCGCAATTTGGACGGTTTATCTTTATCGCTTATTATTGTTTACGGGTAATGTTCTGTAATTCTGTCAGGTTGGGGGCGAAATACCGGTGGGTGGGTTCCTAATCCGGAAACATTTGCGAACCTGGCACCGCAAACACGAAACGGTGGTAAACCACTGCGCCACGTGACCGTACCGGTGGTTAACCGAACCGTTTGTGGTGAGATGCACGGTCCGAACAAGTGAGCAGCTTTTTATTAGAAACCGGTTAAAAACTTAAAATAATGTCGTGTTTTTCTCTCAGGATCAATGATCGCATGATCTGCTCGGGATTCTTGGGAATCGGTATGTTGATTTCATTTAACGAGCGTGCATGCTTTTAACTGGAAACTGGCTAGGCGGGAAGAACACCTGCCACGGAGACTCGGGCGGACCTTTTGTCTGCAAGAACCAATACAACAAATACATGGTAGCCGGGATTGTTAGCTGGGGACCACCGACTTGTGCGCACATCGATTTTCCCGCGGTATGAATTTATTTTAGTGTTTTCGATCCTGCCAGTTCAATCTTGTCCCGTACGGTTTCAATACTGCCAATTCCGCTTCATCCCGTACGGTTTCTTTCGGATGTCGGATTAATTTTTATTTGGTTTCAACAGTCATAGACCGCTATTATTAACACGCGCAGCCAATGCATACAGATAATTCTAATAAGCTGGTTCGGTATTACAGGTCTACGCCAACACCGCTTACGCGATGAATTGGATATACGAAATTATGGCCAACAACTAGACTTGGTAACAGCTATAGTACTTTGTGTTTAGTGCACTGACTATAACGCCGCGTGCATTCCATTCCTACTTGATTAAACGACTGCTCACACCTACATTGTCGACTGTATACAAATGTCTTGTTGAAAAACTACCAAAAATTGTTTGAAAATAAAAAATATACCTGCTTTGAAATTGACTGTTCTGCGGATTATTTAACTGTAATAAAAAATTGTTACTTAATTAATGAAAAACGATGCACCTTTCCGAGACGAGGGAAGCCCCATTGTAGTACAGTACATAGTGGAAAACACTGCAAACCCCGTCATTTGACAGTATTACGGACAGCACGCGAAACAACAAAAAAATTTGAAGATACGATGGATGCGGCGATTTGAGGCACACAAAAAAAGAGTACAAGCACCAATTTCTACGACAGTGACTGTCTCTAGATAGAGACGCAGCGGGGTGGCGCAGTTTCAGCCATGAGCACCGTGGAGAAAGCTGAGTTATTTAACGAGCTTTTGTTTTTCTAATTGCATTTGATACATTTTTATATAATGATGGTTTGAAGTAATAAAAAATTCAAAGTACATACATGTACGTATGATCGCTAGGCTAGTGAAAAACTTGAAACATTAGTACGAAAAAAGTAGGACATGTATCTGCTAACTTTCACTTTCTAACTGCTAACTTGCTAACCTTCTAACTGCTAACTTTCTTACTCCAGTTCCGTTTGGAACCAGTATCCCGCAATTTTACACAGTGACCGTTGTGTTTCGTTTTTCTTTTTGGTAAAGTACACGGCTCCTTCCGTAGGATCCGGGCGGTCGTACGCCCTCTCCAGCCAGCTTTCAGTTTTCTTTTGAGAATTCGCATCGTGTAACTCGGCGGTATCGTTTTTAAAACTCCCGAGCGACTCCAGATGGCCACACACCGAGGCGATGGAACCGCCACCCCATTCGGCACGATCCTGATCCCCGCGGTTTTTTATGACCCATGCCACAGCCAGTTGCACGTCTTCCGGCTCTTTTCCAACTGTGGAGTTTATCACTCGCAAGAGCGCGGTGTAATCATCCGAAATTCGGCTCAACCTTGCTGCAGCAAATAAAAGCAACTAGTACAGTACATTTTGTCACATCGTTCGGTTATACTGTACACGTATCACATAATTAGGTAATATGTACAAATACAGTGTGAGTACCTGACGATCCATTGTTCATCTCGCCGAGTCCAGGATCAAGCTTCTTTAACTTTTCAAGTAACTCTGTTGAAGAGTCTCGCTGTTTAATGTTCTCGCAGAAGCAGTTTCTTGTTGCCTCAATAATTCTTCCATGTATAGATGGAAGCATGAGCGGTACGAAACCCATCGCAATTCGAAATATTGTAGGAGCTCCATCACTTTTATCAGAAATTCACATTCGCGTATATCCATTTCCGTCCACCTTGAAACCATTTGTCAAGATTGCCGTAATGACAATCCATTAAGTCTATGATTATGCAACCAAGACTCCACACGTCGGTTTTTCTTCCCGGCAAGCCACAATCGGTTTCAACAAACGCCTTTGCCATTTCCGGTGACATATACCGTGCCGTAGCCTTGAGTTTTCCGCCATCTTTGCTGCATACGCGGCTATGTTCGGTTATGACACCATCATCCAGATCAGCGATCTGCAAGTTAAAAGTTTTCCCAATGTGCCGTCGCAATAATATGTTTGCTGGTTTCAGGTCGCAGTGCACGAAGTTTCTAGAGTGTAAAAACATCAAACCAGTTCCGATTTGCTGCGCAAAGTCGACCACGTTGGCCCAAGATAGCGGTTCACTGGATTTGGTAAACGTCGTCAAATCTCCGTCTGCAAAATACTGATAATAAAATAATTCAATTGTTTTACTATTTTCAAATGGTAGCACGTCAGTTTACTCCGTTTTGCTGACCGACAGACTGCCGACCGACAATTCGCTTTTCTACAATTTTGCTGCCCTTTTGCAATCCTGAATCCTATGTAAGCATGTTCAAAGACTGCGAGTAACTGCGAATGTATAAGCAGAAAGTTGACCAGAAACCGTACAATCACTGCGAATCGCAGTAGAAGTACTGCTAGTAGTGGTGGTTGTACATGTACAGTTGCTGCTTATAACGTAAAAGAGTATACAAGCAGCTAGTCATGTTATACGCATAATAAGCAGCCAGTAAAGTTATACGCAAAAATGACTTTCCAAATATACTTGCACGTGGAAGGCTGGTAGCTAGCTGGTACTGCTCGTAAATGCTACAAACCTGGAATATAGTCCATCAGCAATTCAATTATGGTTCCCGCTTGCTTCTTTTCGATAATTATTTTATAATAGGCCATCACATTGTCATGCTTAACTGACAATAAAGGTAACCACACTAATCCATCAGTTGCGCCCACCCGATGTTTCCCCACATTCCCGCTTATCTCGTCCTTCAGAAAAATCCTCTTCACCACCATGACATCGTTGCCGGTGAAGTTTCCACGTATCTTTATAACTGCTTTATAGACCCAGGCTATAGGAGGAGGTGCTTCCGGCTGGGTGACCCAGCCGGAAGCACCTCCTCCTATCTGGTCATTACTGTGATCGTAATGGTAAGTGCAAGAGCTGTCGAAAGACCTGACCGCTGTCACTTCATGGACAATGTTGCGCAATAGTTCCAGTACGTCTTTAGACGGGCAACGTGAGATGACATCGCATAGACAAACTTCCAAAACTGATTTGATCCCTTTGTGAATGCCGTCCGGTACCACTGGGAAGTAGCCTTTCACAACCATTAAGGCGATCGCTTCAGCACTTGCATCATCTGTCAGAAACTTTTCCGCAGTTCCGTTTTTCTTCAACCATCTTTCTTTGATGCCATAATGAAAGTCAACTAGATCAAGAATAACACAACCGAGACTCCACACATCTGTTTTCCTGCCAGGGGGTGGGTCTGTGGTAAATGCCATAAAACGGCGCAGCATTTCGGGTGACATATACCGCATGGTTCCACGCAGTTGTGCTATGTCGTTCGTACGTGTGCTGCTTTGCTGTATCCTGACAACATTCTCTAAACAGCCAATGTGCAAATTGTATCCTCCATTTGCTTTCCCTTGCAACTATGTATTCGCTGGTTTAATATCGCAATGCACAATTCCGTTTTTATGCAGAAATACTAAGCCATTAGCAATCTGCTTCGCGAAATCTGTCAGATTGATCAAGGACAAACTTTCCCTTGGCCTGTTCTTTAAAATTGACTCAAGTGGCTTTCTGCAAAATTAATAAGAAAATGTTTTGGCTAAGTTGGTTTTGAGCTTTACCACGTCTAACTGAGGGAGTCCCATGCATCATACAAATGCCCCAAAAATAACATATGAGTTTCCAAAGTGTCTAACGATGAAGCCCATACCCGGAAAGTGATCCATCATGATCTCCATCACGGTTCCTTTAGCTACTTCTCGAATGGTAATTCTGTAGTACCCAACCAAGTTCTCGTGCTTAAGTTGTAACAAGACTTCGCACCTACTGCGAACATCTTCGTACAGAAACAATGGTCCACTGAATGATGAGTCTCGATAGATTTCCTTAACAGCCACTTGTTCCGGACCGGTAAAATCACCACGCTCTTTTACGGTGGCTGTGTAAACAGAACCAAAGGGACCGTAACCTACTAAGCTGTTTTTACTGTCATAAACATATGTGCAATTGCTGCCGAAAGACTCAATCATGATTAAAGATGTTCAAAAACGTTACATTTACAAGCAGATATTGGTAAAAATCAGAATCCAGGCCATATTATTGCAGTTACTAACAGTGCAGAGGGTAAAAACAGTGAATGTTGTGAGCTAATCTATATATATGTATTATATGTACAAGCGCGTTTCAATAAGTCTACGTTGCAATAAGTCTTATCGACCAGAGCAGAAATCTGCAGACAGAATATCTACTCTAGATGAGGAAGACAACCTAGGGCACTCGCAATCCATTAGCGCATTATAAAAATTCATGGTTGCTTAGGTTTGGCTTTCTTGTTCTGCTGTTGGACTCTGCTGTTGAGAACCTGAGCGTAACATGACTGTTACAAGTACGGTGCAGTATAGGCCTGTACGGCGGTATATCCGAACTTTTCTGCACTACGTTAATTTTGTGCGACAGTGTGAAAAGCATAGCGATAAGCCCGCTTATCGTATACATGATTGCATACGGAAGCGATACTTACAGCGAAAGCAGAGGGCAAAATGCACCTGCAGCGCAAAAGTCAGTTGAAAAATTGTTGATTTTACATGTAGTTAGACTCGGGCCTTATCCTAATTCTTTTTTTACATGACCAACATTCTTCCGGTTTTCTTGAGGCCTCTGGTTGATACAGGACATCATACCGCACTTTCACATTAAAAAATACAACCGCGATACGTTTTCGACTTTTCGGCTTAACTGGAATGGTGGCTAGTGATTTCCTAGGTACACAGATAAACATGACCTTGATATGAGATGGGCTTGTACACACTTCAGATATGCAGATGTTTTGCGGATGAAAGGCATCCAATTATAAGAATTGCACATTGCAGAAAGTAGGTATCTGTATTTTTGTAGTACAACCAAGTAAAGACGCCGTTTTTAAAACGGCCTTGTAGACTGTTAAGCTGTGGCAGTACTACGCATAAAAAAGATCATAACAAAAAATTCTTGGTTGAATAATTTCGGTTAGCGGCGACGACAGGAGGTGGGAACCCAGGCTAAATAATCTCTAGCAATGCACAGTTGAGCCATTTTTCCAAACGGTAGATCGTCAAAGTTTTTGAAATCCAGGTTCTTCCAGAAATCGTTGGACTTGTCACTCGAATCGTAGCTAAAATAATACCAAACAAGAAAATTATGCATAATATGTGCAAATAAATGCGCAAATGCATGCTATATGTATCTATTTTATTAAAGCGCAGTCTTGCATTTCCTTCCAAAGATGCCCTCCGATCAGCAAATGTCCACATCGGCACTTTTTTTACATGGAGTTGGCAGTTGTAACGTTGTGCTAGATCGTTGTACCAGATACCCGATCTAATTAGCCCTGTAAAGTTGTGACTCTGCAGTTCTTACTATTGAAGTACATCGCGAAATGATGACCAGCCACCGTCCGGAGGCGTGACCAATTTAAGCCAATTAGAATGTAGTGTCCTAAGCTGTTGCGCTATTGGTTCATCAATCAGAGGGCAGTTTTCTTCCAAAGAATTTTTATAATGCCGTATAATTGTGCCGATTTCTGTATTAGCAGTGTCCAGGCTCAAGTGTTGTATTACTACCAACAGACGACCGTTGAGATCTTGACGGCAGTAGCCTGGCAGTGGTATTCTTGCTGATGTGTCATCCACCAGCTCGTTATTGATCGCAACAGTGAAATTGTTCAGAATCAGTTGACTTGTGCATTTGGCCAGGCATGTTAAAGGGAAATAAAATAGGCCAGACCCATTTGCATAAAAAGGGCCATAAAAACCGAGTGGCTGGAAACCAGATCGATAATAATTTTTTATCAGGATTTTTTGGGGATGAGCTCCAATTCTTTTCAGGACAAAGGAAACTGTAGTATCGAACCGAGCAGCTGTGTATAGGTCTATGTTTTCGTGGCGGTCAATTATGTTGACCAGTGCGAGAAATTTTGTAGACGCGCTAACGAAATTTTCAAGCAGAAACGCGATGTTGTATCCTTCCGTTTCCAAGCAAGAAAAGATTTTTTTTGCTATGTTCCGGAAATCGATTATCGTACAGGTAAGACCTCTCGCTCGATCCATCAGCACTGCGCTCCAAAGCTTGGATACCCTGCAAAAAAAAACCTTTGTTAGCGTGGCAAGTGCAAGACCGTTGGTGTGATAACTGATAACTGTTCTGTAATGCGTGTGAGAATTCCGAGAAAGTAAATTCAGTTACTGAAACTGCTTTCTCAGGATGCTAAACATGACAAAAATTTCCACTAATGACGCTTAAAGGTGTAAGAAAAGGATTTTTTGTGGCTCCACGCGGCATCCTAGAGGCTGAAATGTAGTTTAATTTTGGCCAATCAAGCTTTAAAGCTGTTGACACAGAACTGGCCCTCGATCGGCTTAAAGTAAAATGCTGCACGAATGTCGGAACAATAACACTCGTAGCCATGTCGTTGAAGATTAGCTCACTGGGCACCCGACCTTTCGCCACGGACATCGCGACAGTGGCGGGAAGTCATTCTGTCGCAGCTTGCCACAGGATATTCTGTCGCCGACTCGCAGATATTTCGCCGCGCATTCAACCCGCCCGGCGATTTTTCTTCGTGAGACATTTAGTCGACGGGATATTTAGCAGCTAGACATTCTGCGAGGAAATACTTGCATTCTAATACAGCAGCTTTTCTATCGTAGCAGCCTGTCTAATTTCTGATTTTTGTTTTACCTTTAAAAGCCGTTATCTGAACCACACAGAATAACGTATGTATGCGTACACATCCAGTAATTCAGATTCAGTCTTGATGAAGTAACATACCACACTCGTACACACTGATCAGTCACAAACTTTAATTCTTCCTTACCACTTCACGTTAGCGAACGAATGTATGTCCAAGCCGGAGAAAATGCAGGACAAGATTTCCAAAGGTAAGGCCGTGATGAGTGGTAGATCTGGTGATGCAAGACAACAGATGCAAAAACACACTGAATACGGTAGGCAAAGCTTTAGTATTAGTAGAAGTACCGACATTTGCGAAATTCAACGTCATGATGTGACAAAGAAATAAATAAATAATAATGATGGTGGTTGCTAACCACAACTTTTGCACCGAGCGAGCTCTAACAACATTGAAACGGGAGGTCCCTTTCGTGTTACCTGTCACGCTAAAAACGATTACGGTTTTAGCGCCATTTTCACGCAAAAACAACTTTTACGCAATTCTTAATTCAGTTACCGCTATAAACAATTCAAAACACAGTAGTGTACAGACAAATGGAAATGTGAAAGTTTATCATAAGTCGCAAGCCGATATTCATTCGTGCGCTTGTTAGTGCGCCTACTCGTATTATCACACTCGTGCTAATCATAAGTTAGGCTAGCCGGTTCCAACTATGCAACATCTGCGTCACTACGTGACATACAATTTACAAATGCATCTGCTTTTTAAAAATGCGGATGGCTCCAATTATGCGGCTAATGGGAGTAAAATATGTACCATAATATACTAGTAAACAGATACGTACGACAGGTTTCCTGGTCGCCAGTGTATGCACTGACCAGGCCTGGCTCGTCGACTTTCCGGCATGATTTTGGAAGAAACAAATTGTTCACCAGATATTCTTTAGCAGCTAGTATTTTGTCTCCAGCAGAATCCGCCCATAGCCTGCTGTCACCGGCTCCGTTATGCAGGTAGATGTGCATAAGTATAATTGTAATTTGGTCATCTCCTATTTCCACGAACAATTGGTCTGCTGCTCCTCTAATATTTCTGTTAAATTTCCGTCCACCAAAGGGCTCCCCGTTTCGGAATACTACATCCAGAAACGCATTGATGCGATTTTCGTCACATACTGAGAGTAATTCCAACCTTGGCAAGGGTATGACATGTTTAAGAGACTGCAGGTATTTGATACGACGAAATAAAGAATAACTATCCGAATGGGGCGGCAATTTCGTTGCGAGTTGCCATCGATGCACCAGAGTAAATGGTTTTTCTGATCCATTTGTCTCAACAAAGCATACAAAGAGATTTCTATGATCGCAATGTATAACCTTAGTGGGCGGTCCGAAAACGTAAGCACCTTTCCATGGACCGTCTTCGCAACGCAGCGCTACGTTAACATTTACTGGGTAGTGACAAGAGATAAGAGTGTTCTCCCAGATGTTTTCAATATGAATCCACCGAGCAGGTACACCAGAACAGTCAAAATCTATAAACGCAGCGTCGCTTCTGATATCCTGCAGGTATCCCAGGCAGAACACATCGTTGCACATATTGACCACAACTGTATTTGCCATGTTAAACTGACGACCATTACGTTGTCCTGCTCGAAAAAAGGTTGAGGTAGCAGCCATCATCAGGACTGAATCAAAATATAACTGCAATGCCTGAAAAAGGGCATTAAAATTAAAAACAAGCATTTGACGGTATTACTTTTCAGCCTTGTTTATAGTTCAATCCTAAATCCACTGGTTGCTGCCATCAATCAATATTACATTTATTTGATATTGGGCAATAAAACCCTAAAATAATGCCTTGCTTGCTCTTCGTACAAATCCCTTGGTTGTAATAACTCGCACTGAGGTACTGTACACTGTCTGTACTATTGGTATCAAGTTACTACCAACGCAACCAGCGTCAGCCCGCCTATCTACGAGGCCAGGCGGAACCGTACATGAGGGGTTAACCCCGTCTGAAATCTATAGGAACTCAGTTATATGAATTTTATAATTAGTGAGACCTAGTTTTACCATGATAAGACTTGTGACTGAATCATGACGCCACCCAAAATGCAGTAGGCGTTCACGCGTGTTAGGCTTAGACATACCCTTTTCAATCAGAATCATCAATGAGACCTCGGATGCAGGTAACAGCTGATACTTATGATCAGTTGATCCTGCTTTCTGCCAGAACGGCTATGAGTGTCAAAAAGGAGAGTTTCGAATAATTATTATGGCAAGTCCATATTGGTGCCAACTGAAATGAGATGAAACTAGAAGAAAGTTTTGGAAAAATTTTAAGACAGTAAATGGAAGGTTTCGGGAGACCAAATCCACTGAACACAGTTTTATGGCTTCACTCAGCCGGGTCAGCCCTACAATGACCTACATCAATTTATTTCCCAGAACATAATAATCAAAACATTTTATTTGTGACATGCGATATATATATATCAAGTACTTACAAATAGTGCGAGAAGTAAGTTCATCTAATGACAGCTATAGCACAGTCGTGGCTATAGTAACTTTTCTTGGATATATCCATATACTCGTACTGCAGATAGCACATGTCTGCACAATTGTATTAAGCAGTTCAGTTGCCATCAGATCCAACTCAACTGGGCGAAGGGTGTATCGGTATCCTGTATCCTGATAATATTTTTAACCAAGAGAACAGAGAGATCAAGAGGCTAGAATCAACACACTGCAGATGTGAGCAACCCCGTACCCTTGTTATTCCTCTAAAAATTTACCGGTACAATGGAAGCTCTAATGCTGCATCCGAGATGTAGACACTAGACAGGACTACAGGTCGAATACGGCAAGCCTTCACTACCACGAACGCGACATACGGTACAGGACAGCCAACTGCTGTTCTCGTTCAGCCCACCCACTGCCCCACTCAAGGGGCTTCACTGTATTGTATGAAAATACAATACAGCCCCTAGAGAACCGCGTTGGCCCACCTTAGAGAAGGCCGGAGGCCGGCGACTGGGCATAGAGCAGACTGCTCGCACTTTCCCTGGCTGATTCGATCACAAACACATTGGCAACATGTCTACTGGCATGTAGCTAGACTAAAAGGAGGTCTGCATCGCCCACAAATTTTATTGAGTTGGCTTTCTATTTGCAACACCTATGGCCCATTTCGTACCACTCTATAAAATCGACCCCTTTTTTGTTGATTGTATTCCACGTATTCCTATGTATCCCACACGTATTCTGTCTGTATTCACGTTATGTTATCCATTATTTTGCTTTTGCAAGTACGGCTGACTACGTCTTCTTGTGCTGTATTAAATACCGTATTCCCACGTATTCTCCCCGTATGCTGTCCTTGTTGACAATGTATTCTTCGGTTTCTTAGGCTTCTTAGGTTTTTATCTAGAACAGGGAATACGTGGTGAATACTGGCTGAATACATGGGAATGCGCTAATATGCTGCAGGAAGGCAGCAGTCACTGAGGTTAGATAAGTGAGTTAGGAAATACTTTAGGAATACAGGCAGAATACAGGAAGTATACGTGGGAATACGGGCACACTCCACAGATATATTAATCTCGCCTCTATGACTAAGGTACCTTTAGTCTTTAACAGTATTCCCACGTATTCCATCCGTATTCTGCCGGTATTCCTACTGTATTCGCGAGGGAGTTTCCATTATATAGCATTAATTCAGACATGACTGTTGTTTTCTTTAGTGTGTCCCCTTATTCTCCCGTATTCCGCCTGTATTCCCCATGTATTCTTGGGTTTCCGAATTAGAAAACTTAGAATACGCCTTGAATTTGGGCAGAATACAGGCGGAATACACAGGAATACCGGCCAACTGGCAGAGAATACTGAAATCATATTATATCGGAAGCGGAGAATACAGTAGGAATACAACCGGAATACTTAGGAATACATGGAATACAGTAACAAAAAAAGGGGGTCGGTTTTCTAGAGACGAAATGGGCCATATCTATCTATTTGTGTCTTTCGTTTTCAGATTTTTTATCCAAACGCCGCCCCAAACGGCGCCTAAATCATTGTTAAAAACAATGTGCTCTTCATACACACTTGCACATTTTGAAAGATTATGCACCGTTGTATAATCCCGACTTTCAGATTAAGAAGCACCATTATATAAAGACCCGAAAAATTTGTAATAGAACAGTTTAAATTCCATTCACGTGGCGCCCCATGCGTCGCAAACAGATACCACACAGTAACATATTCCAGGCGCTTGCTCTTCTCAGCTATTAGGAAAATGTTGTTTTAAAGGTCCTTCTGAAACCAGTAGTTTCCTGTTCTGCATATTGGGCGCGGTAACTCGTTTCGTGCTGTGCTACAGTGCACGGCTCCATCAGTGGGATCGGGTCGTTCGTATATCCTATCCAACCAAGAGATTATATCCGGGTGGACCTTGATACTCCTTGAAACAGTATCTGTTTCCTGTGGACCATCTGACATTGGTAAACCTAGAAGGTCACAAGCGCTGGCAATTGATCTTCCACCCCATTCGGATCGATTTTGATCGGCACGATTTTTAACAACCCATGCAACGGCCAGCTGGACGTCTTTGTCAGTTACAGGGCCCAAGATCCTCAAGAGTGCGGCAGAGTCCGACGACGTCTGGTGCAGGCTAGCTGCACAGTTAAACAATGGTTTGTTATACTTTGTTTTGGATAAATCAATAGACTAAGGCACCACTGCGGCAACGAAAGATGGATAGAATCGTACCCGAAAAATTTTTTTGCACGTCACCTATTTGAGAGTCCAGTTTCTTCAGTTTGTCCAACAACTGGGCTGCAGAGTCCCGTTCTCCGCTGTCGTAGCAGAAACAATTTTTTACGGTACCAATGATTCGTCCGTGCACTGAGGGAAACATTAGCGGTACAAACCCCATGGCTATTTGAACTATAACGCGCTTGGCATTTCCCCTTTCCGACATTCTGATCCTCGTATCAATACAAGCATCACCGCTCTGGGATGGCAGGTGAAACCATTTATCGTGATTGCCACAATGGCAGTCCATTAAATCCATAACAATGCAACCCAAGCTCCAGATGTCTGTTTTCTTGTTAGGCTTATTAGCGTCACATTCCGCATGCATCTTTGCAATTTCCGGTGACATGTACCGTGAAGTTCCTTTAGCTCGTCCAATGTCCTTGGTGCATACATGGCTGTATTCGGTGATGATACCATCATCCAAATCGGTGATCTGCAGGTTCCATTTATCCCCGCACTGACGGCGCATTAGCACATTTGCGGGTTTCAAGTCACAGTGCACAAAGTTATGAGTGTGTAGAAACTCCACACCAGCGGCTGTTTGCTGACTGAAACTGACAACGTTGGCCCAGGACAGCGATCTACCGGATTTAATAAAGCCGTCCAAATCGCCATCTGAAAATCAGTTCAAAAACTTATACGAGCTTCTGTCACAACAATGGTGTGACGAGTTCTTTTACCTGTGTGTGACCTATTCTGTGTGTTGTGTGTATATGAGTCCTGTGTAAAGGTCAACGATGACCAGTACCTATGTAGATTACAAATGAACCAAACAACCAGGTGTACACGACCTTTTAATAATCTTTGACCATTGCCCACTACAGTATACTATTAGAAGTGATCACTAGACAGAACGATACTCGACTGATACTGGACTGAATTGAATGTCTTTGGTGGGCTCTTTATATATGGATCGAAGCCGGTTGGGGTGTGATCGTGAATCATCCCTATGATGTCATTATGATGCAAGAATGAGTAATTATGACGCAGTTATGACTGCATTGTCCTTGGCGTTCGACCTTGACGGGCACGTGGTGGCCTCATGTATGTGAGTCATCGTGACAATCCTCCTCTTTGAAATTCGCCGTCTCTGGCGAATAAAGCGGGATGTGATAAAGGTTTAGAAGAATTAACAAAAACAATAAATATAAGAGTTCAGTTACTATACAACATGTTATTAGATTATGCATTCATTTTACAGACTGTAGTGGGCTCAACAAGACTAGTTCGAAAACATAAATACAGCAGAATTTTAGGTCACAAAATTAATAAAACGCAAACAAAAATTCATAATAATACAAATAGTGAATTATATCCAGCATTTCTGTTAGGTATTCGGGTAATCCAATCATTCTGATCGTAGCGATAGGGTGGTTTTCAGGAAAATCATGGTCAAAGAAAAGCTAGCAAACTCATGCGCACAATGCTCTCGTGAGAAAACTGAGGTATCACAAAGAAAACACAAAAACAAACAGAAAAAACACAAAACAGATAAAAAAACACAAAACAGCAATTAAAAATTACTACAAGCAAATTAATGCAAATATAAAGTCATCATAGCAGACAAAAAATGCAAGCAAAATAGAGTCTGAAGAACGAGTAACAGGTTTGCCAGATAATAAAGAAAAGAAATAAGATATATGCTCACCAATATATAAAAGCTTCTCTGTCATCGCTCTTTTCACAAATAAAATAAACTATTTCAACTCAAAATAATGTGTAGCTCAAAAAATATAATTTTCGGTTCCTTAAATCATTATAAAACAACAGTAAAACGTATACATGAATGAATATTAGAAAATAAACTTTAACTGAAAACCTTTGTTAAAATACGGTATGAAAATAATAACAATCATTGCTTAACCATTCTATGATGCAATGCATTCTGTAATACATCTTCTGCTTAATTTACTACTTCGAAATATTTTCCGTTGCCATGCGGTACTGACTTTTCTCTGCGGCACGTATTTGATATGTCTGATCGATGCCAAAATGAAGATGATAGACATTGTGCATCGGTAATTCATTACCGCAGTAATAGCAGCTTGCTTCACCATAGTCTGTTTCTTCCGATTCGACTTTCGTTTGTGGAGAGCGGTCTTTTGCTCTTCTGTTGGGAAAATCAGACGAAAATTCCATGTTTACAATTTTGTTCAACTTTTCTAAAATCTCATCAATTTTTTCGTCATTTCATCAGTTTCCGTGGAATGCTTCTTTGTTGCATTTGCAAAAGGCAGGGTTAAAGATACTGCTGGTGTTTCAATATTTTGTTCACGAGTCCTGTATTTCACAGGATACAATTCTTCAGCTACTTCTAAAATATCCTTCGGTGTTTTCTTGCCCATGATGCGTAACTGCATCGCTGTTTGCTTGTCCCGCATTCCTTTTAGAATAAAATATCATTTTTCTGTCTGGTCCATATTTGCGTCGGCGTGTTTGCATAAGTCCAGGATGGAAAAGTAATACGTCCGAAAATTCTCATCGTTTCCTTGCTGCCTCGATATCAACATATCGATGGCTTGCTCTGGTGTGCCGACTTTTCCAAAAGTTTTGAGAAATTCTGTTTCTACTGCATTCCATTCGGCTGCAGCATTAACTGGACGGTTTTTGATCCATTTTCTTGCGGTACCAGCTAAGACTTCGGGAAATCTTCTTGCTTTTGTGGCATCGTCCCACGCATACGACTCGGCGCATCGAAGATAAGATTCTAGCCAAGTTTCCGCATCTTCATGTGGAGCGGCTGAAAATGGAGGCGGTAATTTAATCTTTGGTCCCTCTGCCATTCTTTGAAATTCTTCCTGACCGTTGAAATTGTCGTCCTCCACTTGATCTTGATTTAAAGGTAAATTTCCGTTGTCTAAATCCTCCTCTTTATCCTTCAAATTATTCTCTTCAAAATTTTCGGTGTCCGATTCTTCTTCACGAACGTCCTCTATGAACGCAGTCTCGTGTAAATTCTCTTTTTTTTCGTCTCCTTCAATAAGGTCCTCGTTAGTTTTTTGTTCCAGATTTTCTTCCAAATTTTCTTCAAGGCTTGTGTCAGGGGAGCCTTCGGGGGTTTTTTTTCTATCTGAAGCTCTTTTCACTTCTGGTATGCTTCTTTTTACTAAATTACTGTTGCCTCCAGGATTCCAATATTTACTATTAATCTGTTCTTCTGGTACTATTGGTGGTGGCAGGTTCCTTAGTCTGTTTGAAACGCGCTCGGCAACTGTACTATGTTTTAAAACACTACGCTGTTCTTGCGGTTTTTTAGGCGCAAGTTTAATTAATAATTAATAAAAAAAAATTTTGCAATTTTTTCGATAAATATTATTGTACCGACCAGATTTATACCAATTTATTTAAATAATTATTTTGCCGCTGGCAAAATCAGTAATATTAAGGCATATCGGAATTCTCTCGTTTTATGCTTTGCTAGCTTGCATCGATCACGGTTACGCCCTTCTATACTAGTATCTTACAGACCACGGCCAAAGATCGCTCCAGCGAACCCGTATGATACGACTATGCGGGGAACTTGCACAGTGTTACTATTTGCGCATCAGTGAAACCATATAGGCACTGATTGTTGGTGTCAGCAAATCGTGTACATAATGAGTAAACTGCTTTTTTGTTTTATCCAAGTAACACCAATCACAATAATTATCGTTCCATAGAATGAGTACTTTTAAATAAAAATGCTAATTTGTTCGGAATTTTTTTTAACTTATTTCAGTTCAGCAATTCGTTTTTTTTGTTATTCCGTTCAGATAGATTTGTAGTCTTCTTTTCACTAAATTTTACATATTTAGTAATACCTTAAAACAAACTAAATTTTACAATAAGATCAAATGGAAACTATTAAAATAATTCAAATATTTCACACTTTACCACGGACTCAGTAAAAATCATCTTTACCACGGGCTCAAATCAAAATCATACGACTATCTGTATGCAGCTGCGCTATTACGGACCAGGTAACAACAACAGACAGATACCTGTGTCGTCTGCGACTATCTGTAATGAAAGTGACCTATGGTCAGTAGGACCACTTTACAATACCTGTGCCGCAAGTGGGCTTGTATTAAAAATTTCCTCGAGGACAAATCCAAAACTTATACAAAATTCATTTAATAACTGTGCACTTAATAAATTTCCCAGCAATCCAGTACAATAATCCAATATAAATCAATAACATATAACTTCAATCCATTCAAAGGTCACACTAACAGGTTCATCCTTCACGACAATTTGTCACAACAATGGTGTGACGAGTTCTTTTACCTGTGTGTGACCTATTCTGTGTGTTGTGTGTATATGAGTCCTGTGTAAAGGTCAACGATGACCAGTACCTATGTAGATTACAAATGAACCAAACAACCAGGTGTACACGACCTTTTAATAATCTTTGACCATTGCCCACTACAGTATACTATTAGAAGTGATCACTAGACAGAACGATACTCGACTGATACTGGACTGAATTGAATGTCTTTGGTGGGCTCTTTATATATGGATCGAAGCCGGTTGGGGTGTGATCGTGAATCATCCCTATGATGTCATTATGATGCAAGAATGAGTAATTATGACGCAGTTATGACTGCATTGTCCTTGGCGTTCGACCTTGACGGGCACGTGGTGGCCTCATGTATGTGAGTCATCGTGACACTTCCCGTAATTCATCTTACTGTGTAAGGTGATCATTTTTAATTCCAAACTTTAGAATTATCACCCTGTTGCGCTACCTGTTATGCGATACAATGTGATTTATAAATGAATATCTATATAATCGTAATTGATTTTAGGCAACAGCGAAACTTCATGGTTCCTCTTTGAAGGCCAGGGCCTTCAAAGAGGTGGATCGGGAATTTATTCGGGATGGTATTAATACTTAATGAACACGCTAGCACCGTCCAAGATACACAGTACATGCTAGGACTGCCGTACATGACCAAGTAAATCAATTGACCTACTAGCATCATACAGTATACTGCGCCACCAGTAACTGGCGTTCATTATTGTACACCGCTTTTCACTACTGCCTTTAATATCTGTCCTGTTAAAGACTGCGACAGTTGTGTATTACCTGGAGCGTAATCCATTACTAGTTCTATTATGGTGGCCGCTTGTTGCCTCTCCGTGTCAATTTTGTAGTACGTCACTACATTATCATGTTTCAAAGACAGTAAGGATATCCACATTTCTTCGTAAACTACATTCTCTGGATTGTTGTCCGTGCTGTAACCTGTTTCAGTTTTGAGGAAAACTCTTTTAACTGCCACCACACTGTCACCGGTAAAATCTCCCCGCTCCGTTATTTTGGCCTTATAAACGCAACCAGAAGCACCTAAGCCAATCTGGTCGCTTTTGTGATCGTAATGGTAAAGACAAGAGCTACCGAAACACTTGACTGGTCGTATGGCGACGGCTAAGCGATCCAGTGCATCGACAACATCAGCAGAGTTCAAACGTAAACCAACATCCTGGTAAAGACAGCCCTGAATAGCCATCTTTATCCCTCCGTAAACAATGTCGGGTATCATGGGAAGATAGCCTTCTACTAACCTAACACAGAGTTCGAATATCGTGAGGTGATCCATGCGGAATTTCTTCTGTACTTCCTTGTTGTACAACCATCTGTCTTTGACCCCATAATGGCAAAGTGCAATGTCAAGGATAGTGCAACCAAGACTCCAAACATCTGTTTTCCTGCCGCAATGATCAGCACCACCCACCTGCGTTATCTTTGCCAACATTTCGGGTGACATATATATCAGCTGTCCGAAAATATAACTTTTCTCGCGACCTGTGATACTGTATTCTGCATACTCCAGGGTACCTATGCGCAAATTGTAGCCATCATTTCCTCGATAATGTAAGAATATATTTTTTGGTTCCAGATCGCCATGAATGATCCGATTAGCATGCAAAAATGCCAAGCCTCTAGCGATTTGCTGGGCAAAACTCACGAGATTAAGAAACGAGAATTTGTCTTTCGGTGTGTTTTCTAAGAAAGTGCTCAGTTTTCCATCTGCAATTGAAATTACCGTAATGCATTACCATTAGTCTGATGCATTTTCGAGTTACAGATAGGTATTACAGATCCACAATACCAACATACCTTCTTATGGAATTTTAAACACAAACCTGGAAAATAATCCATCATGATTTCCTTCACTATCCCTTTAAGCGCATGTCGAATCGTAAATTTGTAATATTGGACTAAATTTTCATGATTAAGCCGGAGCACGGAATTCCATTTACATAGCAAGCGTTGACGCTTGTGTTCGCGCAAAGTTTGATTGTTCGCTGTTTCATCTTTACCATAAATCTCCTTAATAGCGATTTGATTGGGCCCAGAGAAGTCGCCACGGTTTGCAATGGTTGCCAAATACACAGTACCAAACTGTCCCACGCCCACCAGGTCCGCTTTGCTGTCATAGACGTAAGTACAAGTGCTGCCAATAGATGCAATCATAGCGGAATAATGCAGTACTGCATACTCTGCAGAAGCTGAATCAAGAACTAAAATTGCAATAATACTACGATCAGTGAATGAAAAATGGATTTGAGTGGGTTTGATGATATCGCGACCGGCAATTTACAGCTAGGCCGGATATTTTGCGAAATTTTTTCAGGTTAATATGATATCGACAATATAAAAATACACGGCTCGCAAATGCAAGCAATGAGACAAACCCAACATTGTCAGTATTGCTTTGCTTACGTAAATACTTTACCAGTTTAGCGTTTACCTAGTGTAGATCAGCAGTAACAATCATACTCTTGTTCGCATGCACTGCAGAAATGGTGAAAAATGCAGACCTCTATATGTTCGGTTTTAGATATGCAGCGTTAAGATTTTTTAGCCTTGCATTCAAACCAAATAGTGCCCTTCAGCAATTCTCTGCTCTGTCAGTTTGTAAGTACAGCGCGTCTACAAACGTGCATGGATGTGCGCTCGGATGTACGTTATCGCCCAACTGAACCTGTTATGCGACGCCGCAGTACCGTAAGTGCTAGTAGATAAACGCCTATATACTACTAACACTATCATCAGAATGCTCTATAGCAGTATAGGTTACCAGAGTTTTATTGCGCTTCACGCTATGGTTTTAACACAGTAGTGACAGTAGTAACACTACGTTTGTACTTTGTACATGCTTTAACGGCGCTGCATTGATATTCGAAAGTCTAAGAACAGCACCGCAGCTATTAATATATGGGGGCCCCTTATATCTGTATAGTACATGCGGTGCTATTCCTAGACTTTCGAATTCGTATCCTTGAATATTCGTTCTGGACTTTAACAAGTATCACATGTACGACAATTATAAGAACAATCTGAGTACTACTAAAGCAGTTATAGGTATTGTTTAGTTTTGATGGTTGCCTAACTAAAACCAGCCGCAAGGCACTTTTTTCTAATATTATCAATCTTGTCACTTCCACTTCGTCTCGTGCAGTTCATCTCGCATGTCGGATTGTTGTTTACTTGGTTTCAATGGTCAGAGACCGCGGTTTTTGGGATATTGCAGCTTTGAACCAATACCGCTTACGCAATCAACTGTACATACGAAATTACCGCCTATAGTTAGAATCGGATAACTAATCTTTGCCATTTTTTAAGAGTAGACCTCAGTCAATGATGGAAGGCATGTGAAATACTCGTTATAACGAAAGGAAAAAACAGTGCCACAGAAACTTAGCATGCCGCGATGAATAAAGCAAATTGAGAAACTAAAAAGTTACCGAGTTCTGAATACGAAAAAACGACAGTAGAATATACACATATTCCCCAGCTCTGCTGTAGTGAACTAGCTTACTCTAAGTCCTTCAAGAACCAGTATCCCGTAATCTTACACAGTGACCGGCGTGTTTCGTAAAATTCATCTTTCTCTTTTGTAAAATACACTGCTCCGTCAGTAGGATCGGGCCGGTCGTAAACATTCTCCAGCCAGCTTTCGATTTTCGTTTGAGAATTCGCATCGTGCAGCTCAGGCACTTCGTTCTTGAAACTCTCGAGCGAATCCAGATGTCCACATACACAGACGATGGAAGTGCCACCCCATTCGGCGCGATTGTAATCCGCGCGGTTCTTTATAACCCACGCCACAGCCAGCTGGACGTCTTCCGGCTCCATAAAAGCTATGGAGAGCATAGCCTTTAAGAGAGCAGAGTAATCATTGGAGGTTCGGCCCAACCCTTCTGCAACAAAATTAACAAAACCGGTAAGACCTGCGCTGTCATACCGTACATGTGTAACCTACAGATGACAGACTCATAACAAATACAGCCCATGTACCTGACGATCCCTTTTACATCTCGCCGAGTTCAGGGTTAAGAGCATTTAGTTTTGCACGTAAATCTGCTGACGAATCTCGTTGTGTACTGTCCTCGCAGAAGCAGTTTCTCGTTGCCTCAATAATTCTTCCATGTACCGATGGAAGCAACAGCGGCACAAAACCCATCGCAACTCGCAATACTGTAGGCCCTCCGCCACTCTTGTCAGACATTCGCATCCGTACATTTTCGTTTGCGGTTGTACATGTCTTTTGGAATTATTTGTCATGAATGCCGCAGTGTGCGTCCATTAGCTCGATGATAATGTAACCAAGACTCCAGACGTCGGTTTTTTTCCCGGCTTGCCTCGGTCAAATTCTACAAACATTTTTGCCATTTCCGGTGACATACATCGTGCAGCGGCCTTAAGTTTTCCGACATCTTTAGTGCAGACGTAAGTGTGTTCGGTAATAATGCCATCATCCAGATCGGCTATTTGTAAGTGAAACTTATTTCCCCAGTTGCGCCTTATTAAAACATTTAGCGGCTTCAGGTCGCATTGCACAAAATTATGCGAGTGCAAGAACACTAAACCAGTTGCTATTTGCCGCGCAAAATGGCCTAAGAAAGCTGTTCATAGGATTTCGTAATTGTCGCCAAGTCTCCGTCTGGAAATCAAATAAACGTTCGTCTTTATGTTTAAACTCCATGAGCTGGAATATTAAATATACAGTATATTAAATTTATTCCTCGTCCTAAGTTCTAGCTTTGCGGTTTCATGTGTAATTATTATGTGGCGACTGTTGTGCGTGTACCCGGAGCGTAATCCATCAATAACTCAATTACTGTTCCATTTTGCTTCTTTTTGGTGATAATTTTGTAGTATGCCACCACATTTTCATGCTTAAGTGACAATAAAGGTAACCACATCTTTCCATCCACGCCGTCCACCCAATTCTTTTCCTCAGTTCCGCTTGTGTCGTCCTTCAGGAAACTCCTTTTGACCGCCACTACATCGCTGCCGGTGACGTTTCCACGTGCTTTTATGGTTGCTCTATAGACCGATCCGGAAGCACCCCCTCCTATCTGGTCACTGTTGTGGTCATAATGGTAAACGCAAGAGCTACCGAAAGAACAAATCGCTGTCAACTTGCAGACCATGTTTCGTAGCGATTCCTGTACGTCTTTAGCGGAGGCACGTGAGTTAACTTCACATAGACAAACCTCAAAAACTGATTTGATTCCTTCGTGAATACCGTGTGGTACCACTGGGATGTAGCCTTTCGCAGCCATGAAGGCGACTGCATTTTCACTGGAACCATTAGTTAAAAAATTCTCCACAACTCCGTTTTTCTTCAACCATCTTTCATTGCTGCTGCAATAAAAGTTAACAAGAACAAGAATTATACAACAAGAATTATACAAGAATTATATTAGAATTATACAAGACGCTGTTCATTTTCGTATAATAAAACACGGCCAATTTGCGACGAGCCCAGGTCATCATTTACGTCGTTTCCTCGATAAATTTCTTTCACAGCGACTCTGTCTGGACCGGTGAAATCCCCGCGCTTCTTAACGATGGCTCTGTAGACGGTGCCATGGTTAAGATGGCACCGTCTACAGAGTGTACTGGTACTGCTGCTTAGTGCTGCTAGTTAAAAATTAATGGTGGTTCTAGACTGTCTCGTCCCCGATTAACGGCGTAATAGGTCCCTAGTAACTTCTGTGCATTGTGCATTAATTTACCCGCGGTCGTTCTACAGTACTGTAGTTTGTGCGACAAGTGTTGGAGCTTCGTGAATTGCCCGCTTATTGGATACAAGTAATTTTTCTCATACGACATTTCCAACGTGATGCATGCAGTGGTGAGCAGAGCGCAAGATGATGATGATCACCCCCAGCTGAAATATAGAGTAGGATTCTCCCCGAGAGAGAATCTGTTTATTATTGGCTGACACGGATGGCCATTCCTCCCTGCCCTGAGCCGTCAGCGGTCATAAAAGCAGTAACGGATCACCGGCAACTTCCAGTTGCTTTCGTTTTACAGCAGCAGCAAGCGGATTTTCCCTCCCGCCCACCCAATGGATCGAGGAGTTGGATCAGCAAGCGTCCAAGGATGAGATGTAGCGTGTTGTAGCTTTGGCTTGATGCTCCTTTTGTTTTAGCGACGCGTTTCAGCTTTAGCTTTTGTTTGTTGTCTACACAGTGAGTCTGTTGTTCTTATTTTTTCAGTGTATGAGGCATACCTGCGTGTGTGCAGGCGTTGTTGGGTGTTTGTGCGTGCGCAAGTTGTTGTTCAGTGATCACTCCAGCGGGCAGAGTCGTCCGCCAGGGATTTTAATATTAAAATCCACCCCCCATGCACATCTGTGTCTGTTACTCTACTCTAGCAGTTAAGCACAATAATAGATGAGATTTAGTTTTCTCAGTTCTGAGAGATTTTTTTAAAATTTTTTTATGAGAGTTTGGGTCATTTTCTACTGAACCGATTTACCCGGTTTGTTGGTGTTTTCTTCTAATGGAACAAAACGAGCTTTTCGCATAACAGCTCTTCTTAAAATATTGATTCATTTCTTGTAACTTTGGCGTTGTATAATGAAGGTTTCAGTTTAAGTCGCACATTTGAAGAATCTGAACTGCACCATTTTCAAGTAACAGCAAATTTCACTATATTTCATGCACAAAAACATATTACGGTGTAGCGTACATGATACATCTAATGCAAGTAGACAAACTTCGAACAATTCTATGGCAGATGTTTGTTCCTCTTCCTCTTGTCAGGCAACACCGTTCTTACAGGTCATTCTGAAACCAGTAGTTTCCAATTTTGCACACCGGACGCGGTAACTGGTCCCGTACTGTGCTGCAGTACACGGCTCCGTCTGTAGGATCGAGACGTTCGTATACCTTTTCCAGCCAAGTGGCAATATCGGGACGAAACATAAAACTCTTCAATGCAATCTCTGTTTCCTGCGGACAATTTGACACCGGTAAATCCAGGTGGTCACAGACGGTGGCTATTGACACCCCACCCCATTCGGATCGATTTTGATTGGCACGGTTCTTAATAACCCATGCAACCGTCAGCTGGACGTCTTCGTCAGTTATGGAGTTTAAAATCTTCAAAAGTGCAGTGTAATCTGAAGATGCCCGGTTTAGGATCCCTACAATAGAGGTTTGAATTGTTACGCATGTATGATTTGTCGTTGTACGCATGCATTTATTCGATTTTACAGGGAGGAACAGGTTTTACGCATGCTGAATGTACAAACGTACCAGAAGTTTTTTCTTCCATATCGCCTAGTTGAGGGTCCAGTTTCTTCAGTTTCGCTAACAACTGTGTCGCAGAATCTCGATCTCTGCTTTCGTAGCAGAAACAGTTTTTTACACTGTCGATGATTCTTCCGTGCGCCGAGGAAAACATTAGTGGTACGAAACCCATGGCTATTTGAACTATAACGCGTTTGGCATTTCCCCTTTCAGACATTCTAATCCTCGTATCTATACAAGCACCATCGCTTTCGGATGAGAGGTGAAACCATTTATCGTGATTACCATAATGGCAATCCATTAAATCCATGACAATACAACCCACGCTCCAGATATCTGTTTTCTTGCTAGGCTTAATAAGGTCACATTCTGCATGCATCTTCGCAATTTCCGGTGACATGTATCGTGAAGTTCCTTTAGCTCGTCCAATGTCTTTGGTGCATACGTGGCTGTATTCGGTGATGATACCATCATCCAGATCCGTGATCTGGAGGTTTCATTTGTCCCGGCACTGACGGCGCATAAGCACATTTGCGGGTTTCAAGTCACAGTGCACAAAGTTATTAGCGTGCAGAAACTCCACGCCGGTAGCTGTTTGCTGACTGAAACTGATAACATTAGCCCAGGACAATGACCTTCCGGATTTAATAAAACCATCCAAGTCTCCATCTGCATACGAAGTCGAAATGTTGTAATTATACGCATCTCATAGTTCATTGATTCTATACGAGTAGAGTAAGCAATCTGTTTCCAACACTTGGCGTTTAGCACTAGTACCCTGTCGCATTATCCGCTATTTGTTATGGTGCAACAGTAAGGTACTAAAATCCTAACTACCTAACTGCAGGTTGGTGATAACAAACATCTTACCAGTGCCTTCTAAGTAAAAAATAATACAGAAGAAGTTTAACGGTGAAAATAAACATTTTTAAGCCTTGCCCTGTATAGATTTATTAAATGGACTCAAAATGATGTTCTTTTTCCGTTATCTCTGGAATCAAGGATAGTCCTTTTACTGTGAACCGTACCTGGAGCGTAATCCATTACTAATTCTACGATGGTGGCCACTTGTTGCCTCTCCGTGTCAATTTTATAGTAAGTCACTTCATTATCATGTTTCAAGGACAGTAAGGACGTCCACATTTGTTCGTAAACTGCATTCTCTGGATTGTGGAAAGAGCTGTCGCATGTACGAGTATCAGTCTTGAGAAAAATTCTTTTAACTGCCACCACACTGTCACCGGTAAAATCTCCCCGCTCTGTTATCCTGGCCTTATAAACGCAACCAGAAGCACCTCCGCCTATCTGGTCGCTCTTGTGGTCGTAATGATAAAGACAGGAACTACCGAAACACTTGACTGGTCGTATGGCGACGGCTAAACGATCCAGTGCATCAGCAACATCACTAGCGGTAATGCGTAAATCAACATCCTGGCAAAAGCAGCGCTGTGTGACTGTTTTTATTCCTCCGTAAACGATGTCTGGTATCATCGGTAGATAGCCTTCCATCAAGCTAACACAGAGATCAATTATCGTGAAGTGGTCCATGCGGAATTTCTTCTCTGCTTTATTGTTGTACATCCATCTTTTCTGGATGCCGTAATGGCAGTGTGCGAGGTCAAGAATAGTGCAGCCAAGACTCCACACATCGGTTTTCCTGCCACATCGATTAACATCACCCCATCCTGTGATATGGGTTAACATTTCTGGGGACATATAAGATACGTTTACGGGTCCGGTTTCTGGCGTTCGTTTGCCCTCGACGGTACAAAAATCTACGTATTCCAAAGTACCTATACGCAAATTATACCCCTCGTTTCTTTGATAATGTAAAAATATGTTTTCTGGTTCCAGATCGCCATGAATGATCCGATTAGCATGCAAAAATGCCAATCCCTTGGATATTTGGTGGGCAAAATTCACCAGATTAATTAGCGAGAATTTGTCTTTGGGGGTGTTCCTCAAGAAAGAATCCAGCTTCCCGTCTGCAGTTAAAACTATTACTGTATTGTACTGAAACTAGTACTAGTACTTTACTGTACTGTACCACTTATTTTTATGCTGAAAGTCTTTGCAAATTCACAACACATATGAGGATGAAATATTTACGTAGAACAAACCTGGAAAATATTCCATCATGATTTCTGCCACTATCCCTTTATGAACATGTCGAGTTGTAAGCTTGTAGTACTGTACCAAATTTTCATGTTTAAGCTGAAGCACAGATATGCAGTTGCGCAACATGCGCTCGTCTTCACGTTCTACGTTCTCTTCTTCTCTCCAGTAGATCTCCTTAACAGCGACCTGAAATAATCACCACGGTGTGTAATAGTTGCTAAATACCAGTAGATCTCCTAACAGCGACCTGAAATAATCACCACGGTGTGTAATAGTTGCTAAATACACCGTGCCAAACTGCCCCACTCCCACAAGATCAGCTTTACTATCATAAGCGTAGGTGCAGTTGCTACCAACAGATGCGATCATGATGGAATGGTGTATTATCTCATGTACGCACTACAGTGGTTGTATAAAAGTGCGTTTAATTCTTAAAGCGTCTTACATTAAATTATTTTAGATTGATCTCGTACATGGTAAATAAACATGCGACACAATCAATATAACCAAGCCCCGGCCAGTTTGCAAGACCCCACTATCATTCAGCAGGCCGTAAACATTAATTATATGATTGCAAACAGTCAGATACCGGCCGCCGTATTGCGTTTTCACGCTCATCACAAGAACTACCGAATAACGGTTTCCTTTATGTGATGAAGTACGGGGCATAATACTAATCTGCAATAAAGCATAGCTTATCGCAGTGCCGTTCTTATCTCTCAGCAAAAGCCAGACGTAATGAATCTGAATGTTTGAGAGATATTAACGAAAATTGTGCTATATGGTTCACTGAACCGTACAGCACAATTTTCCTTGATATCTTTAGAGCCGCAGCGTTAAACTTTATTGTGATAGAGTTATAATCCCCGCGTTACCGTTTTGATCACTGTTCATCTTTATGTTAGTAATTGGAGGAATGCGCAGTTACAGAAGATACTTGAGGGACAGACTCCATTTTTACTCCTGCACGACATTTATGATATTAAACCGGTTGGATTAACAATAAGTCTCTTCGCGCTTGTTAACTGCATGCAATGGAAGCAGGTTTCCTTATGATACCGAAATGCGAAACATTTGGCACCACGTGTACATATCGTTATAGCACCCATGACGATTTCATTGGAAAAGGTTCTTACGGCAGCGTATTCAAGGCAACGGTTACAGATGGCGGAAACTACACAGGGGAGGATTCAGTGGCAGTTAAGGTAGTGCACTTGGAATCAACAATGGAAAATCTGGTAAACCCCAAAAATTACACACAAGCGCGGAATAGATTGAGATCGTTAGTGAATCTAAGGCACGAGCACTTGGTTGCTTATCATAAAGTGACTATCATCAGAGCGGTCGGAGGAGTCACGGTCGAGCTAATGATGGAGTACCATGATGGTAAAAATTACTAACAAAAACGACTAATTTCTGCCGTATTCTCATCGCTGCTTTACGCTTCTTTTAGGTGATCTGGCAGCTCTTTTATACCAGTTACGGCAAAGTCAAAGTCTGCTTGATCAGAAAACAGCTATTCTGTATGCCATCGAAATCACTAAAGGAGTGGAGTTCCTTCACCAGAATAACATCATTCACGGAGACCTGAAACCAGGCAATGTGCTGATCAAGCGCACTAACTCCGGCCAAAAAAGACTGCTAATTGGCGATTTGGATGATTTGGTAGAAATGCAGCGAGACATGACCTGTACAAACGATATTACACATCTTCGTGGCACGATCCGTTATATGTCGCCCGAAATGCTTCAGAGGTTCGCCACGTTACGCAATGAAAAACCGGGACAGGAAGCTCAGGGGCTAAAACCGATTTGTGGAGCGTTGGATGTATTGTCCTAGAAATGGGAAACTGTGTCACAAGATCAAATGATGAACTTGTGCTGTTGGGTCCAGAAGGAAAGCTTGAGAAAACAAGTGAACTCTCTAACGCTGGGTTCGTTACACTGATGATCGCTGGTTACGTTCCCGTAATTCCCGACGCACTCCCGGCAGATTTGGCCGCATGTATTCGCCGCTGTTTGTGTGCAAAAAGTGAGAACAGGGCAACCGCTCAGGAGCTAGAGGGAGTACTGCGACAAGTGCAAAGTTTGGTCGAGAAAGATCCAAAACTCATAGATTACGTTTTTTTGTTTTACGACACCGAAGCGGCAACAAGGAAACCGTCCAAAATGTCTGTTCAGCAGATGGATGCCTACAATAATACTGTGGAGGACTTTCCTGTGCCTGTAGAGCTTCAAACCAAACGATTTTCCAACGAGTTCCTTATAGCGAACAATGGAATCGCTTGCAGAATTTGGGACCCTAAGGAGAAAAGCGCGGATCGGCGAACGATTACCTGGAATGTGGTGGAAAAAACTTGGCGTTACATTATGCTTCCCAGTGTATCAGTTCGCGAGCATACTGCATTGGCTATACAGGACAAAGTGTATTACATCGACAATATGGACAACGACTTCAAAGTTTTAAGTGTCACAGATGGAAAAGTGGTCGTGTTACCGAAGCTACCCATGACATCTGCGATAGTATGGGAGGAGTATGTATACCAGTTTCTCAGTTTGTCCCCTGCTGGATTCTGATTGCAATGTGTATGTTCGCTGTTGCAGGATTGGGCAAGTCGTGTGTGGAGTACAAACCGGTCTCCGGATAATTTACATCGGGATAAACATTTTCCTCAAGCAGGGAATTCCGCTTTCGGTATGCGTTGAGAGCTTTAGCACGGTAAACCAGGAGTGGCAGAGGTTCCCGGTGTGGCCCGAATCCAGGTGGTCCTTTGCGGCGGTTGCACTGGACGAGTGCGTATACGTTTTGGGAGGCGAAACCCTCGGTCACGGAGCGATGGACTCGTGTGTACGCTTAAATATGCGAACGCGTACTTGGGAGAAGAGACGCTCCATGCCAAAAGCCCGGATGAAGCATTGCGCATTTGTAATAAACAAACGCATTTACATCATTGGCGGATGGTCAGATAAAAACAAATATGTGTCGCGAATCGTGGATATCTATGATCCTGAAAGGAATTCATGGGAAAAGGTCGCTTTCCGGGCTGATAATAGTACATGTGAGCCAGTTTATCAGAAATTTGCCGAGCCTTGTGCTGTTTTAGTTACTTCTCCGAATTTATAGCACAGTTGTTCGATGTCTTGGAGACATGCATACTTTGGTGCTTTGTTGTTATGTGGGATTCTGGACACATTGTGAGATTGAGTAAAGCAGCCAGCAACAAACGGCTGGCAGAAGGTTTGTTCGCGAAGCACTCAGTGACCTGTCAAGAATTACAGAAGAGTCTCGTTCGCTCTTGAGCTACATTTGTATTTCTTTGTCCAAAGTCCAAAAAGCTCAGAAGACAGGCTTACATAACCAAACTGTGTTTCTGCAGTAGTGAATTTACATTACGTACTTGCTGTACATATACCGGCGATACCGCCACCTAGGCCGATTGCAATATTGAAATTACTAACACTACGAGGACATTTGGGTGCTGTGAACATTAGAGCCCTGCAACGGACTGGTAAATCCGAACCGCTCCGAATCCACTCCGATTTTCGGAGCGGATTGGACGGATTTGTTTTAAAAAAATTCGGATCGGAGTGGCTTCGGAGTTTAGGCTTGCCTGAATGGATTGGATTCGGAAGTAATTATGAATCCGCATTATCCGAAATAAAATTAATATTTTCAACTAATTTTTATAGAATTTCTATAATTTTTAGGACAAAAAGCATCCTCAGCTTCGCGCTCCGCGCGAGGCTTCAGTGTGACTCGGTAAAGCACCAAACGTAGCCACTTCTGTTACGTTAGCTTCAGTTACTCTGTGCCCTTTGTTAGAGGCGAAGCTTGTTCGATCAAAAAAAGAATCCGAATTACAACTTTTATGAATTTTTTCGTTGAGAATTAAAAAAGTTGCCAGTAACAAGTGAAAGCAACAGCCAAAAACTGTTGTTTTTGCGATGGCAAAATCAATGTCCCTACTCGAAAAACGCTCAGATATGAACAGTTTATGGCTAAAACGACGCAGAATTTAAACGGAGATTAAATAAAAATTAAATAAACGTTCTGAAGATTCAGAATTTTGATGACAACTTGCCGTGCGCTATCTTTAATTGTTGCAGCGGATAGTATAGGTATTACAGATCTTCCTGGAATGAGATAAAAAATAAATATGACAAAAATTTTCGGAGACCCTGCACGATTAGGCTGCGATGAACAGCCGGCTAAATTTATAGCCGTTTGCATTCAGACTGTGATATCAGTAGCGTTGCGAGCTACGGCTAACCAGCTGTTCATCGCAGCCTAATCGAGCAGGGTATGTTCACAGCACCCAAATGTCCTCGTACCCTGGTTCTCTGTTCTTGCGATTCAAGCAGGCTCCGCTCATCCACCGCTCGAAAAAACTGCAAATTAGTGTTTGATTTTTTTGAATGCACAAGCACAACCGCAAAATACGTATTATATGCGGCACACCGACAACTCGCTGACGGTCAGCTTGCTGACCGACAACTTGCTGACGACTACTTGCTGATCGACAAAATGTTGACTCGACAGTTTGCTGAAACAACAAATCGCTGAACGACATTTTGCTGAACGACAGTTCGCTGATACCGACGACTTGCTGACGGCATTTTGTTGACTGTCAGAATGTTTATCCGACAACTTGCTTACTTGCTAAACTGTTGACCGACATTTTACTGACCGACGTTTTATGGAAATCCCGACAACTCGCAGACCACAGTAATCCTTGTAAAAACAATTTGAGCGATTATGATCGGATACCACACACTTCTCCTGCTATTAGCAGCTGCCGGCTTATGCAGCAATAATATTATGACAATTCCAGTCGTACACTTCTCATTTTTTCTGCTCGAGCGCGTCCGAGCGAATTTCATAAAAAACCTATAGAACAGAAGGTAACTATGATACCTAAGAAACCTAAGAAGCCTAAGAAACCTAAGAAACCTAAGAAACCTAAGAAAACCAAAGAAACCTAAGAAACCTAAGAAACCTAAGAAACCTAAGAAACCTAAGAAACCTAAGAAGCCTAAGAAGCCTAAGAAGCCTAAGAAACCTAAGAATCCTGAGAAACCTAAATAACCTGAGAAACCTAAGAAACCGGTGTAATTATTAAAACATTTTTAACAGTTTAATAATAAATAATTAATATTGACTGAGACAATAACATACTCGTGAACTACTTAATACGGCGTAATAAATGGCAAAAAGTTTTATTTTAGTTATAGCTGTCTTAGTGTTGCTTCCTTTTTATGAAACATAAAACGAAGATTCTAGTTTTCGCGTAAATATCCCTAATGTGTGTTGAACTGGTCAGAAAATCGTCGGTCAGCAAGTTTTCGTCTTCTACAAGTTGTCGGTCAGCGAGTTGTCGATTACAGGTATTTCGTTGACCGACAAGTAAGCTGTAGTTCAGCAAATTAATTTCAGCAAGATGTCGGTCAGCCAGTCTGTAAAAAAGCGAAATGTCGGTCAGCGATTTGTTGGTCAGCAAGTTGTGATAGTTAGCAACAAGTCGGTCATCAAATTGTCGGTCAGCGAAATGAAGGTCATAGAGCTGTCGTGCTACCATTATATGCATCTATAAGCTAGATGACAAGGCACAAAACCGGAACTTGAAAATAGAAACCGAATCGGAGCCATACTAAGAGTACTAGTAATATATTTCGTATCGAAGTTCAAGGTTCCGAGCAACTTGTACAAGTCCGCCCACAAAACGAACGACCCGTGTAAGCGGCGGCATAATGAGATGCATACAATAATGCAGAAAATTAGCGTAGAGCAGTGGCTGCATCTCAGCCTTCTCAAGTACGGTAAGAGTGAGTGCAATCAAAGAATGCACGTTGCCCATACGGCCATGCAAATTGCCTATGATATCTCGGTCGTCGTTAACGTAACCACGATGGTGTAGTGTGCCGTAGTATGCTAAATGACTCGGTCCGTGTTTTCATCTTTGAACTTCCCCGCTTACATTGGTCGGTTATTTTGTGGACGGGCTTGTACAGTATATGGTGTCGATGTGTAGAATCCGTACATTCTGGAAAATATAAATGTACAAGAAACAGCCTCGGCTTCGCCTCCGCGTTTCTTGTGGTCCACGGACCACGGCCACTTTATTTAATTTAATGATTTAATTTTAATGAATACTTATTGGTATACATCTATATTTCGTCGAAAAATGATCGATAGGTACATCACAATAAGGCAAAAGCACGGATTTTATATAAAAATAACTCCATGATTCTCTTAAGGTCGAAAGCGTTCCCTGTGGCTGCACAGATTATTTTTGTTATATCCTCTACCCGAAAAGAAATCCGAAATCTCACTGTCTATAGGGTACTAAATCTGAAATAGTGCAAGTGCACTGGACACTATCACTAGTTCGGTAACTCGGTCACTTCGCCGGCTTTTGTCACTGGCGAATGGTTTGTGCCCGCTAATATATGTCCGGTCAATAGTGAATAGTGATACCTTGCTTATCTAACAGGATCTGTGAACTGGACATTAGTGGTAGCTCGGTTACTCGTTCAGCTAGCGGGTTCTTTGAACTCGACAGTGGTAGCTCGGTCACCCGCTCACCTAACGGGCTCTGTGAACTGGACAGTAGTGGTAGCGCGGTCCCCCGGCTCACCTAACGGGCTCTGTGCACTGGATAGTAGTGGTAGCCCGGCCATTCGACAGTAGTGGTAGCGCGGTCACCCGGCTCACCTAACGGGCTTTGTGCACTGGATAGTAGCGGTAGATCGGTCGCCCGCTCAAATAACGGGTTCTTTGCACTGGACAGTACCGGTAGCTCGGTCACTCGTTGACCTAACGGGTTCTGTGCACTGGACAGTAGAGGTAGCTCGGTCACCCGCTCACCTAACCGGCACTGTGCATTGGATAGTACCTAACGGCATAGTTGACCTTACGGGCTCTGTGCACGGGAGAGTACCGGTAGCTCGGTCATTCGTAGGCCTAACGGGCTCTGTGAACTGGACGGTAGTGTCAGCTCGGTCATTCGTTCAGTTGACGGGTTCTGTGCTATGGACAGTACCGGTAGCTTAAAAAAACAGCTTCTGCTTTGCCTCTGCGTTTCTTGTGGTCCACGGCCGGTCTATTCCAATAATTTCATGGGTTTATTGTTAATATCTTATGTCGCCAAACAGCATAAAAAGGCAGATTTGGTAGAAAATTCGGTTTATTGTTTCTGAGTACTGGAAGACATTAATTCTGGTTTTTGGATCTACGAATAATTTATTTTGAATCCGCGAAACGAACCTACCCCTGTCTTCCACGTACTAATCTACTAACTCCCAGAACGTTTGCACTGGACATACAGTAGTTCAGTCACTCGCTGACCTAGTCTTGTTACTGGAGGGTTAAGACAATTCGGTTACTCCCTAACCTAGAGGGTCAGTTCGGTCGCTCGTTCACCAAAGTCTTGTTAACCGCGGTTCGGTGTTAACCGGGCCTTGTTAACCGCCCTTTGCACCGGACAGTAGTGACAGCTCGTTTACTCGTTCCCTAACGGGCTTTGCACACTGGACAGTAGTGACCGCTCGGTCACCCGTTCACCTAGCGATCTCTTTGCACCGGACAGTAGTGGTGGCTCGGTCACCGGTTTTCTAACGCGCTCTGTGCACTTGACAATAGTGACAGCTCAGTTAATCGCTCGCCTAACGAGTTCTTTGCACGGGACAGTAGTCACCGCTCGGCCACCCGCACACCTACCGAACTATTGTGGTAGTTTGGTCACTTACTGGCCTAGCGGGCTGTGTCAACTACACTATAGTGGTATTTCGGTCACCCGCTGAACTAACGGGTGTGTGCACCGAACAGTGGCGGTAGTTCGATCCCTGATTGAACAGACAATCATGGTCGTGACTAGTGACAGCGTAGCGATAGCTGCTCGGCCGGCACTAGTGCATAAATCGTACTTGATGACAACGTTACATACGTAGTTGTTCTTGCCGTAATAATGGTCTGCTAATTAAATTCATTTGATAATTTAATCAGTAGAGCGGACTTTCATTTTTTGACTATAATTTAGTTGGTTTACGTGGCAACATTGCGTGGCTAAAAATACCACGATGATAATTATTATTATAATAATTTCGTTGCATTGGGTGAAGGTAGTCAACTCTTCCGCTTTGGCGTTCGAAGCGGGAGAGGTTCAGAAAGAAATGAATACTATCTGGCCGGGTTTTCGACTACGGGCTTTCAGAATATAATATTGGTTTGGGTCAGTCTTTTCTGGTTTACCGGCTCTGGTGTATCCCATTCGTGGCCATATAGATCTGAAATCTGGATAAGCCAGCCAGTGAAATTTCGAAATATGTGCTCCGTAAAAACGATTGTAATCAGTCACAGATGCGTACTCAGATAATACTGAGCAAGGAGCACATTAGAGAGAAAACTTCTTTAAGTAGTCGCGGGCAAGTTACCGTTTGTGAGCCGGCAGCCGTGCGTGCCTGGATGGTCGACTTTGGAAACCGAGTATTTAGGAGCGTTGTGTTACGGAAAGCACAGAACAAGCGTTGTATTGGAGCTCCTAACCGCTAACTCGTGGCTTTACCACTTCCCACGTTTAACCTGTGCTGCGGCATTTATGGTAGTGTTCTGCATTTAGACAAATAAACCGCTAGTGGAGCGCTGAATCCCAGGTACTGATACATACGGAAGTGTAATGTTGCCTTGAGCCTGTATGTTTGTACTGGCTGCAGTTTGGTGATTGTATGTAATGTACCTGTCATCGTAGGGAATGCTGCAACTACTGCTAGCAATCCTTCTGATAAAGTCGACAAACGGATGGCGTACGCGACCCGGCGATCCCGACACGACACCATTTTTCCCGCATCCTCTCTGCCACTATTCCGACCCTTATGAACTGACGTGCAGCCATGCCGACTTGCATATCCCCGGGAATTTCCGCACGGAAACTTTGTACTTTAACACTACGAGTAGCCGAATTTATAACGACGTCAATACGCTCATCCTCGACTGCCCCACCAGTGTCAACCGCACCTACTGCAACACCATTGGTCCAGGTGCTACAGCCCTTTCACACCGCTACTGGTTGTGGGACTTGACGCTGATTGGCTTCCAGGCGGAAGGAGGTGGCCGCGCGCCTATTGACGTCCTGTTGGCAGAAGTCCCCAGTCTCCTAACCCTGAATGTGCACTATTCCAAAATCGGCACGCTGGACCGGCATTTCCTCCGGCGTTTCACCCGCCTTGGGAGACTAGACATTCGCAACAATGATATCAGTACCATTGAACTTGAAGCTTTTGAACCGCTTGTGGAACTCGTTCAGCTCAGAATGGGCGGGAATGCTTTACAAACGTTGGACTGGAGTGTTCTGGAACCGGTAGCCGCAAAATTGGTAGGCATTAGAGTTACTTTATTGAAATAAAATTATTACTGCAGGGCCTTTGGTTTTTACAGAGATTACTGGGAGTTGACGCGCAGAATCCACCCTTGCAGACTTTGCGACGCAGCGGGCCGTTGTTTTCTATTAATATCACAACACTAGCTTTGAACCACAGCCGCTTGTCATCCGTTCCTAAAGAAGTCGTCGACACCTTTGATGTCCGGCAGTATGGTGATGTGATCTTTGATATTGGTCACAATCCCGTGTGTCCGGACAAAGCAGACTGTGCATGCTGTGCCATGAAGGATTTGGCCAATTGGTTCGCAAAGCGCAACGAATGGGCTACAAGCTATCGTAATCCGTTCGGTGGGCAACCCTGGTCACTGACTGTTAAGGCCACCTGCGGATTAACATGGAATGCCGGCACCAGGGATGCAGTGAAGGAGTTTACGCTGGAGAACCCCTTGTTGCCCAGCGTATATGCCAATTGTCATCATTAGTTTTTATTTTAATAAATCCATAATATACGATTTATAAAATACGCTGGCGGATTTTCGCCGGCTTAATTTATGTTAGATATAATGGATCGCTTATATTGTGTTGTTTGAGCTGCTGACAGATTATGATGCAAGTACTAGAGTACTTAGTACGTAAAGCTCCCGTGAAGCTTCCCCTGCAGACACTGTAGATAGATATGACTATACAATACCTATCATAAACAGAAACCGGTTTGTCTACTGTTCTAGTGGTTGGTCAATCCACGTGGCCACGATCTGTCTGTTAGTGAAAAAATAATTGAAGAGCAAGATGCGTATAAGCAGCACGGAAGGCGCGTAGCAAGATAACAGGGGCAAGATCCCTGAGCAGGCTGCAGCAGGACTAAATTCACGGTCATCCTGACCGTGGGATGCGGTCGAAAAATGCAGAGCAAAAAAATTCTGATCTGCATTAGTGCAACCAATAAAAAGCTGCGAAAGACAGTGGACATCCCTACTGGCGTCTGACGGTACATTCTCGATTTCTATCGCTACAATATGATCTGGGCAGTACTGTATTTAACCAAGTTTTGTAGGTAAAGTACTGAACAAAGGGAATACTATATGCCGTGCCAGGGTACAGCGGAGTGTGTCATAGTGATTACTGCAATAATCAACCAAAACCCTTGGATTGCGTTAAACTGGCGTAACAGAAGGCGCCAGATGAAAATTATTCCATTTCAGTGTTGAAAACATACCATAGCAGTGACGAGGCTTTTTTTATTCACACATTTCCGTTTCTCTCAAATGGTGGCACCTGCATTTGGTTAGTTGGTTTGGATGAAGGCTGTGGAAACGCAAATACGGGCTCGGACGTCCGAGAAAAGCTTTCCGACTTTGAGCGTTGGTGATGTAATGTAGGAAACGGAACCAAGTTCTCGTCCCGAATTTGAAGCGAATCATGTTGTTGCGATACAGCAACTCCATCTCGCGAGGTGGCTTCGCGTATCGTATCTGTAGGCGTGGCCACTGCCTACAGCCACTTCTTGCGGTTGATCAACCGTACCATAGCGAGATTCGCTTCGAACTCGGGATAAGACCTAAGTATTTGACTTGATCCCATGCTCTTTAGTAAAAGCCCAACTCAACGGAACGCCATACTTAAAACGTTAAGAACGTACTTCAATGCGAACGTTGGCTGCATGATGACTGTTGACCTTTGAGTCTGCGTATCCTTAACAGAAGTTCGGTTTAAGGGGAGTGTTTCGGATAATCATTTTTTAGGTTAGGTTTAGGTTTTAGGTTTTAATTGCTTAATGTCTACAGATACAAGGAATCACTCCTTATCGAGATCTATAGACAGGTCAACATAATAAAATAAGAAAAACAATAATTTAAAACTCTTAAAAGAAAGAAATGAAACAGTTCATCGATTTTATCAAAGGTCAAGGTTATTCGATGGCAGGTGGTCTTTAGCAGATGCGATCTCCTTCCATGAGACGTCTTCCAGTGCTGTTTGGAACGTTTGCAGTGAGCGATACGACGATAGATCCAAATCCAGGTCGTTCCAGATTTTAGCGATCCTCCATGCGAAGGAGTCTTCGCTGACTGGCACTTCCGCTCCACAAAAACTGGTCCTGGCGGCTTGAATCGGGAATGGGTGGCGCGACATTCGATCCGCATTCCGAGTGTTGCCTGCAACAGTGATAGCGGCAGTAACTGACTCATAACTAATGAAAAAGTTGTTACCGAAAGGTATCATGCCGAATACGAGTTTATATGCAACACACAAAGAGGTTTTAATGCGACGCAATTCAACACCGTCCCAGTTTATCTCGCGAAGCCGGCCACAGTAATCTGTAAGTGCACTACCCATTCGCAATCTTAAGTAGATAATGATTTTTATAAGTATTTCGAATAACTTCCGGATAAGTAAGTTGGTTGTCCCATAAAAGATCAGACAGGGGAGGCGCGCGCTACCGAATATTTGTGGCAGCGTACTGTAAAATTGCTGAAATTTAGCGCGGAAATGGGAACTGGGAATTCTCTGTTCGGGAAACTGTTGGTTGTTCAAAAGAGTGGAAGAGTTGTTTTATTCAATTGTTCTAGCGATTGGATACTCGGTTTTAAGTGAAAAGGGCATCTGCCTGTACAAAGTATGAATGAAAGAATTTTGTGCACATCCCTTTTCTCGTTTTCTTTTACGTTTCAGTGTGCACAAGGTTTGTAATAAATAAAAATGATATTTCACGACCGAAGGAGTAATACGTAATTAATCGGTTAAGTAATCGGTTAGGTACTTAATTGACGTATATCTGCCAAGAAACCAACCGGCTCATCTTTTGTCGTACTTGTCAAAGATAAAATGTGTTGAAACTGCATAAATACGAGTATGTAGCCAAGTTTGTTAATTCTGGTTATGTGAACAGTTTTGTTCGCTGCTCGTTTAGCTGATTCTTAGCTTCGAGGTATACAGTAGTTGTAGCAAAGCAAGCCGAACGTTTATGAAAAGACTTACGCTTTAATCGCAGTTTCTGTTGCGATTTAAACGTACTATTGGGATTAAAGCGTAAGTCTTTTCGTAAATTGCACACTGTACATTGCTAAGAATCAGACAATCTGTTTTCGCCCGTTTTTGATGTACTGGAGAAGTTTATAAGCAAAACTTTTTTGTTTCCAGTTGGGATATTTTGGTAAATCGTTAACCATTAATCGGTTGATGCATTAATCCGCGTAACGTCGTTGGATATAAAACTACTGTAGTAAAATCAAGTTTCATTAATTTATGACGATCCTTAGTCGGATAAAATATTTGGTACAACCGATTGTACAGTCACTGGTTATCTGTAGGTCTATTGATTGCAGTTGCATCTGTTTTCAATCCACCTTGTAAACGCTTCCGGTACCGTACCACGAGGTGCGCCTACCTCTGTTAGATATTTACCGTACTGGGACGATAAGGAGAGCAGCAGATAATATGAGTCAACAAGGTTGGTACTAGTCTGCAATCTGCATGGGCATAGCATGAGATCATAATTCCAGCCTGAACAAATAAGCAAAAATCTTGATGACTTCAGTTATTGTTCCTGATGTTAAGGCCGTGACCTCAAAGCGTACAGTATCCGGCAAGCATGTACTGCGCCCTATAGTATTTATTGGTTCAACTGCTATTATCGTGCTGTGTCGATTTATTGATAAACACGTGCAGTATTTTACATCTCAGTATCTGCACTGTTTTGTAGCCACGTTGTAATGCAAACTTTTATTCGGTAAAGGTCAGCACTTAAGTTGTTTCTACACTGCATTTATATTTACGACAGTATTTCTTTGATTTTTGTGGTAACTTTTAAGTATCGTAAGCGCTACTAGTGCGGCAGTTAACGGAGACTGAATAATACAGTGATTATGGTACGAGGCAAGCTTACTAGTCCCTGCTGCAGTTAACGGATCATGAACGGAATACCGTAGTCAGTGAGTGCATGCTGTATCATTGTAATGGCTTACTACGGCGATAAATTCACGGCCTATGTACCGTTATCAGTGCTCAAACGCTGCATCCGGTTTAGACTGCGGCTGAAATCAAGTATCCGTGACTTCGCCTCATGACGAGAAGGTAAAATTCGCCGATCTAAACGCTATCCCTGCTGTACCTCTTCGCCTCATACAGAAGGTGTTATTCGCAAGGGCTTCGGTCCACCCGACGCCCTGAATAGTTTGACCTGGCCGTTGCCACAGTCATGGCATCGCGCCGCAGAGCTAGCCGACGCTTTCCTCTACAATGATGCGGTAATGCGACGCAACCTCCTGGATGACGGCATGGATATCGTTCCCGGCTGCGCCCCGGAATATAGCCTGAACAAGCGCCAGCGCTGGACACTACCGGAACGCCTGCGAGAACTCGCGGAGGATGCAGCTGACGACGTCCGCGACCTTAACCTGCATCTTACGGTACACTGCTACCAAACATACCCCTGGTTCTATCGCTACAATGGGAGCACTCTCAGCTTAACATCGACGAAATTTGCGGCTAATGCGAACGATAATGGGGACGAGGGCGCATCTTTGTGCACGATTTATCCTTCGCGGCCGGCACGGCCTGCGAAGCTAAAAAATCTTTGGGAGAAAGGAATGCCAGATGCGGCTAATACGAGAGGTATGGATAATTGACGGGTAAATTGAAACTGCTGCAAATTTTGGTTACGGTTTCGCAGGTGAGGTTGTGTGTTGTGCAAGCACTCGTAGGTGCTTTAAATAAATACAAGGGTAGTATCGTGGTCAGCAAGGCATTAAATCAACATAGTGGCGATATTTAGTATTCGTTTTACCAGCGGTGATATTTTCCAATTCGTGATTATAAAATCAGTACGTAGTGACGTATTGTCACACCAGTTTCGCGATGTTGTAGATATTGCGAAAGTTGCCGCTGTAAACGACATCGTTTATGAAATTGCTTTGCCATGGCAGTATGGCAAATTCTACTTTCATAAACAATTTCACGCAAGAGTCACGAAGATGTACCAAGCTTGCAGGGGAAGGAAATCTTCAATCAAAACAAAAGGCTGCCGCAACAAAGTCGGTCTGCATTCGTCCAGTTACCGCCTTTTACCACCGGAAAATTGTACTGAGTACGCGGATGTGATTCCAAAGGATGTTGGGATATACCCCATCGCGCTGCCAAGACAGCGGTGAAGATGCTTATTACGACGACAGCGACACTGGTGTACCAACTCCGCGAGCTCTCCATAAATATATTCCACTTCGATCGCTTGGAAGAGTATATTCCTCAATCTCCTAAAACGACAACAACAAAAAAGAAAAAAGCGGCTGTGGTAAAGGTTGCGGAATTGGGTTACGAGCGTTGTGAAGAGAAGTAAAGCAACTGTGTATTTTCGATGCTTCCGATGGTGTTAAATGTTAATAAGCCGTTAGTTATGTATTCCCGTTTTAATAAGCAACTTCGCAAACGACTACTAATCCTTTTTCGTGACTTATTTACTTATTTCTATTTAAAACTGCTAATTTTTTTGGTCATGAAATTAACACATTATGACATTTCAAACAAAAAAAGTAGAATGCTGCCGCTACTTTTTGCAGCCTTGGCTTACGAGTGCTGTTTGTATGTTAAACAGTTAAGTTCAACCACTCATCGTGAACTTCTACAGATAAAGGTAATTTGCCATCTAATTTGGCTGTATGTCTTTCTTGTTAAAAAAAGCCTATTCGACCGATTACTGCCCCAGTAACAGCAAAAAGGCTGAAATCTGTATTGCGGCCGCCGGAAGGGAAAAATGGAAGCGAGACTGGATGAAGCATAAAGTTCAGCCTGCCAACACGCAGGGTTTCAAAAAACCTCTTGTCCAAGCACTGTTAAATACGGCTAAATTACATACATTCGCGCGAGATTCGATGTCTAATGTGCTTGCGTGAATCTGGGAAATTATCATCTTCAGACTTCAGGTACGAATGCACAAACTCCGCACATTCCAAATCCCTTCACAATGTAAAATATTTTTTAGGGAAACCAAAATATACAAAGGTTCAAACATGTAAGTAGCTGCAAATATTCAAAATAAATGCGCAGACGCTCGTAACACCTACAATGTAGAATAGCGATATACTGCAGTATTGTACAAGACTTTCCTCACATTCCAGCGTAACAACTAACTAATTACCAACACGCAACAGCTCCTAGACAGCACCGGTGTGGCAATGTGACGAATACTACATTTCATCGGTCTCCATGGCACACCGCTATTCCAGATGATACCAGCGCCGTACGCCATCCAGGTGGGTTGGATCTTATAACACATAAAAAGCAAATTCAGTAATACCTGCTTTATTTGCCGCTTGGAGTAAAAGCTTCGTATACCTGTGAGATCCGCGATGACTTCGCCGAGGAAAGTGTCTGCCAGCAGCCGATTCTTGTCCCACACGGACATAACGACTTTCTTCTCGTGAATCTCAGCGGGCTCAATGGCTCCAGATGTGAAGGTTTCCTTCCATTCAGGACTCAGAGTGTGCTTGATATAGCGCGTGTGGTACGGGAATTCCCTATAGTGCACGCAAAGATGTCCGTTTGAGTAATGACACTGAAGAAGCATAATTTTGGTTGAAGACTTTAAGGCTACGTACGCTTGTCCAGGGACCACTTGAACCTTGCAGTAGGGATCGCAGTAACCGGCTTTGAGTTTGCGCGCTTCCAGCACTTGCAATGTTAGATAGCGCTTGCAAGGTTCAAACGTCATACGCAGGAGGATATTTCCCGTAACCGGATGCGGCGCGCTAGATGTGGCAGACTGCAAACCCAGCAATAATCTAAACGGCTGGTAAAATTAGAAGAGTCTGTGTTCCGGTGTTTTCCCGATTCTAGTAACCCTTATCGTAGCTGCAGTGGTGGCCTTTTATCTTGTCCCTGCCTGCGCAGCTGGAAGGTTCTGTCAAGCGCTAAATAAGTTCCATCGTTATATTGCTTAAATACCTTCTTGTGAGTCAAGATACCACAAATCAGATGATCGGCGCTGTCATAGTTATTCTGCGGGGAGGGGAAAACGAGGGTATACCGGGTGATTAGGAAGCTAGTTAATGAGACGCTCCTGTGTACGTGAAGCAAAACCAAGAGCATCGTCTTCAGCCGTAGTCTTTAAGCTGGCACCCTCTTCCCCGGGAAAAGGTCTTAAAATTCTTACAGAATTAAAAAAAATTGGAGCTGGAATACCGCTTACCTTTTTTTGCGCGCGGAACGTCTGTTGTTGCGGCCCCTTTATACGTAGTTAAAGACGGGCCTGCACAGAACCATGCCTTCGCGGGCTCACTCTCCGGCCCTCTTACCTCAACGTTCAACGACTTCTAGCTTCTAGCTTTAATCGTTTTGTCCGTACTCCACGAGAGCCTGCTGCGGGTTTCTCTCAAAGGTCACAGAGTCCAACAATGAGATGGAATGTTGCAGTGGGATGTAGGGACTATAGAGATTGGGTTAGGTCAGGAAGGACCGCTTCCACGCTTAGCGTTGCACAAGTGATTTAATTACTGCAGAAGTTTACCGCACAGTTGTTCTAGATTTGGGCAAATGGATCGAGCGCCGCCACAGCATTGTAATGGCTGTCTGAGCAGCATGAGCATGTTGGCTGCTCCGGCCAGCTTAGGCCTGTATGGACTGTGGGTCAATATAGCACCTACTCTAACGTAAGAGGCGAGGAATGGATCGATAATGGCAAGTGTATGCTGGCTGTACTGCACGGGAATGGCTGTAGCCAGTGCCTGCTGACCCGAGATCGATGCCGGCAACGCTTTTGATGCAGTGGTAATAACGGCGTGACCGCTGCACCATATTTAGTATGTACGTACAGTACTTTTATCACTGCCATGTTCACATGCCGCCCAAGCGCATCATGCAAATGCAGCAGAATGATGAAAAGATGTCCTTTTTGCTCACAGCCATAGCCACCAATCGAATTTCGTTTGGTTTACGGTAGATAAAAGACAAAAGAAAAATTACTGTTACTGTCAGAACTTAAAGGTTACTGCCGGTAACTTTTAATTAAACAAAACATTTTCAAAACATACTGTTTAAAATTTCTACTGTAATATTTTAATCATCCCAAAAAAGTCCCCACTGGTGCTACAGTAAAACGAATAAAGTGGGCGACCGGCAAATACTGTATGTAGCTACGTAGTACATATTTGTGTAGTATACGTACTCTGCACACAGGGTATTCTGATTGCGCTACATTTTTATGCAAACGAATGCCGCTTTTAAATTGGTTAATTCACCGCGAGCAGTACTTACCTTATGCTCTACGCGCTATTTGTGCGTACTGTACTCACCAAGGCACTATTTCCGCCTCCAAATTGTAAAGCGCAGCCCCGTCTGTGCCATGGCCGCTTGATTCAGCGCCATACACATCCGTTCTGCACTGTTCTGCACCTTAACATTTGCCGCCGAAAATACTTTAAACAAAAGCATGAGTATTTAATGCGGTTTGACATGACCCTTGTGCTGATACTGGTGAGTAGGAGGTTTTTCTTCACCTGGACCAAGTAGACGGGGTAAATGACGCCATGAAATTCACTCTATTTGAAGCCCGATACCGGAAACAGAACGTATCGCGGCTGACATTTGTCTTGAGAACCCTCTGGTTCAACCAAGAACATTAGCACAAATTTTGAATTACTTTACAAGAGAAGTGGATGAGTTTGTTTGTGGGTTAGTAGGATTATCAGAAACTGTCGTTATTGCCTTTGACAATGTTGCTGCTTACCGCGCTGACAACATGCTTGGATTTCTGTTCCATCTTCTTAAATGCACATAAAAATACAACATATGGACGACCGCAAACTGTAATTCGCGACAGAACATAGTTTCAATAACACTAAACCTCGGAAATTATTGGCAACACATACAATAATAAAAAGCCGGCACATTCCAAAATCCCCTACAAAATCTAGATTAAGGTAAGCCAAGTTGGAAGGGTACAAACACATAGGACAATAATGGAAAAATGCGTGAGCACCGGAAACGCTTACAATGTACAATAAAGGTAACCAGCGGCACTGCGCAAACTAGTAAAACCAACACAACTAATGACAGACAAAAACGCTAAGAATGCGAGATTTCGTCAGTTTCATGACATTATGCCCCTATTCCAGCTGGTACCAGCGTCGTATGCCATCCAGATTGATGGGATCTAATAATATACTGTATATAAATTTCTCAATGAATACTTTGTTTGTTTCCTGTACACCCGCTTTGCGTTATACGTATCGACAGCTACGAGTACCTGAAAGATCCACGATGACCTCGCCAAGAAAAATATCCGGCCACAGTCGATTTCTATGCCATACCGAAATCGCTATTTTTTTGTGATAAATCTCATTGGGTTCGATGCCCTGGAATGGGAACGTCTCATTCCATATGGGATCCAGATTCTGGTAGACAAACCGCGTGCGACACTTGTATTTCCTATAGTGCACACAAAATGTCCGTTTGGGTAATGACACTCTGGACCTATTGCAATTTTGCGTACGCTCGTCCAGGCACCACATGAGCTGTGCAGTAGGCATCGGAGAAACCAGTGCGACAGCCCGCTTTCAGATTGCACGCTTTGAGCACTTGCAGCGTTAGCGTGCCGTGTTCGTACGTCATGCGAAGGAGAACAGCACCGGTAACCGGATGATGCCCACTGGATGTGGCCGACTGCAAACAAGATAAGACACTGGATTGTAGTTTTATTTCTTCTTCCGTTCGTACGTCACGTTCTAATAAATTAAGCCTGCGGTCTGGCCGGACAGTAAACAGGTGTTTCTCGATTCTGGTAACTGTAATCGTAACTGCTTCGTGACCTCACATTCTTTTTCCAACAGTCGTTGTTCCCTGGAAGCGCTAAATAAGCAGTTCCAGTTGAGATGCTTTAAAAGCATCGGTTTTTTACCTTGTGCTTCTCCAAACTGTTTCGCGACGGTCGTGCCAGCTGGTTCCGCGGCACATACATTTCGTAGTCCTCCACCTTCGCCTCCCCTCCGGCCCGCTCCGTCCCTAAATAGGTGGTTTCCGTCGTGGTTAACTGTGCCGAACACTTGTGCGCCGTCCACATCGACGAAGCATTCGAGTCCATTCTTAGCGCCTGCCACGACATGCGCTTCCGTTCTTAGCTCTTTAACAATTACCAACTGAACTAAAACAAACAGACGAACCGTCATTAATTCATGGCATTGCTGCAATTCACACATCACACAGAAGATATCACTGCAATTGTTGCATGCATACCTAAGAAGCATTTAAAATGCCATTCCTTGCGCTGCTAAAAGAGACGTTTGCGACTGCAATCTTGCGGAATTTCGGAACATGCACCTGTGTCCACCCCACCCCCTTATATTTGCCACTGATTAGGGTCGTTTTTGGGCGATAACATTAAAGACGACTTAAAGAAGCCACATTACACAAACAATGCTGAGTATAGTTACTCACTCATTAATAAATATACTCCAAAAAGTACTCGACCAGAAAATCTTTGTAATTTACTGTTTGATTTATAGAATTTCTAGAAGTAGCAGTTCTCGCAGTAAAAACGTCCGTCTAGTTGTAAGCCAAAGTAGCGTCCAGCCGCTTTTACAATGGATACGGTGCATTATGCATAGTGCACTCCCTTCCGGGCAAAAAATCTTTGAAATGCCCATAGAAAATTAAGAAAATTTGGAACTCGGCGTCATTGTTTGCCCTAGGGATCCCTATTGTTGCACCCCTCCCCCCTAAAAGGTAAAGACAAGCCTGCACTTTCTATGCACTCTCCCCTGTCTTACCTTTCGCAACCAAGTTCCAATGTGCATCTGCCTTGCCCCTTTCAGCTCTTTATCTCCTCGCCCACACTCACCAAGAGGGTGCTGTGGGTATAGCAAAGGTCACGAGTCCAATAATGAGATGGAATGCTGCTGTGTAATGTAGAGCATGCATTACATGTAGGTCAGAAAAAAAACACGCTCAGGTTCAGCGTTGTGCATGTGATGACTGCATGGAAGGGGTTAATCTCGCAGTCATGATCTCGCAGTCATGTTCAATGCAGCACTGCCTTAGCACTGAGTGACTGGGTTAGCACTGAGTGACTGGGTGACTGGGAACATGCTGGCAGCACCGGTCAGGTTGCATTTGCATCGGTCAATAGCAGGCGCCTCGCGAAGGAGCGCTTGCGATGATGGATCGATAATGCGCTGGCAAGTGTATAGTTATACGTTGCCTGCATGTACAGATACGTGCACAGAAATGACTGCAGCCAGTGGCTGCTCACCCGGCGAGGATATGGGTACTACCGTACTGGACATGGGTACAATATCGGTGGGGCAGCTGAAATGCATTCACTGCAACGCTCAAAACGCCGCCCGACGCGGACTCACACTCAACATGCAAACGCCTCCTCCCGCCTCCAATTAACATATATGGTGTTTAGTGTTTACCTTTATTTTCTTATGCATGGAATGGCAAGTACCATAACTTACGGCTATGGCAACAGAATGCTGACAGTGACCATCAGAATGTTCTCTTGGTCCACAGCCAATCCGGCCGCCGATCAAACTGTTTGTTGACTCTGGAATAAACATACCTAGATGGAAATTCTACAGTCAAACGCTATGGTCGCCTAAGCAGACCATTTTGGTTACGCTATTTTTGTAACAATTTGTTTCAGTTTTTAGATTTCGAAAACCGAAAATACCCGCTGGTACTAGAACAGTCAAAGTGAGCGACCGGCACGTACAAATGGCATCCCGAAAGTAAGTTACCCTTTTTTGTATATCCCTCTTTATATGCATTTTGCGTGATAAGCAGAGGAGCTTCGTCATCATACTTCGTCTCAGTAATTTCAGGAGCGATAATTTTAACGCACACATTAATTTTTTTTCGACTGCATCTACTGCTCTGTTCGTATTCACAGGACACCTATTTCCAGTTTTTAAATTTCGGAATTACTGTATGTCAGGACTGTCTGTCAACGATCATTTCAACTTATATGGTTTGATTACTGTAGTTCTACTTACAGAATACAAGAGTTATGTTACTAGTACTACTAAAGTAAAATTCAACTGTCAAAAGTATAACTCTTTGTAAAAATATTATCGCATATTATGAGTTTCTTACGCATATTATTATCGCATATTATGAGTTTCTTACGCACTTACGCATCACGCATATTATTGCGTGCCTCTTGAAAGCGATTGCCATCATTAAATCGGCCTATATGAGTCATAGATCACTGAATCCGAGCAGAAATAAGAAAGGGCCCTAACGTTTGTTTGTCGCCAGCCATGGTAAAAAAGTGCCTAAGAACTCTACAAGAAAAGCCAAGTGTATTGGCTGTCGTTTTATGGGAACCGTAAAACTTCAACCGTTTTATGGGAACCGATCGATATCAATCATAATAATGGCGATTATGCTGCCAAGTTTGAACTGCAACTCGTAAGTAGCAGTATTAGGGCGTTTCAGTTTGCATGCGTTAGAGCTCCGTACATAGAAAGTACTTATACAGTACTGAATAACATTACACTCGCTCTATTTTTTCTCATGAACGCTCGAGATCACGCATTCTGTGAAAACCAATCCGTACACTTCATCCGCAACCGAGTGAGCTGCTACTTAACCTGTGCCACAAGAAACACACCGCGGGTAGGACGTTCAATCCTAGGAGTCAAAAGATCTAAGGTATTGTATTTGTACCGAGTAATCTTGTGTACCGTTGCATGCTCTATAGTATATGGAAATACACAACAGCATTGAGAGCTGTTCCATATAGAACTAACCTGCCGTTTTCAGTCTTTGACCACAACTTTCCACACCGCCTGCAGTGTGAAGACTGTTTGTAATTTAAACTGTCGTAGTAGAAAATGCGGCATCTTCTGCTGCTAATTCTGGTACTGAAGTCGGCAAACGGTTGGCGCACGCGACCCGGCGATCCGGACACGGCATCACATTTCCCACACCCTCTCTGCCATTATTCCGACTCTTATGAACTGACGTGCAGCCATGCCGATTTACACATCCCCGGAAACTTCCGTATAGAAACTCTGTATTCCAACACCAGCCGCACCTACGACGACGTCAACACACTCATCCTCGACTGTCCCACCAGTGTCAACTGCAACCTACTGCAACATTATCGGTTCAGCTGCCACAGCCCTTTCGCACCGCTCCTGGTTATGGGATGTGACGCTAATAGGCTTCCAGGCGGAAGGAGGCGGCCGAGCGCCCATCGACGTCCTGCTGGCGGAAGTGCCCAGTCTCCTAAATTTGAATGTGCATTATTCCAAAATCGGCACACTTGACCGCCATTTCCTTCGACGTTTTGACCGCCTTAAAAGACTGGACGTTCGCAACAATGACATCAGTGCCATCGAACTTAACGCTTTCGTACCGCTTGTAAACCTCGGTCAGCTCAGGATGGGCGGAAATGCTTTGCAAACGTTGGACTGGACTTGGAGCGTTTTGGAACCGTTAGCCCCCAAATTGGTAGGCGCAACAATTACTTCGTCGCAATAAAATTACGATTGCAGTGTTTGCATAAATTCTGTTTTCACAGAGACTACTGGAAGTTGATGCCCTTGCAGACTCTGCGACGCAGCGGGCCGTTGTTTTTCATGAACATCACAACCATATCTTTCAACCAAACCGCTTGTCATCCGTTCCAAAGGAGGTCGTTGACACATTTGATGTCCGGCAGTATGGCGATGTGACCGTTGATATCCACCACAATCCAGTGTGCCCGGACAACGCGGACTGTGCGTGTTGTGCCATGAAGGCTCTGGCCGATTGGTTCGCAAAGCGCAGCGAATGGGCCACACGCTATGGTAATCCGTACCGTGGGGTACCGTGGTCACTGACTGTAAAGGCCACCTGCGGATCGACCTGGAATACCGACGATTCAGTGAAGGAGTTCACGCGGGAGAGTCCCTTGTTACCCAGCGTATATGCCAGCTGCAATTAACGTTTTTATTTAAATAAATCTGTAATATACGATCTATAAAATATGCTGACGGATTTTCACCGGCTTCATGTCAGATGTAAGCAGCTTATCGTACAAGTACGTAAAGCTACCGCGAAGCTTCCTATCCGGGCAAAATGTTCGCTTTTGCCTTGTTTCGACATCACGACATGTAACACTGTTTTTCTCTTCCACAAAGCTAGAAAAGTTTTTTTTTTACTGGCGATGCATAGATACTGTACTGTAGTTTTTCTTAATGTCACCCCGAAGTTCATCAGATGTGCATTCGGCTAAAATGTGAGCCCGTCTCCTGTTGCGGCAAAAGTCCTCACATTACTTGTCTTAGCAACTCGGTCGGCTGCCACATGAAATTATAAATATAAAATAATGAATACGAAATGCGACATGAAAATATGCGACGTGAATTATGATTCTATACACACTGTGTGCACACACTCTGTTTCTATCAGATGGCGAGATTTTGGCGACCTGCAGATTCCAGCAGAAGCTTGTCAGAGCCTTTGTAAAATTTAGGTACAGAAGCTTTGAATAGCGTTGAATACGCTAGAAATTCGTAGTGCCATTGAGAAAATAGCGTTAAATTATAGAACATATGTATTATCTTAATTTTTGTGAAACGAATTAAACGAATGTGTGTTTTTCGATGCTTCCGGCTAATGCTTGGTAAATGACCGTTTCTACGCGGCTATGTGTTACACTTTTGTGGAATTTATTTATTATGCCTGTTTAGAAGTACTAGTTTTTTTTAGAATAGCCCCCGCAGATAACGACATATCATCGGAAAACAGAACGCTGACGCTACTTTAGAGAACATTCATTATCACTTTCAGGGCTATGAAGTTAGGTAAGTGCAACTTCTCATAAAGGAACAAAAGATTAAAACCGCGGACCGGAATGCACAGCCAAAACATAAGTTTAATAACATAAAACGTCAGAAATTATTTTCATCATATCAAGCTGCAGAAACCCGGCTCATTCCAAAATCCAGTCAAAAAAATTATATAATATAAACCAAGTAACAAACAGACAAGCATTTAGAACACCATAATTAATAATAAAGTATAGATACAATGTAGGACTAAATTAATGGTCGCATAGCCCCATACCCAGCATTCTGTACGCAAGCGGTGCAGTGCACTTGTACGAAACGGATATTATTTTTGAACTTAGGGGGGGTCCATAAATTACGTACGCAGCGAACCAGGGAGGGAGGGGTCCAAAAAGTGTGACAAGCTGTGACGGCCTCGACGAACCCATGGGGGAAGGGGTGGTCAGCTCCATGTATTACGAGTGAACGAACCAGGGGAGGGTCAAGCAAACGTGACGGACCGCTACGAAGGGGGAGGGAGGGGGTAAAAAATCGTGGTTTTCTGCGTACGTAATTTGTGGATGCTCCCTTATCCATGGTTAGTCGTACAGTGCACTGCGCTGCATACGTACTGAATGTGGAGATGTTGGGTATGCGACCATTTCGTCGTACGCTGTACATGTACGTGAACTTCAGAACCACTTGCAATATACAATAAAGAAAAGCAGCGTCACTACTCACTGCACAAATCACTCGTAGTTAAATAATAATCACGCACACCCTCTTTGCTTTAACGTTAAGAATGCAAAATTTCGTCCGGTTCCATGGCACACCCTAATTTAGCTGATACCAGCGCCTTGTTTCATCCAGGTTGATTGGATCTGATCAAAGACACAAGCTAACTCATTATACCTGCTTTTATCGTTTGATTAACAGCGTCATGTACCTTTGAGATCTACGACGACCTCGCCGAGAAAAAAATATCAACCCACATCGGATTATAATGCCATACGGAGATCGCGATTTTCTTGTGGTTAATCTCATCAGTCGATGCCCTGGAAAGTGAAGGTTTCCTTCCATTCGGGACTCACATTCTGCGAGATGTACCGCGTGCGGTAGTTGTATGTATTCCCTATAGTGCACGCAGAGATGTCCGTTCGAAGAATGGCAGTCGAAATCATAATTTTTGTTTAAAGCTACGTACGCTCGTCCAGGCGGCACCACGTCAATTTTACAGTAGGGATTGGAGTAACCGGGTTTGTTAGGCGCTTTCAGATTGCGTGCTTTCAGTACTTGCAATGTTACACAGCAGCGGTGATAAGTCATGCGCAGGAGGATATCACCCGTAACCGGATAAAGCACGTTGATGTGAACCTCTGCAATCAGCCCACAACATTGAACGTCAAACACTTTCATGACAGCTCTTAAGTGAAAACTCTTAATTAATGCTATCTAATCGGTTTATCACGTGCTGAATGTCTGTTCTCATTATTTTGCCCAAAATGTGCTATACTGCTTCCAGATTGACTTTAGTTTCGGTTTTACCAACGTCCGAGACGTTCTAAACGTCTAATTAACTAAGAGCCTGTGTTCCGCTGTTCTTTCGGGTTTTAACTAAATCACAGCTGCATTGGTGACCTTAAATCATCTTTCAATTTTCGCAGCTAGAAGCTAACACAAAGCGCAGACAAGCAGTTCGAGTAAAAATGCTGTAGTCACATAGCTACACTACCTTTTTGCGAGCCTGGAAACCGCTACGCAACGGCGGCGCCAGTTGATCGCGCGGCACATACGTTTCGTATTCGTCCATCTTCTCCGTCCGCCCGCCCCGCTGCGTCCCAAGGAGGGTGTTTTCTGGCATGGTTTCACCCAACACTTGCGTGCTTTCCATATCGACGGCGCCCTTGAGTCCTTGTTTGGCGTCCTTGCCCGTCCTCCGGCGTTTGCACCAACGCCGGACGCAGCCTAGTAGGTGATGGCAAGAAAGATCAGACAGCAATTAGCGATAACAGCTGCCAACACTGCTTTTTTCGGCACTACAGCCTAGTTGCACCGTATTTATTCGTATTATACAGATTTAGATAAGTTCATGCATGTTAAATTTTTTGGGGCTTTTTTTTGGGAAATGTATCCTCAGTATCTCATCGTATCCTGACACTTGACAGTATCCTTTACATTTCCTGTATGCATCCTTTGATACTATCTTTTCTTTCACTACCGTATACCACCGTATTTTCAGTGTTTTCTGTGTATCCAATATGTATTTTACTGAAAAAACGAAAGAACACATAACACACATAAACATAAGAAATCCAACACAGGATACTGCATGCTTGACGAGTACGCACCAGATACATAAAGCAACGTAAGCATACTGATATTGCATTAAGTCTATCAAAGCTGAAGGCGGCAGAATGCCTACATAGAGTACTGTGCGATACGATAGGCAAAAGGCCCCGTAATACGCGCAACATAGCAACTGATGTTTGCGTGATGTTCAACTTCAACATAAAGGAATCTACAAATATAGATATACGGTGAGCTGCGGCAAAGAAACTAAAAAAAGGATTGGGCGTTTTCAAAAATCAGTGTCAGGGTACCCCAAAATCGCATAGCAACTGATGTTTGCGTGATGTTCAACTTCAACATAAAGGAATCTACAAATATAGATATACGGTGAGCTGCGGCAAAGAAACTAAAAAAAGGATTGGGCGTTTTCAAAAATCAGTGTCAGGGTACCCCAAAATCGCAGTTAATCCCCTTAAATCTCGCTCCGGTCTAGGTCTTCACTTACATTTCAGCCGCTTTAGCTTGTCCATTATATTGTCGGGAGCGCGCTCTCCCTTCGTCTTGCGGTGCGGCCCTTGGTAATTCCTGTTCCTTTTTCTCTCGTCCACAATCCCTCGTCGCTTGCTGCGTCTGTTACAGAGATCACGAGTCCGATACTGAGAAGATATGCTACTGCGTTTATAGGGAATGCGTTGGGACAGGAAGGACCACGATCAGGCTCCGCGTTGCTCGGGTGATGACTCAATGGAAGAAGTCAATCGTCATTGTGGAATTTAAGCACTACCACAACACCGAATGACAGCGTCAGCAGGCAATCTATTAGCTGCCCGGATTAAATTGAGCTTGGGAGGTTCAGCAGCAGGCAGTGCCAGATACCTCGCGGAAGAGCGACGATGGATCGATAATGCGCTGGCAAAACAGGCTGGCGGTACGACTGACTGTAGTTTCACTGACTAGGACTGACAGGAGTAACAGTAGTCAGTGCCAGCAGCCTGGGATTTATGCTGGCAACGCTTTTCATGCAGTAGTACGGTATGGTAGATCCCCCTTATATAACATTCACCCCTTTTTTACGTAAATGCGACTGACTCGTGAGAACCGAATTGTCCAGTAGACCAAGTGTATAACACAGGGGCAGTTCTCCACATAATGTTCACCCGTCCACAAATACATATGACGTACATCCATTATGGAACCGTTGATCGGCATTATTTAAGGGAAGTGTGCCGGTACATGGTGTCAAATTCGTGTGCATGTACAAGTACAACAACTACAATTTGCTTTGTGCACCCCCAAAACACTTTTTCCCCTTGTTTTATGCACAAAAATTGGCCAAATTACCCTGTTAATTAGACATGAAACCAAGTGCACTGCCGTCCAGCCTCTGCCTGCACGCAGTCATTACAGCTTCTCCAAGGTTTAAACACATTTGTTAACTGCCTAATCAGCACTAATGTTAGTGAAGTTTTTTCATATTAAGCTACCGTATGTAAAGCAACAAAAGAAAAAGATGTCAACCGTAATGCGCAAGCAGAACATAGTTTCAATGACACAAAACGTCGGAAATTGCTTATTTTCGTCATAAGCAAATGTGGAGACCAGGCACATTCCAAAATTCCGTCGCAAAATCGAATACTACGGTAAAACCAAGTTATGAAGAGACAAACATTTAGGAGACTACAAGTCTACAAGTAACTAAAAAAATTTGTTAACATTGGAACATGCACAATACATAATAACGAAAAGCAGGGGAGGAATACGACTATCCTTACAAACCAGTGTAACAAGTCACTAACAACTCCAGCACCGGTGTGAAATATGATGAATGCTACATTTCACCGGTCTCTACGGCACACCGCTCTGCTAACTGATAGCAGCGCCGTATGCCATCCAAATGGGTCGGATCTGACGAAAGATTAAAGCAAACTCATTACCACCTGCTTTATTTGTCGTTCGGATTAACAGCTTCGTATACCTGTGAGATCAGCGATGACCTCGCCGAGGAAAGTATCCGCCCACAGCCGATTCCTGTCCCATACGGATATAACGACTTTCTTGTCGTGAATCTCAGTGGGCTCGATGGCCATAAAAGTGAAGGCTTCTTTCCATTCAGGGCTCAGAGTGTGCTGGATGAACCGCGTGCGGAGCGCGTATTCCCTAAAGTGTACACAAAGGTGTCCGTTCGAGTAGTAAAACTGAGGAAGCATAATTTTGGTTGAAGGCTACGTACGATTGTCGCGGCACAACCCGAACCTTGCAGTAGGGATCACAGAAACCGGCTTTCAGATTGCGAGCTTTCGGCACTTGCAAAGTTAGGGCGCAGCGTTCATACGTCATACGCAGGAGGATATCTCCGGTAACCGGATGAAGTCCGCTAGATGTGGCCGACTGCAAGCACGGCAAAGACCTAAACGACTGATAAACTAAGAGTCTGTGTTCCGGTGTTTTCCCGATTCTAGTAACCCTAATCGTAGCTGAATGGTGGCCTTATATCTTGCTCCTACCTACGCAGCTAGAAACTCCTACGAAGCGCTGAATAAGCTTAATCTTAAATACCTTGTTGTGAGCCATGATACTACGCGACCTCGGTAGCAGATGGTTCTGTGGCACATAAAATTCACCGTCCAACGCCTCCACACTCTCCATACGGGCCTCACCTTTGAATCGCCTCTTGGCGTCCCTGGCCTTCTCGCGGCGCTTGCACCAACGCCGGACACAGTAGTAGACGATGGCCAGGAATACCAGGCAGCAAGCGATGATAATTATCACCAGTTCCGTAGGCACTGCAGAAGCACAACCATTTATTTTACTTAATACAATGACCTGCAAATTGATTGCAAAATGACCTACAACTGATTCTTTTTGAATTGTTTTCAGTTGTCGCAGCATGCCTTTTTTTATTTTATGTTGTCACTTTGGCACTGCATGGCCACTGAGAGTCTGAGTGTATTGCTCATTTTTTCAATATATTAATTTTACTACCTGTTCGAGTACTTCTATAAACAAATTTAATCGTTACAACTGATCTTGATGCCAAGAAATAATTGGTGGAAGCTGCTAGGTAGAATAGGTCAAGACCTCAACTTACATCCCTTCTTCTTCGGCTTGGCCATTGCCTTATCTGGAGCCTGCTCGTGCTTGGTCTGGTGCTGCGGCTTCTACGGCAAGTTTTGGACACCTTAAAAACAACTACAAGAAGAATGACAATCTTCACGCTGAAGTAAAAGAAACTTTCATTAAGAAACCGTTAAAAGTCATTAATCTCAAATTTAATGATCGGCGCTGTTATATGTAGCTATTGTCGGCGCCGACGTTTTAGAAATGAATTACAACGATCTAATAAACAAATGTTCGTGACAGATACTCTGAGATGCTGACACTGGTCTCATTCACAACGAGGATCAACAATTTAAAAGGCAATTGCGTTCTTAAAACACAACAGCGTCGGCTTGCTGCAGGAAAGCTATACGAAAGCACACTGAGTGATCAAGAAGTTAGTTAGCGAGACACTCCTGCGTGACCCAAAAAGGCAGAGTAGCATCTTCAGCTGCATTCACACGGCCAGGCCACTCTTTAGAGCTGAGCCACTCCTCCCGGAAAAAAGTCTTAAAATTAGAAATCTTCCAGAATTAAAAAAAATCGGAACTGGAGCACCACGCGGTATTTTTTGCCCTTGGGGCGCCTGCTGTTGCGCCTCTTTAATAACTAAAGACGGGCCTACACACAAAAATGCACTCTCAGGCTCACTCTGCGCCTCGCTTACCTCAATTTTCAACGGCCATTGCCTTGACACTTCGGGCTTTTATCTTATCGTTCACAATTTACGGGATCTTGCTACGGGAAGAGCAAAGGTCACGAGTCAAATAAAAGATGGAATGTTGCTGCGCATGTAGAGAATGTACTAGGGCAGAAAGGACCGCGTTCACGCTGAGCGTTGTCCATGTGATGACTACTCTGAAGGATTTATCGCGTAGTCGTAGGTAAATGCAGCACTACCACAGCACTGAATGGCTGCCTGATCATGAGCAGTGTAAGCATATTGGCTACTCCGGCCAGCTTGAGCCTGCGTGGGTCAATAAAAGCCACCTCGCGAAGGAGACCGACCAGGCGAGGATTGGTCGATAATGCGCTGGAAAATCTATACTGGCGATATGCGCATGGGGATAACTTTAGCCAGCGATAACAAGTCCGGGATCGATGCCGGCCAGGCTATTGGTGCAGCAGTACTGCAGTAATATCCGTGTGGCTGCTGCAACGCATTCACTTTCATCGCTGCCACGCTTAAGTGCCGTTAAAGCTTACACATACCGGTATTTTACTATTTACTGTGCGAGATTAGCGATTGGGATGTGCATTGTTCATATGCCGATTGCCGATTTTCCATCGGACTTGAAGGTGATCCATAAGAACAGAAAACAACAGATCCGGTAATCCGGGATGGAGAAATTCTTGTTCCCACGGATATGCACAACACCGCTGGTAACGGGAGTTTATAGCCAATTCCTTGTCGATGTTGTGGATGATGATACGTCAACATACCGAGGATACATCTGCGGAGTGGAAAATGATCGATTTTGGGTGCAAATCGGCTGTATGCAGCAACAACGGCGGCTGGTATCCATGTAGAAGCTGCGAATAATGTTCGTATCCTCCAATATCAAGCCCACTGAAGCTGCCGAAGGAGTCGACCTCCTGATCAGCGTTGACAAGGATCATCCGGAGTCATGGCAGCCAGCACGTATCACTGATGGGTTCTGGTGCGAAGACTTTTCGCTAGTAAATGTAGACATTACCATGCCCGATAACACCGTCAAAAGTTATTCCGTGTTCGACGGTGTCGGTGCCATTCGAAAGCGTATCCGTCGGCGCGGACAGCTGGGGTCGCCTGTTACCAAGCAGTCCTTTCGCTACGTTCTACTTCCTCTGACCATGTTCACTCATGCCATTCCCAATATTGCCGATGTACTGGGTCGCATACAGGACATGCCAAAATTCCGCAGTTATTTCCTTTGTACTACTGGTAGCGTTCGGAAGGAAATAATGTTTCTCGGGGTCGTCCACGAGTGCATTGCCGTGCTGATTGAGCTAGGTCGGCGCCTAGTCCCGACGAATGAGGATATTTTCAAACGCGTGGTCCTCGCCATTACGCAGTTTACTGCCTCAGTCCCTACGGTGACCCAAACGGCGCTCAGAATATTGGACGAGATGTTAAGCGTTATTGTGGCAGTGGATGGTAAGGCAACATACCGACAAAATCTGTTTTTCTTCGGCATTGTCTTGCAGCTGGCTTATAATTGCAGTTGCCTAATGTTACCATTCAAGAAAAACCCACTGGACGGCTGACAACACGAATTGCGGTTTAAAATAATTAAACCCATTTATGCATTTTCCATAAGATGTATAGCATATAATGCATTTTAGTGGATTTTAGAAAATAACTGTTTTATGGTACTTCTATATAGGTACTTGACAAATACCGACAAATAGCGTACAAATTATTTGGCTACTGGATGCAATAACGATTTTAGGGTGTGTGAGAGCGCGCGAATATGCAAATTTTAGTGCATGTGCAGAAATACTCGTACGAGTAAATCTTCAACACTGAATACTTCGCTTTTTCTCATATTCCGGCCACTTTAACTATACAGTTTCATATTCCGGTCACCAGGTAGCAAAATGTCCTAACAAAAAAAATTCACAGAAATGGTTAGTTTTCATAAAAACTTGTTAGTTTTCATAAAAACTCTCTCATTAAATTTGAAGAGTAAACATCAATAAATTTACTAACAAAACAAAACAAATACAGTAAAAATACTCTAAACCGGGTGAGACGCAAAAGACCGGTGACCGGAATATGAAACCATTCACTCAAAGTGACCGGAATACGAGAAATAGCGAAGTACATATCGGT